TTTTTTTTTTTTTTTTTTTTTTTTTAAATATAGCCATTTTGAATAACTTGTTTTTTTTTTTTTTGCCAAAAATGTGACAGCTGTGCATGTGTATGTGTGTTGTACATTTATTTAATTTATTTTTTTTGTTTACTTGTTTGTCCGCCTATTTGTTCGCTATTTGTTTATTCGTTTACATATTTATTAACTTTTCCATTTTCCCCTTTTCTGCCAAGTACATTTTGCACCTCCACGCGCGCCTCGCCTTTTAATTCCCAAAACAACTGCGAGCAACTCAGTTTTAAAACGACAAAATGGAGTCTTCCGAGGCACAAAGTTTAAAAGTTGTGCAGAGCAGCGCGAATGAACAGAGTGCGTACAAAGACACTCACACCACGACGCTGCCAGAAAAATACAATGAATCTACCAGCAACAACGTAGGAAACACGAATCCACTGGAAGGGTATTACACAGTGCCACAGGACAATAGCAGACCAATAGGTGCTAACAATATTCCCTATATAATTCCTGAGATTAATGAATCCGGGATGACCGTCGACCCAACTGCCATGCAAGCGACTGCCGCGATCAACCAGAGTTTGATGTATCAGAACCATGGCATTCCAGCGGATTATCCTGTAAGTCTTTTTTTTTTTTTAACTTTTCTCTTTGCACATCGGTACAGGCGCATGCATATGCATTTATATATATGTGTAATAACTTAACTAGTTTGTTTTGCTTCTTCTTTACGGCTTATTTCTCTACCCCCCCTTCTGACGTAGTACCAAATGTTTAACGGAGCGAACACAATGTATGGAGGAATTCCCCAGTATTATGGAGGTGTGAATATGCCAATGAACCCTTACTATGACCCATACGGAATTATTAACCCTTTATCGTGTGCACCCCTAAACGCAGAAAAGAACAAAAAGAGGATCAAGAAGTTTTACTGTTGCTGAAAATGTCTCTTGAGGAAAATTATTATTATTATTTTTTTGTCTTCTGTGCAAATAAAACGAGCTGCTGTGATTGCATGGGAATTCAAGTTGTTCGTTTTTTAAAAGTATATGTTGTATCCTTCACAACGTTCTCCCCCGTTCGATGTTGCGCGCTGCGTAATTCTGCGCACATGTGTTCAACTAGGTTTGATAGAAGCATGCAGAGGCACACTTAGCCTTTCGCAGAATTTACGTTAAATTAAAAGAAAAAGAAAGCAGCACAACATGCGTGAGCTTACACATTTGTACACACTTCAGTGTGACCACCCCTTATGTGTAAAGCCCCACAACTGTGCAAGTTATAAAGGAAAGATGTTTCTAACTTGGTACTTTTTTTTTTTTTGTTGTTGTTGCAGTTTAACTTTTGAACCTTTTTTTTTTTTTTTTTTTTTTTTATGATGAACATATTAAATTATTATATTTTTCGTGCTAAACGTTATTTAGACTTTAAGCTTTTGCACAATAATAGCTTACTTGCTAAAGGGCCCAACTCGTGTGCGCACTTCGGTTGGGCATTTTCGTTGTGACATGGGAACGTCTTTTGGGGGCCCCTGCGGTGAGCAGTATTGGGCATATTCCACACCTGTCGTTGCGGCTATTCCAGAAGGGTGCTTAAAAAATGAATACATTGTTCAATTTGACGTGTGGTGTCCTTTTGGACGAATGGTTAACAGAAATGGAAATGCATAAATTTTATTTAAAATGAACTGAAAAAGGACTGTGTGTGAAAGATAGGCCGTTAGGTAGGGGGCGTTATTTTCCAAATTCGCTTATTATATGCTGACGCTTTTTACAATTTTGGAGGAAATGCATTATGGTTCATTTTGTTCGTTGTTGTTAAAATGTATTTTTGCGTAATTGTTTATAGTTGGGGCGACATAAAAGATGTTTTTTTTTTTTTAATCCCCCTATTTGGCTTGTCATGGGTAGGACTAATAGGGCAAGTGCAACTATGCGCATGTTGATGGGAATCAGCTAAGGTTAAGCAAGTGCGGGCATATGTACAGATACATATGTGTCCGTTTTTCCAACGTTCCTGCCCTCTGATGCAAAGAAAAGAAATGTTGATGTGCGCGCGTTGTCGCACTTTCCCGCTGTGTAGAGTATGTTAAAAGATCAGCGCGCACAATTTTTTTTTTTTTTTTTTTTTTCGCATTTTAGACATTGCTCTATTGAATGATTTTCTAGTGTGACGCAAGAATCTTGGCAGAATGGGAAAGTCACATGCAGGTATTCATCAGTTGTTTTAAAGTATTTTCATTTCATCACGCGTGAGTAGGAATAGGCAAACGCCTTTTTTTTTTTTTTTTTTTTTTTTTTTGTAGAGATTACAAAATTGTAATTTATGCGGACATGAAAGTACGTGTCTTTTTTTTTTTTTTTTGGCCAGTTTAATCTGTCATCCCGTTTGCCAAAATTTCATCTTTTTTTTTTTGTGAGGAGAACTCGTTACATACATCAAGTTAATTTCCCTATGTCATTGCTAGACAGTTGGAAATAGGCAAAACGGTAGAGCATACAATGTGAGAAGGAGGGGCAATGTCCTTCTCATGTGCATCCTTCTTGATGGAGCGCAGGGCCACTGAGTTATAGCAACAACCTATATTGGCAATTTTGCCCCTGATTACGGTGTTCACCCAAGTGGAGAAAGCCGCCCCCCACACACGTAAAAAAAGCAACAACATTGGAGCGAACTTTTCCAATTGAACAGAGCAAGAAATGTACAAACAAAAGTCGCTGGATCTGAGAGACATGAACTATGTGTACGAGAATTCATGGGTATGGGTTAACATCAATTCGATAAAAAAAAAAAATGGAAATTTATATAAAGAAATATTTGAATATTACAAAAATAAGAATAGAATATTTTGCTTCTTCAAGGGAAAAGTAAAACGCTTCGTGTCCAGCAGGGACGTAGAAATATGCATCAGCATAGACGACAATTATATTAATTTCAAAAACAACATAAATTATAACATCACAGAAAATGTGAAATATTTATTACCCATTGACACAAATTTTGGGTGTAGTGACAACACAGAATTAATATATTTAAATCCTCCTAATTTGTTAGAAAATATTCGTCAGAGATATAGTAAGGCATATTTAAATGAAGGGACCAGAGATTGTATTTATACTTACATTGGGTACATTTTGTTGTCAGTGAATCCTTACGAGAATTTTAAAATATACGATGAGCGTTACATGAGGAAGATTAAAAATGAGAATAATATGTTTGCTGTTCCTCACCCTTTTTCCATTGCCAACGATGCTTACAACTGTATGGTCAAGGATAAGGTGAGCCAGTCCATTATTATAAGTGGGGAAAGTGGGGCTGGCAAGACGGAGTCTTGCAAGCAGGTGTTGAGGTATCTTACCTACTTGAGCGCTTGCCACTCGAGGGAGGAAGTGGCAGGAGTTGCACACAAATTGGACACATATAACTACTCACGAAAGGGAGCTCCCCCGGGCGGAAGTAACAACCAGGGGGCGGGAAACGGCGACACGGCTGGTCCTCGCGCGAGGGCACCTTCGAAGGAAGACGGAAAGGACAAGTTCAACCCAAATGTTAGGGATGCTTCCAAGAGAGACGACATAGACGGAAGAGGATCCAAAAATGGTTTCGAAAAGTGGGGAAGAGCCGTTCCGTTGAGGGAGGCATGCTTCGTCACGGTTTCCACCGCCGCTTCTACATACACGAGTGCACCGCCCACGAAACCCTCTACTGCCCCCTCCTCTTATGAAGAGAAAATTCAGAACAGCAACCCCCTGTTGGAATCGTTCGGAAATGCTAAGACCATCAAAAATGACAACAGCAGTAGGTTCGGAAAATTGATGAAATTAAATTATGACGAGAATGGCATGTTACGCTCTGCGTCTATTGAGACATATTTGCTTGCAAAGTCGAGGGTGGTTGATGTTCCCCCCATGGAAGGGAATTACCACATTTTTTATTCCTTGTGTGAGAATTCCAAATTGCGTGATGAATTTGATCTATTGCCATGGTACAAGTACAACTATTTGAAGGCCCAAAATGATATGAACAAATCAGGCGACAGTTCCCCCAATGGGATGGAGGATTATCAGGGATATGATGATGTGCAGGGTACTAATGTGGAGGGGAAAGGGAGGAAGAAGAAGAGCAGCAGGAGTAGGCAGAAAAAAGGGGACAAGACGGACGAAACAGATAGGGAGGATGTGGCCTTGGATGTGGTCGACGCTGGAAAGGATGAAGGTAAGAGCAAGAGGAGTAAATTTAAGGGGAAATCAGGAAACGATTCACATGCGAATGATGATAGCGGGAAGACGAACAAATGTTTATACCATTTGGACGCCATTATAAAGTGTTTTCACAGTATAGGGGTGTATGAAGAGGAACAGAAGGAGATTTATAAAACGCTTATTTGCATTTTGCTATTGGGAAATGTCGACTTTGTGGTTAACGAGGAGGAGGAAGGAGGGATGCTCAAAATTAAGAGTGTAGAGGTGTGCGAGAAGTTGGGGGACCTGCTTGAAATTAGCAGTGACCATTGTGGACAGAGCATCTGTGGGAACGGTGGGGCGAACAAGATCGTTGAAATACTAACAATAAAGAAAGTACGCGACACGCAAAAGAACTACACCTACCAGCAAGCCATTTATAACAGGGATGTGATATCAAAGGCCCTGTACCAACTGCTGTTCGAGTACGTGATAATGCGTGTTAATGACTCATTGAGTGCGCGCGAGGAGGAGATGGATGATCAACACGGGGAGAACGCGCACATGGAGGGTATGTCTGCTGAGGAGGAATACGCTGACGGGTACAACGCGGAGTGCGAGGGGGTAGGGGAGAACGTGAAGCGTAGCAGAAGGAAAAGGAGCAGCTATAGCGGAGTTAACACAGCGTACGCAGCACACACCGATCGCGCTGCGCGGAGAAGCGGAAGGAAGACCTACTTCATAGGTATATTAGACATTTACGGATTTGAAAATTTTGCCAAGGAAGGCATGAACTGCTTTGAACAGCTGTGTATCAATTACGCGAACGAAGTTTTACACGCTTTTTTTTTAAAGCAAATAATTCACAATGAACACAAAATACACTATGAAGAAAATTTGTTTCTGGAGAAAATACCTTACCATGATAATAGTAATGTGATCTCTCTTATAGGAGACACTCGTGATGTGAGTATCTACACAATACTGGAAGATTTGTCTTTTCTTTTTTCATCAAATAAATCAAACGAAGAGAGTAATAGAAATTTGTTTTATGAGAAGTTAAGTAAAAATGTCATGAGCTCAGGCAAGTACAAAAATATTGTGAGGAATTACAAAGCGTCGAGGAACTGCTTCATCATTTCGCATTATGCAGGAGAAGTCCTTTACGACTCCCATGACTTTTTTAACAAGAATGTAGACATTCTCACTAACGATATTGAGGACTTTTTATCAAGCTGCAATTCGTTTATCAGGACGAATTTACTTAAAGGGAAGAGATTTGTGTGTGGTAAGAGTAGCACAGAGAGGAATGATGCTAGGGGTAGTGGAAAAATGATGGAGCTGAAAATTCAGGAAGGGGAAAAATCAGGGAGGAGAAAATTATCCGTTAAGGAAATGATATCCCATCATGAGATTGAGTCCAGGGGAGTTCATCCTGTACATGTTCACGGGGATGATCTGTGTCTGAGTGATGAGGAGGAGGAAGGGGGGGATGTAGAGGGGAAGCATCGACTTAGCGTCCGCAATGGGGGGAACTCCAATAACGTTCTTATGCATCACACAGGACGACGAAAGAATAAAGTAAAGTCCATTTTTTCGTCATTCAAAAAACAGCTAGAAATTCTGACGAACAAGTTAGACAAAACGGCTTCTAAATTTATCAGGTGTATAAAACCAAATGAGGAAAAGAAGGCTAAATTTTTTAATAAAAATTTGGTGCTGAATCAGTTAGTAATGAGTGGAATGGTGGATGTCCTGAGTTTGATGAAAAATGGATATCCTTGTAGAGTGCTCTACGATGATGTGTGGATTACCTATAGTCACATTTTGCAAGACGAAATGAAATCCTTCCTTACGCCAAAAATGTTCTGCGAAATTGTACTCAAATTTTTAGACATTCCCTCTAACGAATATACATTTGGCAAAACGAAAGTTTTTTTCCGTTTTGGTGTTTTATCCACCATAAATGAAATATTGAATAAAAATATGGAGAAAAAAAATAAATTTATTGAATGTGTATATAATTTTTGGCTACACAAAAGGAAGCGGACAATGTTGAAATTTGTCTTGTGCGGATGCAGGTTTAAAATGCTAATAAAAAGGATGAGATGTAAACGTTTAATGGAGCATGGACTCTATTATTATAATAATTTTTTGCTACAGAAAAAAATGCAAAGTGTTCGAAAAATCCTTTTTTATTACTTTTATGTGTATAAGCAGAGAATCTACTTCCTTCAATTGAGAACAAGTTCCCTCATCATTCAGAAGCACATTCGGGGATACCTCGCACGGAAAAAATATTTACACTTAAAAAGACAAATTATTTTTATTCAGGATTATTATATATTTCAAGGGTACTTTAAGCAGAGAGTTAGGGCCTGCAATATTATTAGGAAAAATTGGCTCACTTATATCACCAAATCTGACTACCACTATGTCCGAATGAGCATTATAAAAATCCAGAGGGCCTTTCGAAAGTACATGAAGGGGAAATATATAAACTACTGCATGAAGGTCGTTAATGTGAAGAAGCAGCCCAAGCGCACTTACAGTGCGTTCGTGAAGAGTGAGATTGTCCAGGGGAAGAAACTGAAGTTGGGGGTACAGGGGAGGACTCAGATGCAAGTCACAAAAGGGGTGAAGCATGAGAAAGGTCCTGATCGACGAATGGGCAAGCGCCCTTTCCATGAGGAGGACCGAATAGGATCCTTCATCTGTGTGGAGAGGACCAACCGCAGGCACTCGTTCGCGGTAGGTGTTCAGCAGTAGTGTGCACGTGGGCACATACACCTCTTTGTGCATGTGTGAGGATACTTCTTTGCCGTAACTTCTCCACACCCCAACGCTCATGGACCGCTTTTTAAATCGTGCTTCCACCTCTCCCAATTCAGATGGGCCAAAAAATCGACGCCTCCTCGAGCAGAAGAAGCAGCCTCAAAAGAAGAAAAACATGGAGCGCTCGGGACAGTGCCCCAAAGTATGACTGCAACGGACAGAGGTACAGACACGCTGAAGCAAATTATATGGACAGAGTTATTTCGAAACATACCAGAAGCCATATGAACAGAGGGAGTGCCTTGAGGAAGAAGGTCACAGGAAGTTTGACGGAGGAGAAACCATTTATGAGTGTTGGATATGTAGGGGTTAAGGAAAAGGGGCAAATAAATGGACGCAGTAGCCACATTTTAGGTAATGCTAGTGGGGATAAGGGAAGAGGGAGAAACAAGTTTAGGTTCAGTAACATGAGCATATGCGGTGACAACATGCATGCGAAGGGTAACGACCGGGGTGGCAATAAAAGTGGTTCGCTCAGCATGGGTACGTCGCGCAAACAGACACGTTTGCAGCTCTGCAGTGATTTGCGATTGAACTGCTTCACCACTGCGCACCTCCCCCTCAGGCAAAAGCCTCATGAAAAGAAAAACGTACAATCATGCGAGTCTGCAAAACGACTGCGCCTGGAGCTACAAGAGGGAGAAAAATAAAATCTCAAATTTGATGAAAAACACCATATATGATAGATACATCAACAAGTACAAGCAGAATTACATGAACAGACAGAAGGATAAAAAGAAGAAATCGATTTACATAAAAAACAACTATAGCAACATCAGCAACATATACAGTGTTTACCGTCCTTCACGGGAGGAGAAGGTGGTGGCTGAAGAGTATGACTTTGACCGTACGGACGCGGTAATGACTTTCTCCATGTGCAGTGTGAATAAGGGCACTTACGTCGGGAACGTATTCCTATACACAGTGCATGTGTATTGGCTAATGTGCCTGCAAAATTGCTCCTACACAGGGCGTTCACAAAAATGCATACAAAACGAATGACCCCCTTTTTTCCCCTCCCCACTTTAGCTCATCATTCCGGAGGACTTTTACGTGAGCGAGTCAAACATTCCCGATCCAGACATGATGCAGGAAAATGATGTAATCATTTTTTTTATATCTGCATATATCATCACCACGTGTGCACGCAGCATGGGGTGTAGACGCTTTGTACATACATACATACATACAAACAAACAAAAAAAAAAAAAAAAAATTTCATTCTTGAAACCTCTTGCAGGAAAATTACCTTTTGTTGTGTGATTATCTGGACAACAATTTGGATTCGAAGATCCCCCTAATAGAGTTGAGTGCTTTCAAGTGCGCGTGAAGGAAAGGTGGTCGAAGAATTGGTTTTGCGCTTACAAATTAGGGGGAAATTTTGTGATTTTTCGAGTGAGACATTGACATGACACATTTGCGCGACGTACATGCCAGACAAGGTAAGGCTTCACAACTTGACCGTCCTGTTTCGTGTTCCTCGAACTGGTGTTATACGAAATTAAAATTTCGAGGATAATTTTTTTTTTAAAAAAACGTACTCATCCTTGTAAATCAAATGGTTCGATGCCATTCCTTCACGTTGTCTCCGCCTGAGGAAGTCAATAATATTTTTCCTTTTAACTTTACTTGGTACATTTTTAATATTTTTTACCGACATTTCAATATTTTTTAAATGGCCTAATGTTCTCAGAGCCTTTGCATAGTTATCGATTCTCCGTCTTCTTTCTATCGACTCCTTCGTTTTGTAAATGCCCCCTATGTAAAAGCCGTAATTTGGTTTTATCCTTCCACAACTAACCATTTTGGAATTCATTTTGTGGTTCACTTGGATGGGGAAAAGTGTAGCGTGTCTAAATGGGTCATTATTTTTTCCACTTCCAATATGAAGAAATGTTTTTTTTTTTCTTCTGTTGAGCCATTCGTTTGATGTCTCGTTAGGCATATGGGTCACATGTGGATCCTCATCTTCCTGTATTGGGAAGCAATTTCCTTCCGTTGAGACTTCACTTCGCTCATCTGTATAATCCACATTGTGACTCCCTCTTGTGACTTCCTTTCGTGGTACTGCTTTCATCCCAGTGGGGGAAACTTCCCCTTTCTTGATGCACACAGACGGGGTACTGTCCGTTTTGTTCCATTTTTGCATGTAGTCTGATAGCTTGTACTTTATGTTTTTATTTGACACCTCCAGGGTGCTTTTTTTTGGTTCGTTTTTGCTCTGCCTAGGGGAAAGGATAATATCTGTGTCTTCATTTTCGTCCTCTATTGCGGTAAAAAAATGCGTCTCCGATGGGGATGGCTCATCTAATTTTTTATTAAAAAAGGAATCCGTGAAATGTTCCTCCGTTTGGTGAAGAATATACTCTTTGTTCTTCTTATTATGGTGGGCAGTTTCATCTTCACAATTTGTGTTCCGCTTTTTAAAATTTTTCCTTGTTTTATCGTTTATAATAATTTTATTATCCATTGGGTTTGCCACTCCTTCTGATGTGTTAACTGTTTTTACGACATCCTTTTCGACTACTTCATAATTTAAAATTCCATTATGTCTGTTTTTCCCTGAACCGTTCAGGTGATTTTTGTCCAACGTGCAATCATCAAATTTGGTTAAGTGGTCATATAAGGGCAATTTTTTATGTGTAATAAGAGCGCCCTCCTCCCCATTCAAGTCTCCACAAGGGAGGTTCGTTTTCCCTATATTCCTACATGCGGGGATGGAATTTTTGAAATTATCCAGAATGTCCTTTACGTTTTTTTTCCTGGACTCGGAAATAGGATGTGACGAACTGCTTTCCATATGGCTTCCTCCTATATTTCTGCATCCCGTATGGTTGCTAGGAACGTCCCTGGGGTATGCATCAGTGCAAACGTTCGGGTTCATATCCGCACTGATGGCCCTGCCGCCGTTGATCTTACACCTGATCACCGTGCCTATCCCGTTAATGTCCTTCTTAACAAAGGAGATGAACAAATTTTTTTTTATATTTTTCAGTCCCCTAATTTTTAGCAGGTTTATGTTGTTCCTTTTTGTAATTTTTTTCAGTTTCCATTCGTTGAGTTTTTTTTTGAATTTTTCCTGTCTTTGAATTTCTTGTAGTTGTTTGTAATTTTTTTCTATTTCTTTTATTTTTTCAATGTTCTCAAGGATTTTTTTTTTCTTCTTTTCCCTTTTGTTGTATAGTGTGTTTTGTTCTGTTTTGCATGACTGTTCAGGGGGATTTGGTTGGTCCATAAGCGAAGACTTGTATTTACAGCATGGGCGTGTGTTACTTGGGGGTGGCACGCCTTTTCTACTTGGATGGGTTATCCAGGCAGCATTTTGGATGGAGGTATTTTTTGTTGAGCGACCCTTTTCTTCTGTTGCTTTCCTTCCTCTTTCGTACGTTTTGAAGACTTTCCTCCGTTGGTCAATTTCCTTTGCTATGATTTTTTTTTTCCTGGGGCAATTTAATTTGATGCAATTTTCTTCATTTTTGGAAAGAGATTTGCTTAAATGCGACTGAACAATGGAGGGGAAGGAAATTTTCGACTTTTTTCCCTCACTGCATTTGCTTTTGTATGTCTCCTTTTTTTTCTTGCCCGAGCAGTTGTTTGATGTGGAGAGATTACGTATATCGAGGGATCGTCTAATATTTTTTACTAAAGTTAGCGCATTTTTGGTTTTTAAAATTTTGTGAATGTTTTGTAAATACTTGGAATCTTCACAGTCGTTTAGGGAAGAGCAGGTGGACAGGGTGTTCGTTGTAACATTGGACGGGACGCTCTCATTAGATTCTTCCACCAGTTCGTAGTTGTTCACGTTTGGTTGGTTCGTTCCCGTTGGACCTACACCTCCGTCATGTTTCTTGCACGCCCCTTTCGGGCTTTCTCCTTCTCCCGCTTTTTGTATTTTCCCCTTTGCAGCCGTTGCAGTTTTTCCACTACAAGGATTATTCCAGGTATCACGATTGTCCATTAAATTAGGGGGTCGTTTTTCCTTCCCTTGGGGAGACTCCATGGAACATTGGTCCGAGGAGTTCCCCTCCCTTGTTTCTTCACGCTGCTCGTTGAGATGACGTTCTGCTTTGAAGCCACCATTACGTAAAGCATTTTTCATGAGGCCATTTAGCTCATTGTAGAAAAAAATACTTTTTAACGTAACGTAAGCATTTTCCCCAACGGTTGTTTTAATCTTCTTCAAGATGTTATTTTTAATTTTTTTGTTCAAAAAGACTGCATATATCTTTTTGTTTGTCTGAAAATTAGTAATGTCGAAATTGTGGCATATTTTCCTCACACTTATTTCACAGAGAGTTTTGGATTTCACGAGGATGGAAAAGAGGAGCAGATCATATGGACATTTGGAATTAATTAAAATGTTAATTTTGCTAATCATGTAATCCTTGTGGTACTTTTTAAAATTGTTCAATTCGATTAAATATATGTTTAATATTTGTTTAAAGATAAATATTTTCCTGTAGTGAATATTTAAGTGATTTTCTAATTTGTTGTGGATTTTTTTGAGTGTAGATTTTTCTTGCCTGTTCAGGCAATTTTGTTCTGCTTGCTCATTTTGCATGTTTTTTATTTGGACATAGAAATTTTGTATTTCGACTACACTGTTGGATATATAGGTGGAGAATTTTTTTACAAAGAATAAATAACTGCTGATTATTTCGTTGTTAAATTTGAAATGTGAAAAAATGGCATTTTGTGTTTTTATCAAGGTGCAAATGTTGCTGTATATGCTAGTTATGCGTAGGAAGAAATTCATGCAGTTTTGTATGACTGTAACTTTTGCCATTTTTTTTACACTCTTTAAAAATTCCAATTGGGGTGTAAGGTTCTCTATTTCTTGTAATTTGTTTTCTATCATTATGAGAAGCTTTTTTATTTCGTCTGTTATTTTGTTAATTTGGAGTAGCACAATGTTCATGTTTTTTTTCATTTTTAGGAGTGTAAATAGGACTGTGAAATTTTCCACGCTCAGACAGTTGCTGATGATGCGGTGAATGTGTTCCATCTGCTCGCTCAGTGTCAAGCGGCTGCAGTAACCTTGTATGATATCTTCCTTTTGGATAAAGTGAGTGGTTGCTTTGGGGGGGCTACTGGCGAGATCACAGCAATTTTGACCGTCACTTGGGGGGAAACTTCTTGGGGCATTTTTGCCGACATCCGGACCCATATTTGCGCCCGAATTGCTGATTACCCTTTCACTCTCTCTTAAGCCTTTAAACAGTTTGCAGTTCTGTTCCAGTACCTCCAATTCGATACTAAATTGAAGGAGGTGGTTTCCATTTTCTCCAAACAAAAGTAGAGAGACATGCCCGTCCTCCAAAAGGTTCAACTCTATTTCATGCACTGATTGATTCATTTGGGATGAACTCATGTCGCTGCTTGGGTCCTCCAAAATAGCGTTATCAATTATGTTTCCATTTTGAGGGGCGCCGTCAGGGAGTGGATCATGTCCCTGGAAGGTGTCTCCACCCATTCCATTATTTGAGGTGAAGACATGAGTGGAGTTGTTGGCGTTTGTGCCCATACTCTGTTTTCGCCTCAAATGAGTGTGCTCCTTATTACTCCTAGGAGGAGTTGGGCGATCATGTTTTATGGGACTGCCTTGGGGTTGCTCACCATTCGGTGAAGTCTGTGCAATATTTGCCATCCCGTTTGGAGTGAAGCCATTTTGGGCATGTTCCTTCCCTTTAATGGAATTTATTTCCGCTTTGTAATTTTTTTTATCAATATATATCTCATTTGAAATATTCCCCTGGGGGGGTTTTGTGTGTCTATTTTGACTTCCTACGTTACGATTTGTCTGACGGGCAGCACCGCTCTGTTTGTCTTTCCCTTTTTCTGTTATTTGAACGCTCTCCTGAGCGCTCTTAAGGGTGGAAAAAACATTATTTTTCTCCTTTTCTTCTTCCAAATGGTAGGCACTTTCGTATTCCCCACAGGGAGAAATTACATTCTGCGTCACAGAACATTCGTTACAATTATCGCTGTGGCTGTTTGCACGTTTTTTTTTTTTTTCTCCTTTCGTGGTTAAAAGACTCTTCTTATAAAAGCGCAAATACGTGATAGTTTCATTATCCTTCTTATTTTTTTTTGTTCTTCTTATGTGCCTCTTATTGCATGCACTGTTTTGTACACTGCAGTTAGGACTATATGGGAGTTCCACATTAGGGTATGTTTTCATCGTCATTTTGGAGCAATTTTTTTTTTTTTCCCCTTTATCTTTATTTGTATTTTTCTGGTCACATAATGCTACCTTAAGATGGTCCTTCTTTACGGGTAATAATACGACTGGATGTTTATCATTTACATGTTTGTGCAATTTTTTCAGTGCACAAATTTTTTCATCGTTGTGTGTGTCATGCGGCGTGTGTGTGTACAACTCCTGTTCTTTGTCCTGCCCCGATGGCCGAAACTCTTTCGATGCTACTTTTTCTCCTCCTGCTGACGCTTCCAATTGGTGAGAATTCATTTGGCCGCTTCTGTGCAAATTACGCAAATATGTGGCGTGATGGTTATTCGTGTGTTTTTCCTCCTCATGTGTTTTCACAACGTAGGAGTCATCACAAATTGGTTGCTTCTCTTCTTTTACCAGTTGGCATTTTTCACCTTTTGGTTTTGTCTCCCTCGGCAGGGTTTTTTCTTGTCGACCACGATTCAGGTTCATAACCCAATCGTCATTAAGGAGGTTAATTGCGTCGTAGTTCCGTGGGGGGAGTTTCACGCAGGAGGTGCCCTTCCCTGTGGCCTGTGTCTGATTCGCTTGGGAAAAATGGTTCTGCGTGGGGTTGCTGGAGTGGTTGTTAAAAATACTGTTGCAGTTGCTTATGAGGGTTTTTATGGATTCGTCCAGGGACAGGTCCACCTCACAGGGGTCAGCTTCACACGAATCGGCATCACACGAATCGGCATCACACGAATTGGCATCACAGCGGTCAGCGTCACAATAGTCAGCATGCGCCGTTGAAACGCTGCCCACGCAAAATTCCTCTTCCAGAAAATTCTGCTCAAAAAAATCCTCGTTTTCGTTCAGATAAGAATCGACGATGCCACCGGCAGTGGACCATTCTGTCACTGGCGAATGGCCATATGGTTGTTCCCCCAGGGGTGCATCTTTTGCTTGATTCTTCACTGGTTTGTTTTGGATTCTATTTAGAAGTTCATCCCTATGGTCAGAACTCTTGTTCGAACAGAAGTTTTCTTCGTGAGTTAAATTACCCACATTGAAAGTGGCCCCATTTGAGTTTCCTTCCTTTATCAAAGGGGTTAGATGGCCAGTTCCCTCCACTTGGTATGTGTGGGCATTACCCCTTTCTCTCTCTTTTAGCTTTCCTAAAAAGTGCTTGTTTTGGTGAAAATTTTCCTTCTTCCACATGAAGGGAGTTTCATATTTGAACAAAATTTTCATGAATGGGTTGAAAATTCCTTTTGTTTCTTCGCCTTCTTGTATCTTCAGCAGTGCATGAATTTTATTCTTCAATAATCTTCTCCTAAAAAATCTAGCATAATTATCATTAACACTTTTAAAGGTGCAAATATGGATGTTAGAATGATTAAATCGGTACGTTTTTTGTGATAATTTTTGGCCAATTCGGCTCGTGACTGGATTATGCAAATATGTGTCCACAGCTGCAGCCTCCTCCCAGGGTTCCACTGAAGGGCTGTTCTTTTTAGGTGGACAATTTGTGTCCCTCTTTTCGTGTAGCCATTTTTTGTATGGGATGATAAAATGGGTTTTTTCTTTCATAAATGTTTTAACAAGTTTGGCTGCGGGGAGATGATTGCTTAATTTTGAAGGTGAAGAATCCCATTTGTTTTTGTGAATTGCGAGCCCATCAGCTGGTTGATGTTTGCTCTCCTTTTTGTTTTGCTCAAATGGAATTTGAAAAAAATTTGGAGAGTTAATTAGCTGTCTTTTTTGTGTGAAATTTTTATACATTTTAAGTTTTGTTTTTTTTACATGTTCTTGCTGTCCATTTGCGTGGTTCTTTAACCCCCTGCCCAGGAAATGAGAAGTATACCGATCAGTCATGTCGACCTGATCAGCGTGGCTGCCCCACTTTGTTGCGCCTTCCTTTGGCTTCATGTATTCCGCTTTGCGAAATGGATTTGTTGGTTCGTTTTCGTCGTTGTAGTGGTGGTAATCGCGGTAATGGTAATCATGTTGATCATCACCGCTGCTAACGTTAAGACCATTACAACTATTGTTATTATATGCGGAATAGCGCTCGTGTGAGGTCGCTGCGCTTTTCCTTCGCCCCCTGGGAGAGCTCCATTTGGGCGCAAATGGGTGTCTTATCCTGCCTTCGACGACCAAGTCTTCATCACTCTGGTAGTCACTGTGTAGTCTCTTTAAGGTGTCCATTTCGGCAGGGGCGTGAGACCGTGGAAAAAAAAAAAAAAAAGGGTGTGCATATATGTATGTGTACTCGCTATATGTTACTCTCACTTGAATCCTCCATGTAAGTCAACCGTGCGTTTACGTAAAACGCATGTGTATTTGATGAGCCGTTACGTTGATGCCCCTTTCTTATTCATAAGTGTGGAGGAAATTTTTGTCCGATTGGTAAAGAGCCAAAAAAAAAAAAAAAAAAAAAAAACTTTCGCCCAGGCTCAATGGGTAACAACAATGTGGGTACATACAAATCTTGGCGCCACTAAAATGTGCTTCGTGAGTTTTGCACACACATTTTGTTTAAACAAGGGAGAATATGCCATCTCTGCCTGTTCCCAATTTTGTGTTGTAAGAATGCGAAAAATTTTACCCCAATTTTTTTAAATTGCACAATGGGATGTGTTCATACTGAGCAGAGTTAAATGAGGAGCGAAAAAAAAAAAAAAAAAAAAAAAAATTACAACGATTAGTGCAAAGGAACGGTTGATCAATAACACACAAATGTGATTTTTCGTGAGATCGGAAAAGTTCGAAAATGATGGAACAACTCGTAGTGTAAAAATACACCATAATGTGTGGGCAAGACAACATTTGGCCAAATAGAAAGATACAAAAAATGGAATGCCCAATTACGCGACATAACACGGGGAAAATACAGTAGAACAGAACAAAGTAAAAACTTACGTGCACACCTGAGTAACGCGTATGCAGGAGGTACCTGCTAGCCCCATCGAGTGGCACTGCGTCCAGGAGGGTGCTTTCTCCGTTTCAACTCATATAAGCGTGCCGTCCAACACGTGACCAAATTAAGCATACGCGGTGGAAAATTGTTAAAAGGGGGTTAAGGGGGAAAAGTCTTTGTTTCATGAAAAAAGTTGCATACAAAAATACGTAAACTTATGTGACCAATAACAATTGCCATATGATTAGAAGGATGATGTTAAAAAGGAGCACAAGGAATGGTGATATAAACATGCCGCGCATACCACGCATGCGCGCATTTGTGGCGACGCCCCCCGGCTGAGGCACCCAGCCGAGAAGCGTTTCCAACTTTTAAGGAGCGCAAAATAAAAGGTAGCCAATGTATTAAAAATTATTATTAAAATGCGCATGATAGCGTTGCAGGTTAACATTGCAAGGCCATCAATATGTTTTCCTGGCCATTTTCACATTTTTTTTTTTTTTTTTTAAAAGAGACAAATGATTGGACTGTTTTGCACATAATGTTACACACATATATGTGGCTTAATAAATATGCACAAATGTGTTTTTGTACATGTGTACATTTGTTGCCATGAAAAATCTGGGCTTATCTTCGGTTGGGGGTAATTGGGATTAATGGGGCAAACAGTGAACGTCCGTCTTGGTGCGCGTTCAAAGAGAGTTCCATAAATGCAAGACATATTCACATACACACATGCGTGCGTGCGGGCGGGCGTGCATATGAGATGCTTCCCTTCGGTTTATTCTCTTAATATGTTTTTGTTGACATAACGGAATTGACACGGATGTGTCCCTCTCGGAGGATGTGCGGACAAAATGACAAAAAAAAAAAAAAAAAAAAAAAAGAAGGCTGAATGACATTGCGTCTTGTATAGGAGTGATGGTGGTGGCAAATATGAAGGCACAGAAAGGGTTATAATAATTAATTGCTAATCCGTTTGGCGATATGTCACATGGGCAGGGGGTAAAGCACTCTTTACCAACTTTCACTCTTGCACTTTCCTGTTAAGACTACACAACACGGTTTAATCTTCCAAATATATTTTCTATGGCTTATTTTTCGTGTTCAAATTGGGGCAGGCTCACAGCCTATTCCGCTTGCATTCGTTAAAAGGCGGTAACGGGTGTGTTACATACACATAATAGGAAATATATTTTCATTTACGCGTGTTTTGTTGGAAGAAGTATGGGTAAAACTCTCACGCTTTGAGAAGAGAAATGAGGGGGATGTCGCTCTGACTGTCATCTTCATCTAAGATATCCTCATTCTGTTTGAAGAGGGCGTCGTTCTTGCTGCTGCTCTTGGCACTGTCTTTGGCCTTGTCCTTACTGATGTCGTTCTTTTCACCATGCTTATCATTATCACTGCCGCTCCCTTGGGCACTGTTGGAGTCGTCATTGAAGATTCCGCACCCAGAGTTGTTATTACTGTCATTATTATTGTCACTACAATCGTCATTAACAGTGTCATTGGTGAGGCAGGCTTTCGCATGCGTATTATCAATGCAGACATTTTTCGCTCCACTGATGTTCACAATGGCGCTGCTCTTGGTGTCTGCACTAGTGTTGCTACAGTTGCGTTCATTAATTTGATCGTTCATTGCCTTTTCTACGGTCTCCCCAATGAGATCGTTTTTTCCATCTTCCTCATCCTTGTTAAGCATAATATCACCCTCGCTGTTCTCATTGAGGGCATCACTTTGCGAGGATTCCTTTTCTTCTGTCTTTCTATTTGGTCCTCCTTCACCCTCTCCTATAGTTAATGCCAACAGAAAATGTGTATTTTCATTTTTGTGCCTTTCTTCTTTGCTACCATATAGTGCAAGTACTCCATCGGATTGGTTACCTTCCACATGGTTACCCTCGACATGGTTTTTATTTTTCGTATCCCACATGGATTCTAAATGTGTGTCCTGGTTAAGAGTATCTTCTGTAACTTCTTTCGAATTTTCGTCCCAACTGAGGTTATTTTTCTGCACGGATGAACCATCTACTTCGTCGTTGGAGCTGTTGGGGATGCATTCTAGCTGACTGTTCGAATCGATATACACACAATTATTCATTCGTTGTGTGGTGCTTGGCGAATTTAACTCACCAGCATGGATGTCGTCAATCATTAGGTAGGATTCATTGTCCGTTGTAACTGCATGCGAAGGCACGTTTGAATCTTCGTTTGATTCTTTTTCTACTACTGGGTCATCACTGTGCACTATAGCATAGGCCTCTGCCTTCACTCCGAGGTCGCTTTCATGCGCTTTATCATTTGGTGCGTGCTTCTTATCATCGTCGTGATGATTGCTCTCTACTTCATTTTCATTATTACTTTCCCACAGGACAAGTGATTCATTAGTTGGTTTGGAAAAATGCATTAAATACGCAAATGGCGCTTCATCTTGTACTTCTCTACTTTGTGCGCTGTTTTTTTCCTGACAGGAGGAAGCGGTTAGTTCTGGGGTTACCCGTGCGTCGTTGTTGGGCTCGTTGCTTATTTCTTGTGTTACTTCTTCGCTAACTTCTTCCTGTCCTATGCCATTCGCTGCTGAATCCTCCCAAGCGTTACTACTGTCGGTGTGTCCGTACGTGTGATTTTTCTCTGAGTTTATATCATGGTGAGCCTCTGCGCTATCTCGATCTGCCTCTTCCCATTGACCCGCCTGCTCTGCTGCAGCTTCCGTTTTGGCACCGAGGTGGAGATAAAATCGCTCAAAATAATCAGGAGAAGGAAAGAAGAATAAATTTGGTTTTAAATTTATAGACAAAAAAATATCCTTAAAGAATTCATTTAATTTATTATTCAGTTTAAAAATTTCATCAAACAAAAGAATATTTTTTGCCAGTTCGTTGAGCGAATTATCTGAGCTGAAATTTCTGCTTTCCGTTTTTGTATCGCACACATAATCGAGAAGAATATTAATAAACTCGCAATTTTTAAAAATAAAATTATAATTTCTGAAATCGCTAAATATATCAAAGTAGAGAAAAATATTGGTGTAAGATTCTAAGAGGTGTACTTGGAAATTTCCTTTAATAAAATTAATGCTGTTTTTATTTTTTCCGTTGTAGAAATTTATTACGTTCATATTTTTTATGAGTGCATCTATGTTGTTCATGGCTAGCTTGTCGATGGATTCGCTATACTCGATGTATCTCTCCATGTAATTCATTTTGACAATGGGTATGTTCAAGGCTTCTAATTTTGCGTACTTCACTTTGGGTTCAACATTTTCTGCACCGTTCATGGTGCTGTTGCTCCTACTTTGGTTAGAGAGCTTGTGTACAGATTTGGGTTCCGTTGCATGGTTCATATGTTGCGCATCCGTTTTTGTGGCTGCTCCCATTTTGCTGCCTGGATTCACATTCGATTCAATAAGCTCATATACATGTTTTTTTTTTTTCTTTTTGTCGTATTTTTTGCTCATGTTGGATGTGGTAACTTTTTTGTCTCCATTTGTTTTTCTCTCCGAGTTCGGTCTGTTTCCAAAGTGGGCATAATGTACATTTAGCCCGTTCGCCTCCTGCGCATGAAGAACGTGGTTAGCCTTAAACGGGGCGCAACTGCTACTACTACAGTTGCTGCTGTTACAAGGGTAGAAAATATGTTTCAGTTGCATATGGTTCCGATCGTTAGGATCCTGAAATGCGTTTTCAGAAAAAAACTTCTGTGGATACGTTGCAAAATTTCCCATGTCGTAGATGCTATATGTATTATTCATTTTTCTATGATTGTACATGGCCATTTGTTTATCCTCAGAGAGATGCTGCACATTGTTGTGCGAGAAATTTCGGGACCTGTTCACAATGCCCATGGTTTGTGGGGACGCGACTTTGAACTTGAGTTGGTTTATCAAATCCCTCTCGTTTGCTTGGCATGACCGCTTTTGCTTTAGCGCGCTCAACACGTTTTCGAAGAAGTTGATGTAGTAATCGCACTTTTCATTTTCCGTGTTCAACACGTCTTTAATATTTATTATCATATCGGCGTCTTGGAAACCGTTTCCTGAAAGGGTACCAGGAAAACTTCCAACGGCGCTGTCGGTTGCATCATGCATGTTGCTAATGCCACGGTCGTAGGGTCCAAATGAGCGGTGGTTCACCCTCCTGGGGTGCGCTCTCATGTAGTAGCCTACATTTGTCGCGCTGTTCACCCTGTTTGAGGTGTCGCTCGAAGTGTATTTTCCCTTATGATTATTCATCACTTGCGGGTCGTGTGAAAACAACTCGCTGCCTTTTGTTTGCTGCAAGTTGTGTTTCATATCGTTGCTGACATCAAGCGAACTGCTAATCACATATGTTTTTTTTTTCTTCTTATTCTTCTTCTTTTTCTTCTTCTTGCCTTCCTCACCTCCTTTTGTGTTTGGGGTATCCGAATCGGTGTGCTTAATTTTTTTAACAGATTCTGTGTTTTCCAATTGTTCCGATTGAGCAATGTTTATTGGGTAGCCATTTGAATTATCCTTTTTGCCATGTACGCTGCTGCTAACACTTTCGCTTCCGCTAGCACACGACCTGTTTTTGTTGAACACGTTTCTAACATATTCAAGTATTTCTTCGTCTTCTTTTATGTTATCCTTATTTTTAACATGGCTTTTGGCACTCTTGCTGTGCGCCATGACCATATCGCATTTCCCCACAGATGAGGCATCAGCATACTCAACGGAGCTAATCGCATCATTTCCCTTGTCGTCATTGTTCACCTGGTCAAAGCATTTGACATCCTGCGGTGCAAACTGGTTGACAGAATATTTTTCTTCCGTGACTCCATACAGCTCAGAGTGATTCTTTTTGTGTAAGCTTTTTTTACGATCCGAATTGGCATTACTGGACATTTGGCTGGTGTTACAATCCTTCATTTTATCATCTGCACCTCTTTGGTAGGAATTGATTCCGAGAATTTTTTCTTTCGCTGGGTAATTTCTCTTGTTGGGAGCTCCCTGTTCATTTTCTTCATACTCGGTGTTATGTGTATTGGGGATGTCGTCCGACGTGTAATTATCTGAGGTGTTAAATATGTTCCTGAGCATGTCATTTGCAGTAGCGTTTTTTTGTGATTCTTTGTTTACGTCGTCTTGAATGCAGTTGATGGCGCTCTTTCTGCCCAGCCTCTCCGTGGTGTTTTCTTCCTGTTCGTACTGCTTTTGATACCCATTTTGGTATTCCTTGTCGGGCATAAAGTTTATATTATTTTTTAGGTACCCATTTTCCTTTTTGTCCTCTTCCTGGTTGTAGTGGCAGTCGTGTTGTTGACCTTTTGTATCTTCGGGTATGCTACCCATTCTGTCGCTTCGTTCACTCATGTACATTTCGTAGGGGGAGTTCATGTCGTGCAGTCCGTTGGGGAGGTACGGATCGTAACCCTCGAATGTGTGTTCGTCTACTCTGTTGCTGTACCTTCCCTGGTAGTTGCCTCCACTAAGGCTGTTACTTCCGCTTCGTACGCTGCTTGCACCCACATGTCCAGCGCTGGTATCTGGTGCCCCCTTGCTCCTGTCCATCACGTGAACGTAGTCGGTACTAGGATGAGCATAATCATTTTGTTGCATGAATGACGTTTTTGCCTTTTTCCCTGTAAGTTGCTCGAAGTGCATTCTATCATCCCTGTAGAAGCTGATATTGTCCGTTGCATATTTTTTGCTGTAAAAAATTTCTCTTGCGTTTGGCTCGTCTTCATAGTCGCCATAGGTGCCCGTTTTCTCAGTAACACCATTCATACCGTTGAGCCTATGCATGTTTAAGGCGTGGACATGCGTGTTTATTCCGTTTTTGGCATACTTCTTCAAGCTCTTTTTATAAGTGCTAGCTTTTTTTTTAGAAACATCTCCTGTTGATAGTTTGGATGGAGACTTATTTTTGTAGAGCGGTTTCTTATTGTGGTTGTTGATGGTGATGTAATTTGTATTGTTGTGGTATATAATGCAGGTATTATTATTATTGCTGTTGTTATTATTATTGTTGTTATTATTATTATTATTATTGTTGTTACTGTTGTTGTTTTCTCCGACGTTGAGTTTGTTTAGGCAGTTATTTGCGTTAGCGCTTCCATTCATATTTTCTGTGACGTTACTATTACCTGCGGCTACGTTTCCGGCGCAGACGCTGCTGCTAGTGATATGGTTGACATAGTTTTCCCGATGGTCTATTTTCATTTTTCCGTTTATTTTTTTCTTTTTTGTATGATTAGTTTTGTTGTATTGTTGTGGAGGAGTAAATATTGCGATACTGTTGTTCATGCAACTGGTGCTGCTACGACTGCTGTTGCTAACCTTTTCGCTGTGTAACCCTTTGGCACTATTAAAATGAGCAGCGAGAAAATTTCCTTTCTCGTTGGGGCTCATATTCTCCTCATCCATGAGCTCATTCTTCATTATAATGTATTGTTGGTTGTTGTTGTTGCTATAAAAATCGTCCACGTAGAACGTGTCCTTGTCATTATGCCTTCCATCAGATGTAAGCATTTTGGGGTAACTCTTTCTCGTTTTGTTATTTCTAAATGATTCTTGTTCCTCTACATCTACCTGTTCCTTGCATCTTTCAAAAGTGTGATCCCTTCCAAACTGATCAAACATATCCTCCGTGATGAATACTCGTTCGGAAGAGCTGGACGAATTGGTGCACCTTTTGGGTAAAAATTCATCCTCATACGAGTGGTCCACGACGTTGCTGTTGGCGCCTCCATTATTATTACTGTTGTTGTTGTTGGTAGCGTCATTGTTACTACCTATGTGGTTGATACCTATGTGATTGCTACCGCTGTGGTTGCTACTGCTATGATTTATACTGCCGTTATTGCTTCCTCCACGGTTACTACTACCGTGGGTACTACTTCCATTGTTACTGCTGCGATTGAATTTCTTCAAACCTCTGCTGTCGAAGCTGAAGGGCACATCCCCATTGCCCATTCTGCTGCTTGCACCTGCGCAGTTGTTACTGTAGCCCATGTTGATGGACTCATACTTTCTCTTGTCCCTGGTTTTCCAGTACATATAAGTATCATCATTGGTGACATTTTCTGAAAAGCTGATTCCATTTGGGTTCTTATAAGTCTCCGCTGGCATGTTACTTGGATCGTCCTGTGCGCGTGTGTAGCGCAGATTATGGGTGTGCGTCTGACCTTGCATTCGGTTAGACATTCGGTTGGACATTCGGGTAGACATTCGGTTAGACATTCGGCTGGACATTCGGCTGGACATTCTGCTGGACATTCGGCTAGACATGCGGCCGGACATTGGACCATGAAGCTGACCGTGGCTTGGTGGGCCATGGCTATGGCTGTGGGAGATATAGGGATAGTGATGCATGTTGCTGTTGTACTCGTCACAATTACTTTCTAAATGATTAAAGATATTCATATCATTACTCCTTCTACTTTTGCCCGTTTCATTACTGATGTCCCGGCTTCTGCTGTTGATAAAATGGGACAGCAGGTTTTTATTATTCTGCAAAATTGCTTTAAATTTATGTTTTTGTCTGATATAATAATTATTATCAAGGCGTTCCAGTATGTTATTTTTTGCGTGATCATTTATATTTTCATTTTTATTTGAAATTGCAATGTTGTTAATTCGATTGGATATACAAAGGATGCTCTTTATGTTACCCAATTTTTTTCTGTGACCAAAATTTGCCTCGTTTTTCTCGTAATGGTCATTTATATTGTTGCTTAGATTTACATTCGTGTTCATATTTCTAAAGAGTGTATCATTTTTTATAAAATCATCCTCATCATCTGGTGCATGATCGTCCATGATACTTCTGGGGAAGCAATCATTGGAATGATAATTTGTGGAATTTATTTCGTTTAATATACTATTCTGCACCAATGTTCCTTCGTTCATATTCTGTTCTTCATCTGCCAATCCTGTTGGATTCGTGTCCATGATGGCCTTTTTCCTGGTGCTGATTTTGTTGACAGAGATCCCGTTCATAGTACTCATTGGGAGCACGGTGCTGCTGCCCATTCCGTTTAATGCATTTGTATTATTGCCTGGGTTTTCTAGCACCGCTAAGGAGGCGTCAGCAGTATTACCAATGCTGGACATGGGACTGGTTCCATTGCCATTTGCAAGTTCCAATTCTTCTGTCAATTTGAGTGCTGCTTTTCTTGCTTGACCTTTCAATGTGGAGCTTAAATTTTCGAAGGGTTCCCACGTATTATCATCACTGTCGTAATTTTTCCATTTTATAAAGAATTCAAAATTGTCAAGACTTTCTTCTTTTTTATTTTTTTTTCTCTTTACGTTTAATTTGTACCTTGCCATGACAATTTTTTCAACCTCAAAGACTTCATTGTAGTCGGGTTCCCCGACTGCAGTTACGCTCATGTCCGAGCTGTAATCATCCTCGATGATGTTCCTTAACTTGTTCCTCTTCTTCGGTTTCGTGGAGCCACCTTTGCCTTTTTTGAGTGCCATTGTATCGTTCGCGCGGGGAATAATGCGGGGTATATGAAGCGACTTCTTATTATGTTGTTAGCACCGTTGTAGTGTTGTTGGTGTGTGTGGTGTCGTCGCGAATGTTGGTGTGCCAGGGTTCGTGACAGGGTTGTGCCGATATAGGCGGGGTGTCCTTGTGCGTTTTAGCTTAGGTGTGTACATGCATATACGTGCAGATGCGTTAGCAAGGGCGCGCAAAAACATACGCTTGCCTTGTTTTCGTTTGTTGGTAGCCACGTCAACGTAAGCGCGAACAACTCATGTACACGCATACCTACAAACACACATGCACATATTTTTGGAGGCCAAAGCTTAAGAGATTCTAGTGACACATTTTATAATTAGTATCCCAAAAAAAAAAAAATAAAATAAAAAGTGTCAATGAACAAGTGTTAGCGGTACAAAAAAAAAAAAAAAAATAAAATAAAAGAGCGAAATGAATAGTTATCCCTTTAACGTGTAAAATGAATGTAATTCTGTGTATGCTTCCTTCTTCCTTTTTCTTTCCCTTTCCCTTTTTGTTTGTGCTTTTTTTCTCTGTATGTATTTCGGGCTCTTAACAAATAAAACAATTTTGTAGTTCAATCTATTACAAGCGGCAAGTAAAAGGATTGGTGGTAATTAGTTTATATATATGTATTCAGGCGGAGAAATGCAGGTTCAATCATTTGACCTACGGGACCTTTGGGTTCAAAATAAAAGATCCTTGGTTTTAAAACTGAATGAACATTATTTTATTCACGTGTGTGTGTATAGGTAGGAGCCAGCAAAAGTGCGAATGAAGGTAAATAGGTCGAGTCGACAGGTGGGGTTCACGGTGAGTGCGAAATATGAAATCATGAAACTGATGAAATACGTGCATGCATATTTTTACGTGTTATACTCTCCTTAGCGCTAAAAAAAAAAAAAAAAAAAAATCCTTCAAACTTAGGCAGTATGTATGCTGAGGATATATATATTTTTTTATTTTTATTATTATTTTTATTTTTTTTAGCGCTGGGGAGGATGGGTGTCAATGAAGCCAAAGATAAAAGGCAGACGATGTACGCGTACGTCGACATGAAGGTACACAGGGGTATGCGTGCATGCACAGGCATGCAGTAAATTGTTTGTTAGTCTTTTCTAGGACTACCTCTCACTGTGCATACAAAAGGGAAGCTAAAAAAAAAAAAAAACTATGCAGTGCGAGCACTTTGACAAAACAAAACATGTGACATAAAATAAAAATGGCAATTGTAATAAGCGCAATTCGTTGTTGCAAGTTGTTCCGATCTGATTCGAACAAATCCTGCAGACAACAAAAGGTTATCTTTGAATTGTTTGAACCGTCAGTGCGAGTGCACATACGGAGAGGGTAACGCAGTTTCTGTGCTCAAGCATGTACATAGGGCGGACATGAGAAATTCTGCGAAAACGTATGCGCGCACACATATATAAATGTAAATGCAAGTGCAAGCGTAAGTGTATATTTTTTTTTTCTTGTACGTACAGGTACACATGCACCTTTGCATACACACCCCAGAGCGCGCGTGTCTCACGGTCAATCTGCTGTTAAAAGTATGCACATTTAATCATTCATAAATTGTCCGTGTAAACGCGGATGGCGGGCTACATAAGTAATTAAAGTTTAAACACTTCACACACTGTTCATATTGGATATTCATGTAGTGCATATAAAAGTTGTTACGTCCTGGGTGGTTTACATGAATTGTGTCAGACGGTTACATACTGGCGGAAGGGCAGGAAATATAAAGGTATAAAATGCATGTAATATGTTTGTTACATGTCCTGTTCGACTACTGAGATTGTATGCATACAGCGACATTCGGTTTTCCAATAAACAAAAACAAAAAAAAAAAAATTCTAATGATTTGTGAATTTTGCTCATTCGTTAAGAGCAGCCGTCGGGAGAGCCAGACACACATATACATGTGGTGTGCATACGGAAATACATGTACACACGCTTATGCACCAATGCACACACAAGGTGTCATTTCCCAGCGCACCTATTTAAATTGGTGTGAGAGCATCATATGTGCATACGTACAATTGCATTGTCCTAGACATACTGTTATGAGCGCGGAAATAATTTAAAACAATTGGTCGGATGGATACACAGCGCACATGTTTCTCCTTTCACATTACAACGCAAAAGTCACGGGAGGCATAACACGGAGTAGCAAAAAGGGGTTAATGCTCATTATTTTTGTCAGATCAATAGAACAAAAAAAAAAAAGGCACGAAACATGTGCACTGAAAAAGAGGGCCTTGAACATAGGAGATAAAAAAAAAAAAAAAAAAAAAAAAACGGCGACAATTACTCGTTATAGGGCCATTAATTTTTAAAACAAGATAAAATTTTCCATGCCACTTGTGCGCACTTGCACCGATACGTATGCGTAGGACGGTAAGATATGCACCCTGTGTTGTAAGCGCCGCACAGCAGTGTAGCACGTCTGCCTTTATGTATTATAATGGCGGTTCGTGCACATGTACCTGGTTACGGTGGTTCTTACAAATGCGCAACTGGGTATTGCTGAGTGCAAGCGCTGTGTAAAATGGTACGTACACGCACAGGGAACGCGGCAATATGAAAGTCGTGTATGCATTCATATACATATGTGTATTTTTTTTCGCGGCTTTGCGGCGGGGCCTTCCTCGGGGGAAGCGTCGCCTAGACGGGATTGCACATAACGGGATATATGTGAACATATATGCGAAAGCGTTTGGCTCCATTCATGGTGTGTGCGAATTTGCCTCTACATGTATACGTTACACATACATGCTTACAAAGTTGCATGCACATGTGTTCACATGACATGCTATAGGAGCTATAAACAATTTGTAGAATAATTATAAATGATTATACATGGTCATAAATAACCATCAACAGCCATACGCAGGTGTACATATTGTAGTACACCCACTGTAAATTGAAGCACGATCGTGTGAGCAACTGTGCTTGGGGCTACTCTACCATCCGTCGTGTTTCACTAAAAAAAAAAAAAAAAAAAAAACTCACTAAAATTTGGAAACAACGGTGGGCGGATGGCACTCATGAAGAGCTTTTTGTTTTTCTTGTTTTTTCTCTCTATTGAACAAGTATAAAAATGTTTGAAAAAGATAAAAACACAAGTACATAGCAAACGTTCAAAATGGAAGAGCAAAAACATCCACAACAAACAAATGTAACTATGCGAAATATACACGCACGTACAGCGTATTTATATGTATAGATATTTTTTCTCCTTTACCTTATACATATACATATTTTATTTATAAAACGGTCGATCAAAAACTATAAACGCGAAAAATGCATATGAGCTTTTTTCTTATATATACATCTGACCTCTCGCTCTCTGTTTAAGGGTTCACATATTCTTTTCTGCTGCAAAATTTCACGGTGCATTTTTTTTTTTATGACGTTCGTTCACAATTGCACGTAGATCAGTTCACTTTCCACACGATGCGTTATGCGTTTTGCTTTCCCGCGTTCATGGCACAATTGTTTTTTTGTTTTTTTGTCATGAATACGCGTGTTTTTTCATACGAACAAGGCAGACTATTGTTTGGGCAATGGTGTGAAATATTTTACTTTTATATATATGTACATGTGCTAAGGGCTCAGGCAAGCTGCACAAAAAGTACACGAAAATATTGTCGTACCATCACCATGTAGGGTAAACTCTGCAGCGTCATATTTATATATCGGGATCTATGAAGCAAGGTGCGCGCTGTTGATTATGCCGTTATATGTAGATATGCATTTGTGCAATTGTGGAAGCACATTTGGACGTGAATAGGCACGGCGAAGCTGTAAAGCCCGAACACTGCCCGTTAAGGTCGGCATCAACATTTCAACAAAACGCGCACGCGTGTGTACAAAAAAAAAATAGCCTTCAAAAAAATGTGCCGTTGTGAAATGTACGCACATGAGCATAATTTGCATATATATATTTATGTACATATTTTTTTTATGTAATACCAACAGTGGCGCTTACAACAAGCTTCCGCGAACCACGGACACAAAACGGCGAACAGCATATCGATCCGCCCAACAACAGGAGCGAAACAAATCCCACAGCAATCCGCATTAAGGCACAAAATGATGTATATAGGGTGGGACAACGCAGCCCCCATTTCGAAAACCATATAAAAAAAAAAAAAAAAAAAAACGTAAGAGAATCCGAACATACACGCACGCTCATTTTGAGGAGCAATCGTAACATTTCACCTCCATGTGTCAGAAAAAAAAAAATATATTTTTTCTCAAATATGTGGTAAAGGCAGCATTTATATATATATAAATATTATATTATGTACATCTTTGGGGCACTTGTAGGAAATAACAGAGAAAGCATGGGGTTTAAGCTTTTATGTTGATAAGTAGTGCATTTTTTTTTTTTTTTTTTTTTTTATTTTAGCGCATGAGTGGTTTGAAGCAAAAGTAACTGGTGGTATGGGTTTATTTCATTACATGATGATTTCATATTTTTTGTGAAAAAAAAAAAAAGTTTATGTAAGGTTTATTGCCCAGGATGGGTAACTCAGCATTGGCCTCCTCATAGCATCTGAGACTTTGTACTTCACGTGTACGCTTCTTACGGGCAAGCCATTCGCGTGTAAAAATTGGTGGTAAACTTTACAAGGCTGGACATTGCAAGGGTGAATATTGTGCAGGTGAATACTGTGCTGGGGGATCCTCATGTAACTCGCCCACGTGTGCATGTCAATTACACTATCCCTAAGCACAACCTTTTATGCGGCACCTGTAGGGACACCCCATCCCCCATCTTCACTGTTACGTATCATATCCTCGTAAAGACGCTGGACGTATAAAATGAAATATGAGAAAAAAAATTGGAACAACGATAAGGGAAAAAAACAAAATAAGAAATTTCCGCACGATGGCACTTACAGTAGGGGAAAAAGCAGGCGGTATGGAAAACATGACGAGGGCACAGGAGAGTTTAACAATATGTCCTATCGCCACGAAAGGGGGCGTATTGAACCGACGCACAGTGATATACAGCAGGGCGACGAGTTCAATTCAGACAGGCCCACGTACGCATCCGCTTCGTCTAATTTTAACAGAAGCAATAACTATGATGTGAACAATAATGTGCTCGATAACTGGGGCCAGCAAAATAACCAATACATGGCACCCCCATATAAAAAGGGGGCGATGAATCAAAAGGCGAACGTCCGAGGTGGCATGAGAAATAATCGTGCTCGTTATAATACGAGGTTTGTAAGAAATGGTGGCCACAGGGGGTCTAAATTTAGTGCGTATGCAAGTGGCGATCACAACGTTAATGTGAACTTGAATGAAGAGGGACGCCCGCCGAATGAAGACAATTACGACTACGTGGATGATTATTATAACAGTGATGCGTACTATTCCGGAGACGGCCGCCATGGGGCAGATCACTTCCACCATCGCGACCATGAGCGCGAGCAAGGGCTGTACAGTGGTAGCTACAACCACGACAGTTACAACCCTCACAGTAATGACGCAAGTATGCGGCATGCACGCAAAAACGACCATACGTATGAGGACATGGAGGGTGATAACTACGCAGACAGTTACGGAGATCATCACACTCATCACGGTAGTGGGGACTCGAGAAAGGCCGACATAAACCAGCAGCTGAGCACCCTGCATAGGAATTTGCACAATTTACTTTTCTCCCCTGCAAAAGCGGAGGAAGAAAAAATCCTTAGTGAAACAAACACCACGTCGAAGAACAAGGATTCTAACGAAAGCTTGTTGAACCAGTTGTCCCTTTTGAGAAATATTCCTTTTAATGTAAAGTCGTCGGATGGGGCAGGCGGCACTGAAGGAGGCAAAGATGATGGACTTAGTAAGGAAGAGGTGGATGGCGGCGTCAACGATCGACATAGCCCTGAAGCGCAGCAGAAGAAAAGCAGCCAAACCAGCAAGACAGCAATGATACTGGACGATTTGAAAAAGTGCCTCTACATGAGTAACAGTCAGGAATCGAAGAAGACGCAACCCGCAGGGGACAATATGAGCAACTTACACTCACAGAATCGCGCAGAGGAGGAGTGTGAAACAGAGAGGAGGTACAATTCAAGCAGCTACATAGATAATGAAGATAGCCATTTTAATGTGAATAATGGTAGAGGCTACAAAACTGTTGAGGAACGTGGGATGAGCAGACGCAGCCCCAGGAACAGTAGTAGAATGCAAAATATGTTTCTTTCCCCACCAGGAAATGTAGAAAAGAAAAGGATGAAGAGTAGTAATGAGGAGGAGGTGCAGCAGGATAGGACCAGTGTGCGTTACAGAAATGACTCAAATTATTACAACTCGGATGAGATGGACATCGAGTCGTCCATATCAAGCGACCACAGCCTTGTCATGGATGTGTATAAGAACGAAGTGAAGGAGGACAACATGGTAACATCCAGTGGAAATATATTTCCGAGAAATCAGATAGCGGAATCTTTGAGAGTGTTAAATACGTTACAGGTAGACATTGAAAGAGTCTGCTGTTACATAAAACATTTTATAGATCCTCCGGAACAGCTGTTCCAAGTGATGACGGATGTTTTCGTGGACAAGTCAGTTTCAGTAAATTCGAAAATTGCGATTTTTTATGTGTATAATCATTTAATACAAGAATTGAGAAACAATTTAAGAAACGATTTGATAAAATATTATTCCATCGCGGAAAGTGGGTTACACAATTTTGTTGTCCCAGTAATGAGGTGTGTACTACATGAACAGGTCAACGCAGAAATGATTAACAAATTTTACCGATGTATAGCCATATGGAATGAAAGAAATGTTTATAGCAAAATAGTATGTGAACAGCTAAAATTACTTCAGAAAAATCCACAAAAAAAAATTGAGTTTACAGTGAAAAATGTAGCTAGCCAAGCTCACAGTTTGCTATCAAATGAACTATCCAAATTTACGCCCATAAATTTTATTTTAAAAATGCCGAGTGTGAATAATGAGCATAGGAAAGCTCTGGAAGATACAACTCTTAGTGCGCTATTTGAAAATATATCAAAGGATACCCTGAAGGGTTACGATGACGCGGATGTTGAGGAAGCTTCCAGAATGTCAGACAAGGTGATGCGCATGTATGGGCAGGAATTAATTTTAATTAATTCTCAAATATTGGAATTATCCTCCTTGATTTGTGATAATAATGAGCAGTTGGTGAAGCTGCAGAGTGCGCTGGAGAAGCTACGGGATTGACGCGGGTAAAAACAAGGCAGGAAGCAATTTACGTGCTCCTTCTACGGATAGGCAACTCAAGCGGGTGGATCATAACGATAAAGCGCAATACGCCTTTCCAATGTGTCGCCCACCCCGTCGCGCACCCTGTTGCGGCCCATCCCATCCGTGGGGCCGTTCCATTTTTTTATTTGTCTTTGAATTTTATTGATGTATTTGTCTATTTATGCTCACTCGTGGGTGATCCGCATGTGTGTTTTTTGCCTTTTGCGTTTCGCCTTTTTTAGCCCATTCGACGACTCCCTCTTGCATGCCGCCTATCTGCGCTGCATCCCTTGTTTTAGTCCCGATTTGTGCTCCTGCTTTGAGCATTTCTTCCGTCTCTCCGGCAGGAGTAAAGGTCGCGCTGAGCCCACTCAAGCGTCTGCTTTCCCCCCCCTTTTTTTTTTTTTATAAACGGCCATTTTTTTGTTTTTAAGTCATTTTTACATTTCTGCAAATGTTAAGAAGTTCCAGAAAGGAATTACGCTCTTTTCCTTTAACTAAAGATGAAGCGTGATCCGGAACGGTATGACGTGTATTATATGGTCGCTGTCAATGGCCTATAAAATGGACGGGAACAAGGCAGTGCGAGATCAGACCGCAGGGGTATCCTTTTAACAGTTGCTCATCTGCAGTTCCGAGTGAGGTCTTTAGAGGGCCGGTTAAGTCCATTTTCGTAGCCATTCCCTGAAGGTAGGAAAAAAAAAAAAAAAAAGGGGGGGGATGAAACAAGCAGGGTTGAAGAGAAGCGGTCGCAAAAAAATTGCGGCATGGGGAGGGGACAGTCGAATAGGGCATAAGACGATCCGCCCAATTGGGGTATCCCATTTCGCGTATAACAATTGTGTTCTCCCCATTGGCGGCCACATTTACTTACGAGGAAGTCATTTGTATGTTGAGCGAAAATGCCAGAGCCCGTTTCCAGAGCTCCCGCGTATAATCATCGAACATGATGATTTTAATTTTTTTTTCCGGCAACTCCCCATGCTTGACTTTATAGTTGAGCGCTACTATACTTTCGTAATTATTAACAAATTTAATTTTGCTCAAATTTTCGTTATTGTATTTGTGCACAATTTTTAGGAAGGATTTGTTTGCAGATAGGTATCTCTGGTTATGTTCGTCATGTTGTCCACCCTTGAGAACCTCATCACCGCGCTGGTCGTCTCGATGGTCGTCTCGGTGATCGTCACCGTTACCGTCGCTCTGCCCGTCAGTCTGCGTGGTGGACGTGGTGTTCGTCGACAAGAAGACATTCTCATTGGTGTACTCCGTGTTGTTACCGGAGTACACATGTTTGATGGTGTTCCGTACTGCACACTTCCTGGCAAATGCAACATTTTGGTCATCAGTAGGACTAGCACAGAGTCCCAAGAAATTATTTAAATATATCTTTTCATTGGTGACTATTTTTTTTTTCCCTGTGGTGGGTTCTTCTGCACTGTCTAGACTGGACTCCACATAAAGATGTATGTCATCCTTTTCTCCATCGACGAATGGACTTAAACATAACCACTTTTTAAAATTCAATTTAAAAATGTATAAATGATTTTTGGTTAAAACGAAAAAGAAGAGTTTCCTTTTTTTCGTGCTGTTTGTATTTCTCCTAAAAATGTTAAATTGTTCTTCGTTTGATTCGGCTTCAGAAGATGGTGCCTTTTCCTGTTGGCTGAATGCACCCCTAGACTCAACATAAGACGAGTCCGAATTGGGTTCAGACTGGAGGGACTCTTCATTTGGTGCATCATGTGATGCTCCATGCAGCTGTTCACGTTTACCACTGTCTAAATTGTCTTTCCTTTTGCCCCCTGCTTTTCCTCTCCCCTTACAATACTCATTTGGTTTGACCTCCTTATATGCAAAAGAGGTTATAATAATGTTCCGTATATTCATGTGCCTTTTGAGGTTATTTGTGAATACGGTATCCTGCACCAAATCCACCTTTGTTTCTACACTGCCCCCGGATAAAAATTGAGAATAGGAAATTATTTCATCGCGAAAATGTCTGTTAACACTTATGAAAACATCGTAGAGTTCGTAGCTCTTATGATCTTCGTGACTTATGTAACCAAAGACAAAAAAATTATCATTATGTTTGGTCAGGCATATTCTGGTTATGTCTTTGTATTTTTTCTCAGAGTGGATTATAAGTTTGATGTCCTTATCTTCTGTTATGTTTTCTTCAAAATTGTGTGGGATATACACGAGGTAGTACTTGTCCAGTCCGATTGCTAGGAAGTACCATTCGACGGCTGCAGAGGGGGAGGCGATTAGAACGAGTTGGTGAATACACAACAGTGGGGTTTATACGAGAATGACTTGGGTGAAGTGAGAATGTGAACGCAGGTACTTCACCGCCCGCACGGGGTAGTATCTGCTCTTTGCGGCGATGCGCTCATGTTAGCTGCTACGCCTTACCGTTCTCCCGCACGTAGATGACTGGGGAAATGTGGTAAACCTGCGAGGGGGCGCGTCGTTCCAGAGACAGCTGGTTCTGCAGGACGATCCGCAAGTATATAAGTTTTTGGTACAGAAAAAGGGCGTGAAGGACGGATCTCCTGAAGAGTATTTTGTGAATATATTTCTTATAATTGACAAAGTACAAAATAAAGTACTTCAACTTTTTGCAAAAGCACATCAAGTAGGAAAGGGTGAAGAGTGTGTAAAAGAAGATGGTGTGAATGGAAGTAAAATTTTTCTTGTGGTAAATATAGGAGGCGTAGACTGATCCGTGATGGACGCTATTAATATATATAAAGAGGTAAAGCAGGAGAAGAATATTATTTTTGTAGAAGAAAAAGAACAAGGAACAGTCCACACACCATTTTTGTATTTCGCTGTAGTGAGAAAATTGAATATAAATAATTTTTTGCGTAAAACAATACAAAAGTTTACAAAATTCTGCGTAAAAATATTGTTCCTTGTCCGACAAGACATATTCTTCATTGATAAGTTTGTTAATAAATTCTCTACTGAGCAATTTACAGTAGTAGAAAAAAATGTTGTAAAAAATTAACATGTCCATGGATTCCACTGCTGTCAAATTTTGCTTCAAAATTTCGCTATACAAACGGAAGAAATGAGCATATACGCTACAGTCGTAAAAACTACACTGTGATAGAAGTTGGATCATGGTCTTGAGGACATTTGTCTTTAAAAAAAATTCCTTCACCCGTAGGTAGTGGTCATGTTCATTATTGTTTACGCTATTTATTATGATGCTGAAAAATATGCGAAGAAATGTGTGCAAAATGTGTGCCACATTTATTTGCCCTTTGTTGCAATTTACAAAAAGGCCTCTTTTGCTAAATAGAAGTATGTTAAAGGGGCTAGTTTTTTGTTCGTAAGTTTTTTCCTTATCGAAGGACAAGAGTTCACAGGCGATTCTGTCTAAGACCGTGTCGTTTGGATTTTCTTCTGCGAGGGAAGAGACTGAAGATTCGTCATCACGGTAAGAGGGTTCAGTGGTGGAGGAGTTCCTTCGACGGATTTCCTTATTATGACCAATCTGTACATGCTGAGGGGGGGGATTCCCTGTTTGTGCATTTTCGCCTTCCATTTGACTTGTACCATTGTTGACACTGTGGACATCCCCCGTGAGTGAGTCGTCCAGCGACCCATCAGGTGATGTCCTTTTCAAAATTGTCACATCAGGAGAGTCATTTCCGAGGTAGGCATTTCCCCTTGCAGGGCGAATTGTTTTTTTTTTCTTTACCACCTTGGGCATTTCGAACATGTGCTCAAGATTACACTCAATGTCATCATCCACGAGAGAAATGTCAAATGTTTGCTGGAAGTTATTATTGTGTAGCCACAAAAATAATTTCTTCTTTTTGTCTTTTATGTTTTGTAGCTCATCAAGGGGAGGAGTACCTGACCTGTTATCTCTTTTTTCCATTTGTTCAGGTAAAATTTTTGATCTGATTTCCTTTTCCTTTAATTTTAATTTTGAAATTTTTTTTTCATATTTTAATTTGTTAAACTTTAATACCCCTGGGAAGTAGTTTTCCCTTTGCTCTTTCTTCAATTCTGCGAAGATATTTTTCTCAACAAATATGTCCAGCATGGTGTATAAATTGGTCATATGGAATGTAACGAATGTGTGTAGTTGCTTTTTGTAATCCTCAAGGTCAGCGCTATTCATCATGTAAAAATATTGCAAAATTTTTTTCCTGTTCCAGTGTTTTTCTTCCATATTACATAAGTCGAATATGTTACAATGTGTATCCGTTTTGAATTGATAAAAGTAACCACTGAAAATGTCAGCCACGTTGATTAAAAGTCGTAAACATATCTTTTTATCTTTTGCAATGTTATTTTTGACTAAAGCTTTGAAAATATTTTCAATGTTGGAACACCACGTGCGTTCGATTAAAATGTCGTAATCTACGTTTATTTCGCTAAACAGGCTGTCTTCATTTGTTAAGACGTTTATAAAGTAATAGCTCATGGAGTTGTTTCTCATGAAGTATCTCAAGGGGGGGTACCTGGAGCACGTGCGTAGTACTTCCACGGTTATCATGTTCAAATCAATTTCTCCATCATCCGAGTCGACATTAGCGTATGCCTCTGCTTCCCTATAGTCCACATCACCTCCTACATACTCGCCGTGTCTCCCTCGAGCCGCTCTCCTCCCTTTTAATGGCGCAAAATCATTTTTCCTGTGGAGGATAACTGCCCTCAAGAGGAACTGATTCATGATGCGTAGAATGCCGGTAAGTGTGTCCTCGAATTTATACTGCTCTACAATTTTGGAAATGTCTTCATGTTTTATTACCTTCATGTATATCTTGACGCAGTAGTAGTAGATTTCCTTCCACTTTTCGTTCAGCGTGATTTCTTTTTCACGCAGGAGGAAGAATATTTTGTGGAACTCGATGGACTTGCAGTCTTCGAATGGGATGAGGTGAATACACCTGAGGAGGCGGATCACCACGTCTTCGTTTTGGCTTTCTGCAATGTAAATGGTGGGCGGTTAAATGGTGGGACGTTAAATGATGCGACATTATTAATCGGGGTGTATCGATGCAGGCGTTGCAATGGAGGTGCAGTGAACGGCGCGTGTGCCCTTCATCGCAGAGACTCACCGAGGCACACGAGCAAGTAGTAATTAATATCGCTCTCCCTGAACGCCTTCTTCACCTTCACAGTGAATTTATCTACGTCCTTCATAAAAAAAAAGGCAAAGATGTCAAGTGTGTTTTTAACCACGTCGTGTAAATATATTTCAACATCCTCATCTGCTTTGTGGTAGTAACGAAGCATGGAGTTATATTTCTGTCCAAATAAGAACGGTATCACTATTTTCAAATCCTTGGTATTCTCTAAGATATACTCAATGTTCTTTTTGTATAACTCTTCATTTTGTAATACTAGTAATAAGCCAGCCAAACTTGCGGTTAAAAAGTACGGATTGCTCATGTCCATTTTAATGCCAATTAGAAGCAGATCGATAAAGTGGTGAGAGTTACACAACTCGAATAGAATTTCTTTCTCAAATGTGCAAATATTATTTATGGTATTTAGAATTATATTGGAAAAGACAGATTTTTTTTTTTCAAAATGATTCATAAAATCTTTTTTTATTATTTCCTTGATTTTCTTGAAATAGAAATTTAAGTGCATTTTTTCCTTTATCAGCATTGCGCAGTGCTTAACGTGGTTCCCACATAGTTGCTGTACGATTCGGTACACCGTCTCGAGGTGTGGTGGCGTTTCTTCGAAGTCTTCTTGCTCTCTTTTGGTCATCTCCGCGGTAAGGATCTGCGGGACGGCGGTGCCACATGGGCGTACGTATTTTCCATATATCCACGGCGGGGTAGAAAAAAAACGGCTTATCGGTCGGACGCCCCACTAAATTAAACGCAAAGTGGACAGCGAAGTGGAGCAAGAAACGGAGCAAGAAACAGAGCGCTCAAGAGAAAGCAACGCACCTTCAGTAGTCCCTCGTCGTAGGCTATTAGGCAGTTGTGCCGATCTAACGTGGCCACGGAGAGAAATCCCAAGATGTGTTCATCAAAGGAGCCCCGCAACAGCTTGATGACTTTATGTATGCAACTAGTAAAGCTTCGCGCGATCGTTTCATCCCTCGGCATGTTTTGTAGTCCTCTGAAAATATTCTTCAGTGTTTCGTTCTATAGGGGGAAACACAAAAAGGACAGAAAAAAATGGGGGAGAATAACCCATCGCGGATATGGTCACGGCACATGGGTCTAGTCCGCTTGGTCATGATTCGGTAGACCGCATCGCGTGCATACAAATACTTAAGGAAGAAAACGCCAGAACAATTGTGCATTTGTCTGAGTTGTCCTTGCTCACCTCGGCCGAGTTCAGCATGGCCGCCGCCACGATTTCCTCAAAGACCAAGTGCACATCATACTTGTATTCCTCGTTGTAGGCCAAGTCACAGAGGGTGCGCAAAATTTCGACGTTCAGATCAAAGGCATTGATAAATATTAACTTGGCAATTGAGTGGAGAAATGTGCTCCTTGCATCTTCATATTTTTCAAGGACAATTAATATTCTGTCCAATATTTGGTTGGCCTTCTTTTTTTGTTCTTCCACATTTTCACTTTTTGCAAAAAAAAATTTCCTAAAGTTCACTGGATCCTCATAACATAACGTTGTTAATTCGTTTAATATGTTCACATAGTTTCCGTAGGAATTTTCGTGTATAATTATTCCTTCGATTAGGTTTAAAATATTTTCGCTGTGGCTAAAATTGTCATCCTTTTCTTCATTTGAGTTGTTCAGATTGTTCAGTATCTTTTTTATCATTTCGGGGCTGGCTACGGCTTAGGGTTATGGCTGCCTTGTCCTGTGTAGCTTTGCTACTCTCAATTGGATGAGTCAATGCTTAATGTGTGAGCATGTCTGGAGGGAAGGGCCTCTTTCCCCACGCGTACGCCGCGTGTGCAGCTTTCTTCGAAGGAATGTGCTCACGTTGGATGCCTTGTTTGAGGGCATATCTGCTCACATTTTTTATTTTGTCAACCCTCTTTCCAGTTCTGTCAAACCCACGTTTGCTCTTATTTGGTCTTGTTCGCGCAGGTGAAATGAGGACACGATAGTGGATGTTTGTAATAATCTGATGAAAGAGGTGGGGGGTAACATTCCTGGTGGTAATGTTAAATAGAGGGAGAGAAAGCACATGAAAATTTGCTTAAGTTGTGAAGAAGGGGGAATGGAACAGAAAGAGATGGAGTGTGCTGAGGTGAGAAATAGGGTAGCAAAGAGTAGGCACATAAGATTACTCCTACTGGATTGTTAACCTGGGGGACGACACACTGCTAGGGTAAGGAACCACACCCGCTTTCAAACCTCGTAAGCGCCAAATTGGGTAACTCCAAGGGAAAAAAAAAAAAAAAAATTTTGGATCATGCTTATATGTGTGTCAGTCTCCTTGGGTGGACAAATTTACAAATAATTACATCCGATTTAGCGAAGGGTCAAACAAGTGAACAAACGGGGGGGCGAGCATTCAATTACACAATCGCAAAGTAAGGCCGATCCTAGGTTCAAGGCACTACTCATTTATTTCATTTTAATATTATACCTTCTGAATGTTTGTGTTACGCCCCACAAAGAATTTTCCGCCGATGTAGCTTTTATTTCAAGTGCTCATTTCGCGAATAATGGCATTTTTCCCTTTTTTTTTTTTTTTTTTTGCTAAACGCCCCTTTATGATCAAACTTGTACAGAAAAATTCACATGCTAGTACAACTACCCAGCCGTTGTCCTCGTATTTGCTATGTAAGGACATTTTGTGTGTGCCTCAAAATTTCTGTTTCGTTTTGTGTTGGAGTTATTCTGCCTGTTCGCCGTGTGTATCTTTTTAGCGACGTCCCGTTGACAAAGTGAGAGAACATTTGTGAAGGTAGTGAAGAAAGAGGCATACATAAGCTTCGTATGCGTGGGAGAATACATATTGCTGCTTAAACACACAATTAAGGATGGAAAACGATGAAGTCCAAAAAGGGGGGGATGTAGGAAGCGTTTTTTTTCGAGGATCTGCGCATTTGCGTAAGGTCCAACCGACTGCGTATTCCCCTGTATGTGTAGACGGCAATGGGGTCGTAAAAGCAAAACGAGCCAAAATTAGCCGAAAAATTCAGCTCCAAAATGTATGTTCGTTTGGAGAAGGGCATATGGACAACAACTTAATCAGGATGATGAAGGGGAAACGTAATTCGATCTGGTAGGACAAAAAAAAAAAAAAAACAGCGAAATGGTGGGAAAAAAATGCGAAATGTTGGAAAAAAAAAAAAAAAAAAAAAAAAAAGAAGGAAAAAAAAAAAACGCTAATAAAACACACGTCACCCGTGCTAACCAGCACTTTAGGATGAAAAACTAAAGCGTTTTTCTTTTGTTTTTGTGTTTCGTTCATAAAAAGCTGTTGTCGCGACTGACATTGTTCAAATATAGTTGTCTTGGGATACTTTCCCCTGTGCCGCTTCACTGTGAAAAGGAAGTGGCAGACGGTGAAGAGCATTTGTTGAGCACATAACAGTTCTCAGCTCTGTGAATTACATCTGCGAGATTGTTAAGTCTGTCCTGTCTTTCCGCCTCTTTTGCATGATTTCTTTTTTACTTTCTTTTTGTATTCTCCCCATTTCCTGTACATAGGCCCGCTGCAACCCCTTCCTGGGAATGAGAACAAGATAAGAAGAACTGAAGGGCGTATTTCATTGTTATGGGGAGCTGTTCGCATCCACACTAAACATATAGGGACAAATATCCATATAATCTAATTTTTCACGAGGGAAGAATAAACCATGCGCCCATGAATAGCGTTAAGTGCTATGGGCGTTTTTTACCTGCGTCAGCATTAGAGAATGACCGAGAGGAAGAAAAGAAATTTTTAAAAAGTGAATTAATTCTGACCAAAATATATGGAGAGAGGGTGTCCAATTTGAAGATTTATAAAGATATATTTAAAAGGAGGATAAAGAAATTAACAGATGGGGTGAATAACTTATTCATTGTTTTAAATAATGAGAAGAATGACGGAACAAAGTTAACTGTAGGGGATGGAAATACTTCGTATGGAATTCTTTTTTACCTCATGAACGATTTGGTGCATAGAAATAGATGCAACTGTAATCTCCTTATCACATTTAGCCATTTCGAAATTGTCAGAAATAGGGTGCATGATAAATTGAAAAGGTATGTCTTTCCTCAGAGGAACGTCATTGACCTTGGCAGTTGTTTCGGATTTGAGAAGGAAGACCACGGCTGGGTTAGGAGCAAGGGAAAAGCTCACAGGAATGCTAGCCTCTCCAGTGGATACTCCTTAAAAGCTGAAAGGGATGAATATAAAGAAAAAAAAGAACGTCTCCATGGTGAGGTTTCAGAAAAGAGGGATACAAGGGATCCCTGTAGGATGTACACCGAGTGGGCAAAGAATCGACTGGTTAACTCGGATGTCCTCTGTGATGTTGACAGTTTTCTAAAAGGAAGGAAAAGGGAAAAGTACCGAAGGAAGCACACGAAGGGGAGAAGTACTGGAGAATGGGACCCCGGTGCTGTGAGAAAGGTGTACCTAAGTGGAGAGAATATAAGGGATATCTGTAAAATGCTATGCAGAAGCGGGAGGGGTAAGTCCGTGGAGGGTTTTCGCGATGAAGTGACCTACGAGGTTGTTGAGTTTTACGTGGAGATGGCACAGGGGAGGGGTCTAGACGTGTCTGGTGTAAGAAGCTATTCTGAGGTAGGTAACAGATCATCCATTTGTAGCAAGTCTCCCGTTTCCACCTGCTCAGTAACCATCATCGTTGTTAACAGCTTGAAAGTGGAGGACTCCTCTGAACGAGCTTTCCTCTCCCAATTCTGTGAGCTCTTCTTAAAAAGGAGAGAAGACGCGAATTGCCCAAGATACGCACATTTAACTTGCGAAAAAAAACACTCACTAATAATTAAGTATTTGTTCAGTTTGTACAAATTGCATCCCTTAGGAGGAAGCACCACGGGGGTGAACTCCCTCCCGTTTGAGCTAAACATTATATACATTTCCAGCAATTTCAAGAAGTACAGAAAAGCTAGCGAATTTATTTATGCCTACCTGAAAGGCCTGAACAGGTCAGAATATTTTGTACAACCAAATAAAAAAATGGAGTATCTAAAAAGTGGATTTCACAAGGTGGATGAAAATATATACGTAGTTAAAAGTCTGTTGAATTATTACACAAAGTTGGAGATACAGACGGGAGAAATTAACAAGAGAGTCTCTAGCTTGAGGAATTACCTTACCATATTAGAATCGTCTGCAATTCTTGGAGCGAAAGGTAGACACCATCAGGCATGGATTGAAAACGGAATCAACAACGTTTTAAACCTTTGCAGGAGTAGCACATCCGAATCGGGTGAACCAATCCAATTAGAAAAGGAAAATTTATTCTTTTTTAACAAGGAAGGGAAGACGATAAGGCGAAATTACAAGGAGGCTGCAAGGGGAGAACAACATGGGGGCAAGTACGCAGATAGGGGAACATGCCAAAGAAGTACACAGATGAAGGACAACACGAAAGGGGAGATGAACCATTTAACAAGGAGTGTACAGCGTGTAAAGGAGATAAGGAGAGGAATTAATAATCCGGATAAGATCCACTTTAAATTAGGTTTGTACAAAAGGGGGGGAACAAATATGATTGGAAGTAGAGATCACTCTAGCATAGACAATGCATACTCAAGAGGGAATTCCAATTTAGAAAAATTCAACCAACACTGTTATAAAGACGTGAGGGAGACCAGGAAAAATGTGCTACACAATTGTTGTGAGAAAAAGGAAGAGACATTTGTGGTAGACCCTAATTCGTGCAGAAATTGTACCCCGGTGAAATATGAATCTAGCGAATCGCATACACACTGCAAAAACGATAATTCTTTAAAATGTAGAGTAAAACTTTTTTTGCCGAGTGATGAGGATTTGCGTCATTTCCCCCAAATGGATGGGACTAACCATGGTCCTTTTGCTAGACGAAGCACCCCTATGCTCAATTTTGTGCCTGCCAATGGAATGAACCCAAAAAGGAAGCACTCATCATGTATTGATCCGTTCAGCAATACCATGGAGGTGGAGAACCTATGCGATAGGGCCATTGTCATTGATAAGGAGAAGGAAATGAAATTCTTACCCTGTGATATACTTGGCATGGCTTACTCGAATGGGTCTGATAGCTCTTGCGAGGAAAACGACAACCAGCTCGAATCCGTTCTACACAATATCGAACAGAATAGAGATTTCCTGAAAAGCATTTCCAGCTTAAATTCGGATATTAAGAAGGGCAAGAAAAAGATCGACAGTCGAGCGAAGAGCTTGTTCGAGCAAGTGGACCAGTGCCTCGGGGAAAAGCCGAGCGACGCCGGGGGCAGAGCAGGGTTGGAGAAGCTGGAGAAGCGGCATGATCTAAACGCAACCATCGAGAGGGTGCGAAAAAATAGAGAACCTCGAACAGATGGACAAGCTGGGAAGCAGAAAAAAAAGAAGGACTATACATGTGTAGAGATGAAGGTAAAAAGAGCATCCAGAAAATTAGCCTTAGAAAAATGTACCATGTCGAATATAAGAAGTGGGAAGAATAATCTCAGTTGCTCTGGAAAAAGGGGCAAGTCTGGAACGTTTCCCGCGCACGGCCTGAGTAGTAATCATATGTTCGATAGGGCAACTACGGGAACTAATAAATTACCTGACAAAGGAAAAGAGGAAGAAGCACGAAATTGCGTGGAACACCCTGTTCACTTAAATGGTTGCAAAATGGATGAAAATAGCGTAGAAGGTATTTGTTCCCCTACCAAAAGAAAGGACTCCAATTTAGCTTTATGTGTAAACGAATTAGACCCTCTCCATTCAAATAACCATTGGTTAGGTCATAATGGAGGTAGCATAGGGAAGGAAATGAACATGGAAGAAAATACGCAGAGAATGGAGGAATATATGCTTTCCAAAGAGCGCGTTAATTACAATGATAATCACAATTTTATGTGCCTTGAAGAATCGCAAAATGGGGACCCATCCAGCATAGCTGAAACTGGTGCACTTACGCATGTTTCGTATGGCAAGGGTGATGGTAGGGGAAACAACAAAATTAAAAAGATGCAGGAGGAGGAAGAAAGCCATGTGCGTTCGTCGAACGAAAGCATATTCTCATTTTCATCAAAGAATAAAAACGAGACCAGCAAAGACAACCACTACTGCAGTAGTGAAGCTACCGACGATGATCTAATGAGTAGTTGCACATTAGGCGAAGAAACAATCAGGGCAGTGTCTCCAAATGGAAAAAAAAAGTACGGAATAAATAACTCCAACGGAATGGCAAGGATGCGAAAAAAAAGACAAAACTGTAGTGCGCATAGTGCAGATAATGAAAACGTGACGGCGGCTAGTTCAGGCTCTCAATCGACAGGAGAAGGGAGCAATGTCAGCGATTCCTGCGAAGAAGAACAGGACCAAAGCATTAAAAACTATCATAATCATTTTAAAAAGTTGCTAAAATCGCATATGAGTTTGCTACAGAAAAAATGTGTAGAGGATAACAACGATTTGGATCTTTTACAAAAGATAAAATTTGCAAAAGGAGTCCTGCGCGAGTACAACAATGTTTTGGGCCGCAGTTGGGATGACAAGAATGAGCAGAGCGTACTTTTGCGCCAAGTTATTTCAAACGGATGGGGAGTGGGAGATATAATGCTTAAGCAACACTGCGGGAGGAGTCGATGTGATAGGCACTCAGAATGTGTAGACATGTGCAAAAATGGCAAAGATGGATTTTTAACAAAAAAAAATAGAAAAACTGATAGTGAAGTGCGATCCGGAAGTGATGCGGAGAGTGCGGACGGAGGAATCTCCCTGACGGGGGCTCAAATGAGTCTTCCTGACTTTTATCAAGGTGTGGGTGAGGAAGCGTGTGCGAATGGGGTGGAACACACCGAAAGGTGTAATGTCGACAGGAGTACTTTTCCCCAGCGTAATGGTAAAAGTAGTGACCACGATAAGAAGCCCTTCGCTAGAGGCACATCAAAGGAAAGCAATTATTACAATAATGATTATGTTGATAATTTTGACGAGGCAGAAATTGAAAAGGGTTATACCCCAGAGGGGGAATATGTCCAATGGGAAGAGCCCCAATTGTGCGTCAGTACAAACAAAGAAAAAAACATATCCTGTGAAAATGATAAAAATGTTAATGCGTCCTCACACTACTATGAAGAAAATGTCCTGCCGGATGATCCTCCTCACAAAGGAAACATCATGACGTGTGACCCAAATGACATTTACAATGAATATGAGGAAGAACAATTTGGGGAGCAAGAAAAGAGCGCCTTACATGTCGACCATTTAGACGAATTACAAAATGGAAGAAGTGGCGCCTCACAGGGAAATTACCTCTCAAAATCTTGTGACTGGGAAAACCCTACTCTCAGGAATGGGGATACCGAGGAAGAACGCAATATTGGATGCGGAGCAACGGACACAATTGGACATGTGGTGGACGATGACATACACAAAAGTGACATGGTAGGAAACTTACATACGGGCGAACTGTTTGAGCCGAAAAGTTTCACGTCCAAGTTGGACGAAGTTGAAGATGTTGTGGTACAAGACTCCTTCACGAATGTCTCGAAAACTTCGCCTGACTGTACAGGCGAAAAAACAACTCTACATAGCCACGCAGTCATCCGCAAAATAAGGAGAAAAAAAAAAGTGCTGAAAAGGGGAATACAGGGTGAGACAAACAAATTAAGCAGAGTTTCCTTAAAAAAGAAGAAATTAATGTCCTTCATTTTGAGGGCCATAGAAAGAGGCGAAAAGGATGAAGAACTCATCGCGATTGTAAAAAGTGCGATTTTTAAGATGGAATATTTTGAGCAAAAAAAAATAAGCAAGCTGAAGAGGATGGAAAACGAATTTGAAAAGTTAACTCATTTAGAGGAAAAAATTGTTAGTAATTGTCTGATGGGGAAAAGTCAATTTAGCGGGGAAAAAATTCAAGGGGGGGAACTGCACAACAGAACTGTAAGGCGCAAAAATGGACACGAGGGGGAAGACGACAACAAGGTTTACCAGAAGTGTGGCAGCCATTTGGAGGAAAAGAAAAATAAAGACGCACACAGTGATGAGGTCAAAGGAAAAGATAAAAATGTGGAAACGTATTTTCAGAAGAAATCGCAAAAAGATGATCAAATAGGTGGTGTGCATCCGCTTCGCGGTGGGGAAAAAAAAGAAAAAAAAAATAATTGTGCACATGTGGACGCGTTTCAAAAGGATCGCGTTTGCAACAATTTTTTCAAATTAAATGGCCATAATAGGGAAAGCAAAAAATCGATAGCGTTTTCCGACTTGTGCGTAAATTTGAAAAATGAAAAGCACAGCGCGTCAACGGTGGACGGAGAACAAGCGATGCGAGTTGTTCCCTCCCTTAGTGCGGCAAAGTTGAGCGACGAGGCGCTGACTGAAAAAAGCTCAAGTGAGCGCACAGCGACAGGCGGGGACTTGCACCCTATAGAGGAAAACAACACCCCTAGAGAGCACCACAAACAGGCAGGTAGCGGCACTGGTGGAGATAAATGTAGAATACGCATCACACCAGCAGAGGAGACGTGCGACGCATTTTTCCAAAATTGTGGGGATACCGCCAACGGTTGGACTAAGCCAAGCGACCATCGATTGGACGGGGATCAACAGCACATAGGGCATTCCCCCGCCTCCAATGATAACAGCGTTCGGGGGGAATACCCCCAACAGGACAGGGACTCTTCCAAAGAAACAAATAAAAATAAAGACAGAAATATAACTGTTAGGTACAGAGATAGGGGGGAAGTACGGAGATCCACCCCGCACAGTAGTCATACGTTTAAGCAAAAGGTAAAGGGGAAAAGAAAGACCAATTTGGGACTTTCCTATGACAGATCGTTGGAGGGGCAAAATAGAGTCCCCCTAAAAAGGAATCCCGCGAAGGAATGCATAAATGCAACAGCAGGTCATGTAACATTGAATTCCTCTTTCTTCTCCAACGGGGGTAGCAGCAAGAAGGAGGCAATATCGCCATCCACTGAGAGTGGGGACAAATCAACACGCCGCGTCAAAGTCGGGGTGAGAATCCCGGTGACTGGGGAGAGCATACCAACCCGGGAAAGACACAGAAGAAGGAAGAAAATATCTGATAAGGTGGGGAAAAAAAAAAGTACAAATATCCATACGGAAGAAGGAAAAAAGGAGAATAAAGGTGGTAAGGAACACTCCGCGTGGGAGGTAAGTCTAGGGCATGCCAGAAGTGAAGAAAGACAGAATAGTAACCAGATTGATAAACCACCCCTACTAGGAAATTCAAAGAACTTTCACGTAAGTGTAAGAATGGATCCCCCTCCAGGTAACAATTTGCAGAGAAAAGGTTCATTTCGTAGGGGAAACGCGAGCAGGGCGGTTTTCCCCTTACAAAATGCGCCATCCAATTACACCCCATTTGCTTACACACAACGTGAAGATGGATACCCAGAATTGATTCCCCAATCGTCTAACCTGCACGGCCAACGTGTAGTTTCACCAAATTGGGATGAAACGAAGAGAACTGGTGGGAACCCCATCCCCAGATGCCAAGCCAAAGACAAAGCCAAAGGATGTGAGGAAGGAGAAGAAGAACAGAGCAAATGGAACAGAGACCAACGCAGCTTCATAAATGTGATGCATAAGTCGACGCCAGAAATGAAGGGAGCAAAAAATATGGAACAAATTTCAATCAAAACGGTTATTAATCGCCAGAGAGAAAAAACAATCCCTTGCATTAACTACGACACTGATAGGTATTGCTTCAAATTGGGGTGGTGGAATTGGGGGAAACGGTCCAAGCTACTCGAGAATATAGAAAGGTGTAAGGAAAACATTAAAGAGAAATATTATCAAAATAGGAGAGAGTGCAAACATAGGTCATGTACCAATTGGAGGAGCAAATATTTTACAAAGTTTCAACCAAATGAATATTTATACATTCCTGTGACGAACAAGAATTATTTTCGGAGCAAGAACTCCCTTAAGATTAGGAGCAACCCAGTGAGTGATTTCCACAAACTTAATTTGAAACCCATAACTGGGTTTTTGCAATCGTATGAAAAGGAAAAGGAACGACAAAGAAAAGTTCCCCGAGGCGTGATTAGAGTATCTACCATTCCATACGTTGTAGACGATTATAATGTGAAGAGTGGGGTACCAAAAATTGGGGGAAAATTTGGGGTCAGCTTGGGAGAAGCAAAAATTATCCTTTCGGAGGATGAGGAATCCAATTTGAATGACACATCAGGGTTTTTCGCCAAGGTCTCCAAGAAGAGTGCCCCCAGTGGGTACTTTCCCAACGGACGTGGAAGCTACTCCAGTGGTACAAACTCGAATGATGAGAAAAGCTCCAAGGGAATTATATTCAAGTGTAGGACGAAACAGGCTCATAAAACGGACTTCAGAAACAGCAGCAGTGGAACTGCATATGGGAAAAGGAATTATAAAGCCAGGTCATACAACATTGGACATGACATAAATGAGGGAAGGACACACGATTGTAGGGACGGCAAAGCGCAGAGTGGTCACGAAGGATCAAATGAAAAAGAAGGGTTGGGCCAAAGGTGGGACCCTAAGAAAAAGACTACCGTGAAGGTAAGGAGATATAGAATTCGCTCCATCGAGTCACTTTCTTCTGTGCATAGTGCCCCAGGGAGATCCCCCCAGGGGTGTAGCTCCTCTATGGTGCGGGTATCCTCTGGTAGGAGCACTGCAAGCAGCAGCGTAGAAAGTAGCGAAGTGGTAGGTACTACTAATGCAAAATGCAGGGTCAATTTAAAATCTAAGAAAAGGGCAGATTACCCACAAGGGGGAAAGCCCAGACATATCCCCCCATCCCAATGTAGCAACAAATCAGAAGTGCGAAACAGCAGCAGGGGGAGTGGTAGCAGCTGTTATAGTATATCCTCAGTGGGAACTCCAAATGAGGTATTTAAAAAGGATACCCAAAGAGACCCACACTTTTGTGCAGGCCACAGAAAAAAATTGACACATGAGGAAAATGATATGGAGAAAAATTTAGCTAGAAGAAATTACAAACAAATGAACATAAGTAGCAAACGGGATTATGCTGGATACACGACTGACCATGACACACATTTAAACATGTACAGGGAAGATTACACAAGCATGGAAAGTGAATTAGGAAGAAATCGTCACGGAATAGAATGTGATGGAAGCGGGGAGAGAGATTCGTCCGCAGGTTCAATTGAGAAGGATTTAGGGGAAGGCCCATGCAGAAGGCAGTACTGTCCAGATGAGATAAACCAAGTGAACTGCATACAGCCTGATAGCTACAAGAGGGGGAAAATACAAAACAAAAAAAAACAAAGCTGTAAAACTTCCCATCACAATTCTTACGCTCCTACGAATGATGGTTACTACCATGAAGGGCAGCATAGAGGTAGTGCCAACCCTCAGACACGTGGAAGGAAGGGGCAAGATGCCGATTTTTTGGAAAAGCAATATGATGAATATTTTTACGATAATTAGCGGGTGCATATGGAAGTAATTAATAATGACAACAGTGTTTGTGGATCACCGCAAATGAATTTGAGCAGAAATTTCCCTTTTCCTTGTCCCTCGATTAACCAAAGCGTTAGTATGGAAGCGATTAGTTGTTGACATTATATTTTAATCAGACATTTTGTTTTGTCTCTCTATCTCGATTTCATTTTTTATTTTATTTTTATTTCTTTTTTTTTCCCATTTCGTGCACACGTTCGTCTCATTAACGATTAACCTGTTCCCGTAAACTGCAAAAAAAAAAAAAAAAAAAAAAAATTACGTTTCGAACAATTGACAAGTTACCATTTTGTTCAAAAGAAATGCTGTACCGTTATGTGCGGAGGTATGCTGACCTGGGGGGGAGAGGCATCCTTTATTTTCTGTGCCCTGTAAAGTATGACGTTGTGGAATGTTCAAGGTTTATGCCAATGTGTAATTGCACCTTGGATAAGAAAAATAAAACTTAAAATTATATGCGTGTACATCTTTGGTGCGTATAAATTGAGTGATCTTTTTCCCGCGTGGTGTGGAAGCCTTGTTGGTCTTTCTTCGCACTGAGCGCGTGTTAACCTCATGCTGTACTTCTTTGAAAAAAAATGCACATGTCGCGGGGTGGAATGTCACGCAGTGGAAATTGCCTGAAAAAGAAAAAAATAATAATAATCACATAAACGGTTAAATTAAGAACGAGCCCCGATTTACTTGTTGTCTTATTCCACCTGCAACGTGTTGTTGAATTTTTTGCCAATCGAATGGATCTTTTTTTATTTTATTTGTTACTATTTTTTTTTTTTTCTTCGGCAACACTCAGCGCAGCTAACACCCAGAATCGTTTTACTCCTAAGGGGGCATCACCATTTACTGGTACAATGTATGCACACGAATGGGAAGAATAAAAAAAAAAAATGCGTCCTACATTTTTTGTTTCGTTTTGTCTAAAAGATTCACCTTGTTGATATTTTATTTTGACCATTTTGTTTCACATGAATGGATGGAAGGTCCTTTTTTTTGTCTTACAGTGTGACGATATAATTGTATTCGTTTAATTTTTTTTTTTTTTTTTTTTTTTTTTTTTTTTTTGTATGTTCGCCCAATTAGGCAAGTTACACTGGTGTTACTTCCTCCATTTTGTGTAATTTTTTCATTTGTCCCTGTGCAGACGCGAGTCCGCGTTAAGGGGCTGTAGGCCCTCTACTCAATGTCGCCATATTTTGCGCAGCATAATTTTTTTTACCATTCACTTGATAGCAAGGCAATGTGTGCCATTTGTCCACGGGGGAAGCCACAGCGAAGTAATACATATGAACAGACTTCGCGTATCGAACTAATTGGTAGAAATACAAAAAGGAGTGTCACAACAGAGAGAACAAAACTTACGCCGGACAAAATATGAAACGAACAGGTAGGAGACCATGTGGGGATCCCCCCCAGGAATGTCCCTTCTCATCGGGAAGGTGTAAATCAAGCGAAGGTAACGAGGTAATGGACGAGGACAGACGTAGGGGAAGAGAGTCGAACGGGTCCAGCACCGAAGAAAGGTTGTTTACTCCAAATTATTATAGCGGAAGTAAGAACAATACGATCAGCATAAAGATAAGAAAAAATGCAAACAGGAATTTGCAACATTCTGAAGAGAGAAAAAAAAAAAAAAAAGAGGAACAGAAATCCTTCATAAAATCGCTAATAGGTAAGATAGAAGAAATGTACAAAAAAGGATTACAAGATAAGGAAAGGAACTCACATAAATTGCCACTTGAGTCCAGATCTGCCTTTCTTTTAAATGAGTATATAAATGTAGAACCCACGAATAACGTGACGTATAGACGTAGGACACCCCAGAAGACTGTACGTAGAAGCGATTTCGTTGGAATAAATTTAAAGCCCTTTGTTAGATTCAAGAGTCATTCCAAATGGGACGACAGTCATGCCAATAGCACCGGTGATCCAAGGAAAAGGGCCATTATAAAAATTTCGAACCAAAGTCCTCACGAAATATTTAACCCCAGGTTTATCAATACGCATCGATCCTCGTCTGAGTACCCTAAGCCAGCAAATTTCTACTCCCTACGGAATGATGTAATGAGGCACAATTTGCCCTTCTGGGGCAGCCAAAGGGAGAATAACGGAATAGGTACCTCGGTAGGAATTCACCATTTGGGCAAATTAACCGCTAAAGAAATTAGAGATCCCAATATGTATGACACACCGTTCGTACACTTGAAACCGGTCCAAAGGTGTGCAACGTATAATCCATGGTGTGGGGGAAGCTCAGATGCGAATGTGAACAAGGCGGGGGTTGCATGCCACGTGAAGGGGACACACCCACATAGACGTCGCGATAACAGTGCAGAAAAGGGAGAACAAAAAATAAGAGTAAGGATAAGCAGAAAGGGAGTGGGAAGAAAGATGGAAGGTGATGGTGATGGGAGAAAAACTGAATCTGTCTCAATGAACAAACGTACACATCATGGAAGGGGCCCTTCAGCCAACGAGCACGATCACTTAGGGAAACATAACGAGAGAGATTTACGAGAAAAGGAGAAAAACAAAAAATTCCAAGTCAACCTATCTCTACCTTTAGACAACCCTAGGGGAAATAATTTCACGGAAGGGAAAAGAACAACCAATTTGGGTGGCAACATCAAAGGAGATGCTTCCTCTCACGTTTTATTCACTTCGAAAGGAGAAAGAGGAATGAACTTAAATGTGAAAAACAGAACGAATGAAGGAATTAGGCTTCGATATGCAGGTAAAGATGGAGAAGATGGGGAAAGCGCTAAAATGTGTTCCAATTCCACTTGTACATGCGACACGACAAAGCATAATAAGCTCCTCTCTGGCACTTACTCATCATTGGGGGGAAGTCAACAGAGCTGCTGCAGAAAAAACACGAAGTGCCATAGAAGTGGCTTAAACATTCATTGTATGGATGGCAGAAGCGAGGGTAGCAACTCTTCGTGGAACAGAACAAAGGAAGAGACAGAATTGCAGATCCATGCAGAGGGGACGAGGAGGAAGAGCGCGTGCACATGGAATAAAGCTCCAGATGAGTATCACGTCCAGTATGAAAGAGGATTTCACAACAAAGAGGACCATAAAGGAATGAGGAAAAATTCATCTCAACTTAGGACAAGGACACAGGACAATAGATGCATAATGGATGCCCGTGTGGTGAAGGGAGAGCACACCAATTCCTATCTTCAATTGGAAGATAATAAAAAAGGGGAACAAATTGTATTAAGCGACGGCTGCGAACCAGGTGAATCCAAAAATGAAGGCCATAAATACATAGTGGAAAAGAAAACAGACGCAGTGAAGGATGAAGGGAAGATTCTCTTATTAACGCAACGTAATGATAAATTGATGCTCGATCCTGGACACGAGGCACCGAGGCAAAACTGCAAAATGTTAACCTGGGGAACTTCAAACAGTGGCAGGTGTAGCTACAAATTAGACAGTATTGCGCTGAAAAGGGGAGAAAAAAGTGGTAAAGGGAATGGAGAAAAATCCCTTACTTGTAATGACTCCCTAGAGGGACAACAGAAATATAAAAACTTGAGGACGATTACTATACCGTCAGACAGTGTAGACGGAACGTATGAGGAAGACGCAAGGGGAAGACAGTTCATTAATGATGGTGAAAAATTTAGGGGGAAACACCACATTGCAAGTTCCTTGAACTTGTCAAACAAAATAGCTTCTGAAAAAAATTCAATGGAAAAATACAAAATGGTGCAGTATGGCAAATCGGGTGTGAAAAAGGAATGTAGTGGTTGCTCCTGCGTCTGCGAACATAGAGAGAACAATATTTGCTACAACGGGGTCGGGGAAAATAAAAGGAGTCGTACAAAGGCTAACCAATTTGGTGATACAAATGAAGTGTTAGAAATAAAAGACAAATTGGGGAGAAGCAGAAGCGTTGCTACAGCCTTGTCAAATAGTCAGCGTAACAAAAAAAGGGAGGAATTTTCCCGTGACGAGGAAGGTAGAAGTTTCCCTTGGACAGGATCATCGCGAAGGGGGGTACACAGAAAGGCTGTTGTACGAAACGAAGTTGAGAAGAGCGATAGTGATAGCCATTATAAAAATGAGGAACGCCTGTACTCGAAAGGAAAAGAAAGAAAGAAAAAATTGAATATGTATGCGAAGGGTAATTCTGTATCCATAGAGCGAGATGTAAATAACAACTCGGGGACGACTCACACACTTGACCGGTATAAATCGCATAGTGGGGACTACTCCAGTGGTGTCCACAAATGTGTGGATGATACAAAGAATGGAGCTAGAGATTGTCCAGCTTGGAAACACAGCCAAGCGGATGACCCAGAAAACTGCTTATGGCATCGTGCAGAACAGGTATATGCTCGATCGCACGAACCAATTTCACACACGAAAGAAGACGCGCAGAAAAATGGAGCGCACCAATGTGTTGTGGGTCAATTGGGGGAAGGCAAAATTGAAATGAGGGCAAGCCAAACAGGCAATAGTTGTTGTTTGCAACAAATGGGAGGAAGGCAAGATGGTGGAATTTTAACCAATGCTGATTTTGAAAAACATACAAACTATAGCACTAACAGCAAAATGCGTCGTCGAAGTGACCACGACTCATCATCAAATCGTAAGAAGGCGGCGAGAAAGGACAAAATGGACAAGCAAAGTGAACACTATACAAGGAGTAACTCCCATTCGCATCACAGTTCTAAGGAGAATTTTGAAAATCCCCAATCATCGCAGTTGTCTTGCACTAACCGCTTGCACAGAGAGAGTAGAAAAATGAGGAGTGCTTTATCGGGTGACATTTTTGCAGAGAACAGGGTTTCCGATTCAAGGAGCAGAAGCGAAATGGTAAAACGGGCCGATTCGAGGGGAGTAACTACCCACTCAGGTCAACGTCGTCACAAGAAAGAGGCACACCATGAGGATGAAAGATACGATAAAGGGAGAAGAAGCAGCAGGTGGGGAAACGCCTCCTCTTCCAATTTTTGCGATTATCCTGGGATGAACAACATAGAAAGGGTTCTCTACAATTCGAGGGTGGTGTCAAGGGAGGAACAAAAGGAAGGTACCGAAGGTGGAAGGATTCGTAGAACAAGTCGTGGCATCGATCATGGAAGCATTGTGCATTACTCACACGGAGGGCATCCCTACGGAGACACGAAAGAAATCGCAGAAGGAAGTCTTGGTCATGATAGTAACAATAATGTATCGTCTGGTAAAGGTGGCAGTTCGCCAAAGAATGCAAGGCAGCATTTTCCCGTGGGCAATGGCTCGAATAGCTGCGTCCACATGTCGCATCTCAGTGGAAGCGCCATGACGTCAAAAAAGCCAACCATGATTAATAGCGATGTGTATAGTGATAAGAGTGGTGGTACGCAAGACAAACAGGTTAACATGGAAAACAGTTTCCGCTGCGGGGCAGATAACAAATTATGTAGCGACAGGGATGAAGCAATAATTAGAAGTATTCAGTCGAAGGGTAGGGAGAGTAATGTTTGTTGCATCCGCGAATCGGTTTGTAAAAAGGGAAGAGGTGAAACGTTCAGCGAGCGAATGGTGGATGGAGGAAGACTACACAAGGGTGGTACAGAACAGAGTTGGCAGAAGACATTATCGAATGAGAAATGTCGAACCCCCAAAACGTCACATAATTACCACCATGATGATGAAAAGGAAAGAAGGCCAAGCCGTAGAATGAGGAACTCGCTGAGGAAGGACAGCAAATATAGTGGGAACAGCTACTCGGAAGAGGCATCCGCTGATCGGTTCGCCATATTGGACAATTTGAACTCTCCTCATGATGATGAATCGGACATGAGCAGAAGTGGTAATTGTGTAAATGTAGATGTAGCAAAATGTGGAAAGAAGGAAGGTGGGATGTCTTGTGTGAAGAGACAAACAAAAGTGAGTACATCATCCGCGGGAAATATCTCCAATTGGGGAAACATATTGGGGGAAGATTCCTCAATGGAGGAGACGGGCTTATCATATGGTCCCTACTCAATGCTGAAGGAAAGAAGTAGTGAAGATATTTTCAGAAAAAGGAATGGCAACTCGCGTAATCAAAGCAGTTTCACGCAAGGTAAATGTGATTTCTCAAAACATGAACAGCATAATAAGCATGAGCGTGATCACCACATGAATTTCTCGCATGCGCAAAGGGAACCCGTGCGTAAGGGTGATGAGGCAGGTAGCAGTATATGTTTAGGTCGGGGGAGAGCTCCATCCAGAAGGGACAAGTGGGGCAATAGGGGGAACAACTCTGGGCACTCGATCGATGGCCAGATAGACCAGCGCGGGACCTATCACTGTAGACGCGGGAGTAAGCACGCACATTCAAACCGAAAGGGCGATTACCAGGAGGTGGACGAAATAACCCCTTATAATGGATCACCCAGAATGGAAGACAAAAAAAAGCAGCAGAATGGGGATACTAATAAATATAAGGAAGCTAGAAAGCAGACGGGCAATCACAAATCGGGTCGTTCTTATGGCCACTCGGAATGTTCCCAAAGGAGTGGCAGCATATCTGAGGGGAACACCACTAGCTGTTCAGGCAGTCATGCTATGTACGACAAGATTGACCCCTCGAGAATGTCCAGGTCGCACAGTTCCCTGCAACCTGAGGAGAATAAAAAAAGGGTTAAAAGTAGCGATCCAAATTTAGGCGCTCATCATGGGGGGAATCGTCATTATGGAAAAACATCCCGAGAGTGGCACAGTAGCCATACCACACAGGGGGACAGACATCGCTTCTACTATAGCGACGAAAGGGATAGGGAACCGAGTAGAGGCGCTTCCAAATGGGATGCTGAAGGGTCATGTGTGGGGGAGAGGAATAGACGCGACGAATATGTTGACGTGAGGGAAGATGGCATGATGTCCGATCGCAGAAGAACACAACCAGTTGCTAATCAATTATGTGGAAAAAACTCAAAGGTAAGAAACATCCCTCCCGTGGACAGCAACCAGCAAGACACGCACAAAAGGAGACATTCACATTATAGTAGTGCATCTGTCTGTATTCACAACTCTGAAGAAGATGTTACTCCGCCAGGTAATGTCAGCAGTCATGAGAGAACTAGTGAGATGGAAAAGAAACGAACCCTTCAGGAAAAACCAAATAGTATGGGACACAACTGCATAGGTAACGAAGGAATCAATTTCCCTCGTGAGATAGAGACCATTTTGTGCAATAGTCAAAAGGGAGAAATAACAAAGGGAGGCGTCTTGCCCAGCAAAACGAATGAATACCCGCCAAACGTCGACACAGGAAAAGATAACGAGGTGCTTTCTGCGCCAAGAGATTCTCCACTGATGAGTCGTACGACAGACCCCAAAACAGGAGAATGTACGCAAGGAAATGTAACTGAGCAGATGGACAGGTCGAAATTAACCCCAATGATAATACCACAGAAGTTCAATATTGTGGGAAGCGCAAATGTTACGGAGGGCCCAATCCGTATGGAAAATCCGCAGCCCAATTTTGCCAGTGCAAATAATGGCCACCAAATTATGATAAGCAAAACGTGTAGCGGAGTTGTTGGGCTACAAAAGGCCAATGAGTACATGAAGAGTGAGTTAAATTATTATCTAGGTGGTGATAATTTTGCCAAGGGGAGTCGTCATTGCTTCGAGGAAGCAAATGGAAAAGTGGTAAACTCGACGGAAGCGTTCAGCAGAACGAATAGTGTTAAAGATGGAATAATCAGGGTGAATGTGGACCCCTCCAAATGTTGTAGCAGCGGTGCAGTAGGCGCGATCGACTCGACATTAGGGGGACACTCCGACGAAGCTAACCGTTTAGGAAATTACAAAAAGGGGGAGTCACATGAAAGGAATAGAGACCATATGAGTAATATTAGCCTCTTCAGTGGAGGGCAGTATGGTGCTGGGAGTTTAGGCCTTCCTAGTGACCACACAAATGTGGATGCTACTAACAGCAAGGTAGATAGTGCACCCCTTAAGGACCCACTTCCGAATGGTGAAGAGGGAAATTTGTCCACGTTCAATGAAGATAAAAAGGGGATAGGATTCGATCAACAGAATGAAAAAATAAATTTTAACAATGGGATGTATTGCTATGCCAATGTTAGCTCGAGTCAAGGTGTGAAGATGGTGAACCCGGGAGATACTTCCAATCTAAGGAATAATAACACGCTTTATGGACCCCTCAATAAAGGCGTTCTCATGAGCAAGCAATATTCTTACATGTCTGACCCTACACATAGACAATTCCTACAGCATCCCATTGTAGCCCCAAACAGTAACGACTTCAACGGAATGCACTACGTGAACAAGGCGGTGAGTATGCCCAATTTGGGGAGCATAAATATTGGTGGCAATTTATTTAACCCTGGGATTGGAAACAAAATTGGTGACCCCGTGCATGTAACGAGAAATGACATCCCCTCAACTGTGCATACTCCGGCGACTCAGTTAAGTCCTCAGCAGATGATGCACCCAAAGTTTGGCAAAGCGTTACAGGTTCCGATTCATTATGGAAATATTTCAAATGGGTTAACTTACAATCCTATCAACGCTGGGAGGAAGGATCTGTTAATTAATAACCGGCCTTATGGTGGACAAATTTTTTACGACGTCAATGGTAAGGCGTACATAGTTGGCACAAACGGGGAGGCGAATGCGAGCTCAGTGAAAAACATGCGTAATTATGCCCTTTCCAGTTATCACCTTGCGATAGATAATGCAAATCAGGGCAATCTGAATGGGGACAATCTCATCGAGCAAACCGGACAAGCTAATATGGCCATCCCTGCTGTCATACATGGGGACAATGGCATGGGTCTAAAGAAACCGTCCGTAGTGTTATAATTGGTGAGACGCTCATGACTATGATGGATGGAAATTTGCAATTATCAGCAGGAGAAACAGCAGGGCGGGAAAATAACCACACATACATGCTTAGAGATTAAATGGCTCATTACAACCGTGCGGTGCATTTCACTCCTTTGTTGCATAACCCGTTCGTCGCGCAATTCGTCCATCGGACACCGAACGAATTCATGTAACTATTTAAAGGGACACATCCGTGGAAGGCGTCTTGGTACACTGCGTCGAGTTCACTTGCCAATTATGTTGGAACACCAGTGGGGTTAATCCACCGTGGTGTGAAAAATTGTTTATTATTCGGGGGACCCAATTTACATTTCAGTGACACTGCGCCCGTTTTGTTTCTTATGTGCCTCTCTCCCTTTTTTGTTTCTTTTTGTTTATATTTTTTTCCACCTTTGATAATTATTTCTCTTTGTTCTTATGTGGATCCCCACAGTGTGCTGCAGCTACGTGAAAGACCCACTGGGGTAAATTTTTTTTTTTTTTTTTGTAGAGGCTGACAGTACACATGGTGTTGGCACCAGTTTGTCATAGCCACCTTTGTTACATTCATGTGAAAAAAAAAAATTTTTTTTTTGTGTAATAAGCAAATATGTTTGTGTGTTACGCACATGGGGAAGCAACCCGTTAAATTAGTTTAACAACGAAAAAAAGGAGGTGCACGGTGAGAACAAGCAAATCATGCACACACATACATATATACATACATGGACGTATACGTGGTCATATATATGTGCATGCGGCCCCCAGAAAAGAACAAATGGGGGAAACGACACGGCCGTCCTGAGGGGGACCGGGTATTATCGTCATATTGGGAAGAAATCACTTTAGGCTCATTTCGGGACGGGGTTGAGCCACTGTCCACCTTGGCCATACGCCGACGCAACAACCTGGGCCACTTTCCTCTGCTTATGGTTCATGTACACCATATACCATGCCTTGTACCCTAGGTAGAAAATGAGTCCCATGCCGAAGGGGTTGGCCCACCACCAATATCTGTACTGGTACCTGTAATGGAGGAAGGGAGGGAGAGAAACATGTTAAACTGATGCTCATACGCGAATACATAATCCAGCAAAGTCACATAAAGAAGGTGTGTGGCTTTGTTAAAAGTTCGTTTCCCTTTTACACTTCATTTCACTACTTACACCCTCGCGACTTGGGCTATTTGATTATTTGTGAACTGCGCAGCTGCATTATACACATCTATGATTTGCTTGTTCTTGTAGTTGATGCACATTTTCTTCCAGGTTTTGGGGTTTATGCCCCTGCCCATCATGGCGATGTAGGCTTGGATGTGGAACCCCATTTTGTTGGTCCCTTCGGTTCTACTTGTTTTTTTTTTTTTTGCGGCTTCGTTAAGTCTCCTTGCGTGGATAAGAATACGACAAAAGGGGTGGAGTGGCCAGAGATACTCCTTAAAGATGTACACTCATGTACAGGTGTATATGTACACGTACACGGCTTGTGATAGAGTAGCATCCGATATTTGTTCCTTCCCTAACCTGGGCAATCAATTTTGGTGAGAAATCCTTCGCTGCGTTTTCGTTGTTGCGCATGAGCTGTGGGAAACACGCTTAACATAAAATGCATTTGCCTTGTGGCATGAGTGGATTTAAAAAAAAAAATAAAATGAAATGAAATATGAGGTTTAGCTTTCCCGGTTGACGAAAAATTGCGCGAAGTGTGGGATGTACACGCTCCTCTTGGTAGATATTATGAAATTTTTTTTTATTCAACATTTCACAGGGTATAAAACGAGGCGTGCCACTGCATTCATTTTCTTCTTCCCCGTAATGTGGCAATAAATATAATTATATGTGTGAGGATGTCGAGAGAAATAAAAAACGAAAAAATAAGAATGTAAAAATATGGCAAGTCAGCTAAAACAGGACTGCTGATTTTTCTTCCAGTGAGCACCTTTTTTAAAGCCTTTTTCCGTTAAGATAAGTATTCCCGGTTATCATTTTTTAAGAGGAACACATACACAGTTTATCACCGTGGCACATGTTTACCTGTTTTTGCCAATATGATGAAGTGCATCTTTTTTTTTATCAAAGCGGAGTTACAGTTAATGTATTTTTTTTTTTTACAACATTGAGCGGATCTGAGTACACATGTGTGCTTTCCCTCTTCGGTTAAAAAAGGATGTTTCTACAGATTAGTGGACTGGAGCTGTGTATAGGCGTCCCAGCTCGAACCGCCGCATACTTAGCATGCACATGGTGAACAGCGTGAACGTCGCGACTTTGCGCAGAGGTGCGCTTCGAGAGTGTTCGGCGGTCCAAGGAATAATGGGAGAAAACGGAAAGAACTAACGAAACGAAAAAAAGCCAAAAGAACGAAAAAATCATGTCAAGTGGACACTAAATGGCGGGACGCAAAAAAAGAGGAATGGACAACATAAAAAAAAATGAGGCGGCGAGAGGGCTATGGCGGCTCAGCGACGAAGTGGAGTGTGCAGATCACTGCGAGAGCTGGTCCTGCGTGCGCTGGATGGCCTCTTTCCACAGAGTCGTGTAATTTATGTTCCGCTTAATACAGTGCAACTGCAATTTCAGCTGAGCCTTTTTTACAACAAATTCTGAGCGCGACTGTATGTTAGCGAATTTGTTGTATTGGTAGCATAGGACGCCGAGTCCTACGACCCACGTGGCGATCGCTTCTTCGTCGTTGGAGAAAAAATCATACGTCCTTTCTCGGGTGCGCAATGTAAAGCACTTACAGGGGTGTATTCCATGTGCGTTATTGTAACGTTGGTTTGGTTTTATTTTTTTTTTCTCGAGACTCTTTTTGTTGTGCTTTTCGATTAGCCAGTAGACGGGTGTGCTGTTTAGTCCGTAATCTATGGAGGTCACGTCCTGCGGGGTAGGGGGGGGAGGTGAAAGGTGTGCAAGGTGAGGTTTTTGACGAGGGGGCCAACAGCGCAGCTAATGGTGTAGCACACCGGGTAATAGAGTGCTTCATCGCCGCTACACAGCCACTACACCACCGCTGCACCAACCTGGATATCGATGAGCTTCTTCCGTTTGAAGCCATTTTTTCCCTTAACGTCCCTAGTCCAGGTGATAATGCGACCGTCCATGATTTTCATGAAAACGGGTACCGGCTTGTGTGTGAAGGAGTGATATTTGCACTTGTGGAGAAGCGTACCGGCGTTCATTTTTTTGAGTTCATTAATTATTGGCTTGTCGTTTAATCTTCCTTGTGCAGTAGAGAGTAGTAGCGCTTTTTTCTTCAAATTATTTCTTTGCAGCATGACAGACATTAGTTTATTTTTTAAGTCCACGATGTATTTATTAGCAACTTCAACATTGTTAATGTTCGTTTCGTACATTTTCAAAATTTGATCATCGAAAATGATTTCCATTTTTTCTTTCTGTTGAGCGTATTCTTCTTCTCTTTGCTTGAAGGTACCGATCAAGGAGTTCACGAAATTGACATCTAGCAAACGAATGACATCATCACATATGTTGTCATTGTCTGCTAACTTCTGTTCAATGGTGGAAGCGTTCTCCTTAAAAAAATCAGCATAGTTTAAAATATTTCCCTCATTGGACTTAAAAATTTCCAACAGCTTATTAATAATGTCTAGCAAATTTTCTATTTTGGGGATGAAAAAATTGTTGGTGGTATCTCCACTTTTACTCATAGTTTTGTACTTGTGTTTTATATTATCATTTTCTTCTTGCAACACTTTATTTTGATTCAAGGCTTCTTCTAACTGGGTGGTTATCTGGTTTAGTCTGCATGTTAAGTCGGCATTTTCTGAGTTTGCTTTTTCGAGTGCATTTTTGAAATTTACACATTCTTCCTTTTTTTTATTTAACACAACTTCTTTATCTTCTATGTCTTTTATATATTCATAAATTTGTCCTTGTATTTCTTCATTTTTTTTTTTTAAAAGGTTCATTTCTTGTGTTAATTTTAAGCTCTCTTCACTTTTTATTTGCATAATTGCGCAGAGGTTTTCAATTTTTGTTTGTTTTTCACGATAGGCATCAACGTATGAAATTCGATGCTCATCGAGTTCCTGATACATGTTAAAAAGTTTGTTATATTTGGACTCCAAATTTTTTATAATTAATTCGTAGTGCTGTATGGTTAGATTATCCCTTTGTTGTGCGTCCATGAGGGTGTATGTATTATCATGTAGGTCCTTAATTTTGTCATTGAGCAACTCCTTTTTGTGTTCCAACATGTGTACCTTTTCTTCTAGCAGCGTGGACAGTTTAATGGGTTTCTTATATTTTAGTTTAGCCCCACTTGGTTTAGCACCGCTGAGTATGTCTTCATTACTATTAGATTGCAGAGTGGTGGAGGAGAAATTGTCCTTTGCGTGGAATGGGGAGGCACCTGGTAGGAAGGTGTGCACGCTTTCGTTTGATGATTTGTAATGGGCAGTGTTTCTTGCATGTCTACCTGTGTTGTGATCCTCGTTGTTGTCCGCGTTGTAGCCAGCATGGTTCCTCTCAAACTGAAGGGAAGTCAAAAATTTAGGACCAAGCTTCGAATCATTTGAATTTAAAAAATAGTTGGCCATATTTTTTACTTCCTTTCCTTTTACCTTCCTGGTTAATTTTATTTTCCTCTTCGTGTTAGCAGTGTTCATATTCGGAAACGTGTCGTCACTATGGTTGTTCGCTCCGCTCTTTTTATTTTGCCCTTCATTAGGAGCATCTACCCCTGAGCCTTTTGCGTCTTCTCTCATTGGCATTTTAAAAAAATTTTCCATAGTATGTACAACGGGTGAGAAATTATCGTATTCATTATTTGCCCTTTTGCTCATTTTAATGTGGGATGCCTTTGGTCCAAAGGAACCTTCCGAACATTCGTCACTGGCGTGTTCTTCAAATTTGTGGTTTCGGTGTTTATCCCTACGATGGGTGTTCTCTGCGTATTTTGGTCCAACTGAACATTCCTCATCTTGGCTAACTTGTTCAAAACTTGATCCGTCTCCATATGTGTCTATTCTGCTTTTTGTGTTGTTTTTTTGTCCCCAATTGGACAGCATATTTTTATATCCCTCCTTTACTGTGTTTTCCTCACCCAACATGCTGTCCTTCATCAGTACGTTGAAGCTGCTTGCGTCATCTACGTTTCCCCTTGCGTTATGTTTGGCTTTGTTCGCTGTCTGGTTTGCATTCGCGCTGTGGTAGTCACCATCATCAGCCCCGTGGGAAGATGCACCATCTGTGAATTGGTCCGCTTCCCTATCTGCACTGGTGCTCCACTTACCTTTCCTCATTTCCCTCTTACGCATCCGGTCATCGCAACCTGCCACCTCCAGCGAGTCATCACTTGAGTATTTCTTTTCCGTATCCAACTTTTCAGAAATTAGGAAAGATGAGTTATTATTTTTTAACTTGAGGGACCACTGAATTAATTTTTCTCTCTCCTCCTTCAGCTTCAGCAGGGGGTCTACCGAGTCTTTCGATTTCTTCGATGGCTCACTCATCCTCCTTTCTTCTTCCTTTTCGTATGTGGCAAATTAGGCACAAAAAAGGGGCGATAAAAAAAAAGGCTTATCTAATTGGAACTACTGAGTGTGTGTGTGTGTGTGTGTGAGGGGCGGGGGCCTCTTCTCTTACGCAGTGTTGTGACAGCGTGGGGGAAAGAACGGAGAGGTTGGCCATGGACGGGTGCGCACACGTAAATACAGGGCGAATTAAAAAATGTTACAAAAAAAAAAAAAAAAAGAAAGAAAAAGCGTATTATCTCCCCTTTGGAGTTTTGCTTCCCCTAAAATGGTATTAACACATTTGTCCATTTTCCCACTGGGGGGCACATTCCTTGCACATCGCGAGTGTACATTCGCAGAGTACCAAAAAGTCTCTCTTCATACACTGGCAAAGCCACTCGCCATTTAACCTTACACACAAATATGCTGCGGATGTGCAAAACAAAAGAGTGTTAAAAAAAAAAAAAAAATCTTCGTGTAATTATGTCCAAGTGGGAAGGAACAAAAGCTTAAAAAAAAAGGGGGGTAAATAAAATGGCAAAATAATACACTGATGGGATGGACGAGACGAGACAAAGTACCGAAAATAGTGCAAAAAAACAAAACAGCAAAACGATACAACAAAACGTGTAACAAAACAATGCAACAAAACGATACAACAAAATGATGCAACAAAAGAACATGTGCGGAAAAGGTGTCCTATTGCATACGTACTATTCTTGCTAGGCACAATTTTTCTAACTTTTTTTTTTTTCTTCCAATTCCATTTCTCTTTGAAATGGCCTTAAGTGTGCAGTGAATTTTTTGTTTTTTTTAAAACAAATATGCCAAAGAGGAAAATTAAAAACAAAAAAAATCATTACACATTTTTAGCACGCCCGCCCCGGTGCCTTTGATGAGGCAATTTTGTTTTGCTACACGGAACGGGGGGAAAAACAAAAAAAAAGTGTCAAAAGGTTTCGCGCTCCCGAAAGTGGTGCTGTTTTGTCCGTCTTGCTTAATTTACTAGGAGGCAAAACCTCCACGTTACAGCACGTGTGTTATTCCCTTTTTGGGTACCCATTTGGACACCCATTTTGGAACTTGCGTGGGTATACCCCCTCGCAGCTGCTTCATTCTGCGCACGTCCCCATGATGAGCGTTTTCCTTCGATGTGTGCTCGGCCTACCCATTGACCCTTGTGCACTCCGCGGGGAAGGAAAAATCAGCGTAGGGGAGGCACCAAAAGGCTACAATTAAATGCTACAAAGGGGAAAGCCGAATTGGAAGCTGAAACAGAAGGGAGGCGCGCTGCCAAAACGGGTATCGCCATTTAAACCGTTCAACCCATGAATCGAAAACAATTGCAGCGAAAGGAAAAAATGACTTGAACAGAGAAAGAGCTCAATTTGGTGATTATTGGAGGAATAATGTTGGGATTTTTTTTTTTTTTTTCCCCTTCTTTTTTATTCCTTGGATGACTAGCCAAAATTAAAAAAAAAAAAAAAAATGAAAAATGAAATAAGGAAAATTGAGTATGACTATGGCATTGAATACGTTTCAGAACGAAGGGAAAGGAAAAGGGAGGTTCTCTTGGCTATACTATCTTTGACCGCGTACTATCTGTATTGTCTCTATTCGGTATGAAAGTGTGAACACACGGATGTGTAATACAGATGAGGCGACAATTCGTGTGTTCCCACATGCGTAGACACCCGTGCGGCACGTACCCGTGTTTAGAGCTCAAAAGCTCCGCGGAGTTGAAGAAGAAATGAGAAAGCATGGACGCATGGAGTGGGGCAGTGGAGAGAGGGGTGCACTTGATGGAAAACAACGCGCAAGAGCGAAAAGGCGAAAAAGCGCAGAGTTGTTGACAACTTTGTCGTTGCATTTGCGCAGCATCGGCACACACATCCATGCTCAACCTTTTCCTGCCGTTACGCCCCTATCAGGGATGCAAGAAGGGCTACGTTTTGCTGGACGAATTTCAAATTTTCCTGCTTGTTCTGTACATCTCGTTTATCATAATATACCTGAATAATCACCACATTGGTTAGTATCCTAACAAGAAAAAACAGTTTACACAAAAATGGTTTCCAAAGTGGGCACATGTGTATGTAACAGCAGCCCGCATGACGTACTATGGAAGTTTTTAATTTTTTTTTTTTTTTCACCCCTTACTTCTCAACAGAAAGGCTATTCCTTGTGAACAACATTGGAATACAAATTGAAAGGAAAAGCTGGTTTCGACATCGGTTAAATTTTATTTGCATAAGTGACATAAAAAGCATTTTTATTAACGAGGTAAGAGAATTTTTTATGAAAGGAAATGTATGGAACGTGATTTGTTTACTATAGTTACCCCGCGTCCATTTTTCTTTATTCATATGTCTTGCCTATTCCCCCTCCCCTTTTTTTTTGTTTTTTTTTTTTTAAGGCCATTTACATATTCGAGATTTGCCCTTATTTGTGCATCACGTTGCAGAACAATAAGCTCATCGTCCTGTTTGAGGTGGGAGAAAAGCGGAAATGGGCACGGCAAATGAGCTGCCTATCGGGGTGCCTGTCCACTGTGCACATCGGATTGGCCGGACGGATAGGTGGAAGTGCCTACAAACTGTCATTGTAGTAACAGCGTGCATGTGTGAGCTTGTGTACCTCCCCCCAACCGCGATACTTCTGTTTCCCCCTTTGGCAGAACTTCAATCTAGGAATGAAAAACCTGGTGCATATATACAGGGACGTGAAAGGAGTAATCGATCGTAGAGAGAAGAAGGAGTTTATAGGTGTAAAAGCTGTGGAAGTCAAGGAACAGGAAAAATACGGAAGTAGGGAAGAACAAAATTGCGCAATCCCAAATGAGGTGTGCTCAACAAATAATCCCTCCTCGAGCGAAGAGGAGAATATTTTCAAGCTGTTGAATTTTAGTTCGTGCGAAAATTACAAAATGAATGATGAAGTTAGGGGAAGGGGAAAAACAAAAACGTACGACATATACATAAATAAAAAGTTAGCACTGGAAATAATGAATAGTTGAGTGTCTTTTTTTTTTTTTTTTTTTTTTTTTTTTTTTTTTTTGATCTCGCTAATGTAGCGTTTATTTTCATCGATGATTATTTCTCGCCGTTGCGAGAGTGTCACTTTGTTTTTTGTTTTTATGAAATTTGCCAACTTTGCCAACTTTGCTTGATTTTTCCTAACATTACTAAAATTTGCCAACCTAGCATACTTTTTTTTTTCCACCTCTTAAGAGTTAAAAGGATGAAAGGAGGATTGAAAGGCAACTGACTTCGTGCGTCTAAAACTTTCGCCTCTCTCAAGGCGATTTTACACGGTCGTTCAAAACGGATTTACCTACGTGCAAGCTCTACCCTCATGTTTACACTTATCTCTAAACGAGCACACCGATCGCCATACACACCGAGAGAATGGGCGATTACAGGAGGAAAATCCCCATCTATAACGATTACGAGAAAAAGAAAGATCTGTTAAAATTTTCCTTTTTAAAAGATGGAGAGGAGGAACAAAGAGACGTCCAGAAAAAACACACAACGGAGGAGGTCCAATTTATTAGTAAGTATCACAAAAGGGCAAGAAGAGTGGAAGAACGTCTTACGAAAAGGTGCAAAAAACAGGGGACAAGAAAATACCCATTTTGCTTCTTCTACACTTTGTTTGCAGTAAAGAAAAGGGAAAACATGCGGGACATCCTTACCCATCGCCGGGATTTAAGTTCGTTTTATCGTTGATTCATGCGAACAGAATAAGCACGTGGATGTGTGAATGTTCAAATGAGCAAATGGGGGCGTCTGCATAGCTGCCCTCATTATTGTTCGTCCCTCATTGTTGTAATTCACTCGTCAAGGCAACCGGACGCAAGGGGACGTGCTGACTGAGAGGAAGGTAACTGGACTATATGCGCTACATGTGTGTGCACGAGTCAGGGGCCACGAGTGGGGGCGCACTAGACTGGAAGTGAGGAATATACATAAGTATATATGTATATGTATACATGTGTCCTCCTCTCTGTTAGAACAAACTGAAGGAAGACAACAGCGAGAGTTACTATGCCCACGAGAAGAAGTTCCCCTTTCTCATCGACACGACTGTGAAGAAACCAGATATAACTAGAAGCATGCAAGATGTGCTAAATAACATCTATGGTGAGGAACTCACAACGTTGGATGTGCAAGTATACATATTGCGTGTAGATGTGTATGGGCGCGCATAAGAACATACAGTAGTTATTACCCCCACATATGTGCATCACCTCGCCACGCGAATATAGAACAGGATGATGCTGAGAAAATTCGATTATCCGAAGACATTAAAACGAAAGAGGTGTTGCTTGAGAGGAGGAAGAAACTGTTTCTTCAGGAGTTGGGTACGTCTGCTCGAAAAGAACACTGTTGCATATATTATTGTGTAACGTCCTTGGTGGGTAGCATGCTGTTAGTTGCTTATTCTAAGAGGGAATTTAGTGGAGAGGTTCGGATTGTCCCACCGGTGAAGGTGCATATATATATGTGTGTAAATGTACGTGTGTAGATCTGTATGCCCCTGCGACCCCCCTTTTCAATGCTCTTCCCCCTCAGGTGGTGGCGAAATGGTGGATGTCCATGCGGAGCTGTTTTTAGACCCACAGAAAGATTACGGGTACGCGAGAAATGGGCACGCACATGTGTACTCGTGGGGGGATACACACGTGAGGGCGTTGCCTTAAATGAAAAAAATAAAATAAGACGTAACGTGACTAGATATACTATGTCATATCCTACAATGCAACCGCGCGGGACGGCGCAACCACAATCTTTCAGTGACGCAGTAAAGAATAAAAATAAAATGTTGACTCTGAAGAATTACGGATTGGGACAGTCCCCGTCCGATTTTGTTTTTTCATACCCGCAAGTTAAAGCTAGTAAGTATAAACCCCCCTATTTAAACAGCATGAAGCTAGTCTCCATGTATGTACATATATGACCATAATGGGGCACACCATGCCCAGACCACAAACAAAACGAGGGCAAGAAAAATGCCTACACGTGGGCAGATGATGTATATGGACCGATGCACTACATTAGTAGTTCTGCTTTCACCTGGAACGCGACTTTATTTTATTTTATTTTTTGTGTCGTAACCCAAAAAACAGAAGGAAGAGGTGGATATGCAAGCGAAATGGTGAAGTCGCACATACGAAAAAACAAATACGAGGGAATCACAAAAAGGGTAAGTGTGGTGACAAGAATGTCTACCTTCTTTTTTTGTGTCTCTTCTGATTTTACGAGTACATCACTTTTATTTTTTTTTACCTTAATGCAGTTAAACGTGCACAATGTAGAAGGTAAAGGGGCAAAATTTGCAACTTAAATTGTGTAAAGGGATAACAAAAAAAAAAAAAAAAAAAAAAAAAAAATTGTAACGTAATAACATTTCTCTATTTTTTTCACCCTGAAGATTTATACACAGGAAAAAATCAGGAAATGAGGTTACCTGACCATTCATTCGACGAAAAAATATATTTTTTTTTCCCCTCATGCCGACGTTGGCGTGATGAACTCTGAAACACTGTCTCCTTTTATTTTTTTTTTTAACTCCGTTCAGGGAACAGGCAGGTTCGCACGGAGGAAACATTACAACGAAGAGTAGTGCATATAAATGTTATATATGTACACAAATGTACATTCTATGCCTACACACAAGCAAACACACACTGGATTGTCCTTTTCCCCCCTCTCGAGAAAGTCTTCTTGATGAAAAACAGACTGAGATATATTAACCACACCAGAAATAGCCACTTCGTAGAGAGTTATTTGAAAGTAATTACACCCACGTGAGAGAGGGGGAATCCACTTGAGGCTGTGCATTTAACTACCCAGTTGGCTTCCCACCTAACATGAGCTTTTCCTCCCCCCCCGTTGCTTCACCGAAGGAACGCCCGAGAATTATTCTGAGGTATAAAGGATTTCAAAAAAGGCTATAAGATGCGGGGGGGAAAAAAACAATTTATATACATACATGCACATATATATGAAGACAAAAATTTCGGAGTGGTTTCCAAATGAGCACCTGGCCAAACGAGAAGACGAGGTGGAGTCCATCCATTCAAGAAATGCAAAGCGAAGTTTAACACAAAAAAAAAAAAGGAAAAAGAAAGACCACCTAAATGTAATCACTGGTGGAGATTAACAATTTGCAAATTATACACACAGATATATTTTCACATTTGTGTGTGTTTTTTTTTAAATGTCACTTGTGGAGGTAGGATGAGCTGCGGTCATTTTATCGTGTCATTGGTTCACCTCTCTGTGTCCCCCGCTATACGGTCCAGAAGAGCCTCAAAAGGCCAAAGAGGTATTGAAAAATTTCGTTCGACGATAACTTAGACTGACCGAACATCCGGTCGACAAAGACATATCCAACTTCCTCAATTTTCTTTCCCATTTTATTGGCCCGTACGATAACCTCCATTTGAAATACATAGCCACGTCCCTGGACCAACTGGATTACTTCCTTAAGCACTTCTGTTCTGTACAGCCTAAACGAACCAGTCAAATCGGTTAAGTTAGTAAATAAAAGAAACTGGGAAAGGAAATTGGCTACTCGACTAATTATAACTCTTTTGAAAGTCCACCCTGAGATTCCCCCTTCTTTATTATATCTAGTGCCTGTGACGATGTCACAATTTGTCTCTTTCTGTTTTGCTATGAAGTCGTATATATACTTAGGATGGTGTGATAAATCAGCATCCATAATGATTACAAAATTGCCTGACACGATTTTTAGAGCATCCATGTAAGCAGAACCTAGCCCCAGTTTTTTCTTCCTTTCTATGAGTAATAATTTTTCTTCATTAAATATGGATTGCAATTTCTTGTACACATCAGCTGTTTTGTCTTCACTGTTGTCATCCACTACGATTATTTCAAAGTCGATGTTTTTTTTATTCAGTTCCTTTATAATCATATATATTACGTATGGCAGATTGTCTTTCTCGTTATAGGTTGGTAGGATGATGGAGTATTTCTGTGCGAACGTCATGCTTATGTGGATGCACATAAGGGGCAGCATGAGGAGGCACAAGTATTTCAGCATGTTCCTTGTGCGGGGGGGATGATGGCAATGGGACAGTTTTTACCCTTGTACGGATGAGCAAGTGTACCTATTTGCACACGCTTGGTTATCCCGGATGGTGTAGCATCCTCTAGCTTAGCGTCACTCGAGAGGCACTCTGCGCAGAACGTGCAGAATGTCTTCAGTACTCGAGAGCAGAGCCCTTAACCCTTTGTTCTTGACAAAGCAGAGTTGGCAATCCGAAACGGAGTGATATGCCTTTTGCCCTTTTAATCATGGGGGAAAAAATTCACACTGTGTGTATTTTCATTGCCCCCAACCCCCTTTCTACTGAAGGTATTTTTTCCCGTGCTTCCGAGCAGATGGGGAAATGCGTTAAGGCATAAATTTAGCGGACAAAATGGAAAATGCTTTTTTTTTTTTTTTCCCAGGAACAGCACATTTGATAAACGATTCTGCCTGCCCACTTGTGGAGCTCTTTTTCATGTTGCAGCACAATTTTTCGTGCTTCCCATTGTGCCGCATTACGGTGTTGTGCACTTGGCTCCCACTCCACGTTTCACCGGAGTGCTCCTGTAACGTTTCGTTTCGATCCTTCGTCTGTTTAGTTTCGTTGAATTGGGCCTCTCCTAATCTGTTGCTTTGGTTTGATTACTGCGCAGCTGCTCATTCGGTTTTGCTACGCCCCATTTTTGTTAATATTTGAAAGAGCATGAGAGGGGAGACTATTTGCCCAGGGTTCATGTCAATATCACCCATAAGAAGGGAACTAATTTGTTCATCCCACAAACGTATAGAGTAATCTGTTGACTGTTTTTTTTTTTTTTTTTTTTTTTTTTTTTTTTTTTTTTTTTTTTTTTTTTTTTTTTTTTTCCCTTTCGTGGATCGGTGGGCGTTTCAACCGTTGTCAAGAGGGAGGTGAAGTTCCTGAGTGGAGACATTCCTCCGAGGAAAGAAAGCAATTATAAGGATTGCACCCGTTTGGATATTGTATCTTCGGTGACGGGAGCCAGTGTCCACCTGTCGTGCCACCATGGATGGAGGAGAAAACGAATCGCGCATCAGCTACCATGAATATAAGAACAGGCTGAAGAAACTAACGGAGGAAATAAAAAAGGAAAAGAAAAAAAAGACGATTAACAAAAATAAGAATAGCGACAATTTGATAAAACTGGAAGAGGAACTGAGCAAGCTGAACGCCATGTACAATGTGGGGAATGCGGAGGGAGGAAGCGAAATGAATAACTATGAAGACATGAACGATGGTGTAGCTGCCACGGAGCTATATTCATACAATACAGTCTCGAAAAAGGCTTTAAGAAATATAAAAAGGACACAAAGAAAAGAGATGGAGGTTGAAAAGATTGAGCAGTCTAGAAGCAAAGTAGGGGAACTTGAATATAATGAATTGGCCGAATGTTTAAAACAAGTAAATAAAACTATCCATCCCATCGCTCCTGATGGGAATTGTCTGTACGAATCTATTTTACACCAACTGAGACAGAGAGTAAGCGGTTGTACATATCACGAAGAAGACTTTTTGCATCTCCTACGTGAGGAAAGATTTTCTTTGGACAATGTTAATTTGAGGGACTACCAAAAGGGGGGTCCCTTTGACTTTAGCATTTTCTCCGATTTGGACCCGCAGGGGTTGAGCAGTGACATCCTGCGCTTTATCGCTGCCGTGTATATTTTGCAGAACGAGGAGGAGTTTGTTCACTTTGTGTATGCGGCTGAGGAGGACGAGCCGGCTGCGGGTGAGTTTAGAGGGGTGCCTGGGGGGGTGTAACCATCCATGGTGCCTCCAAGCGTGTGTTCGAGTGCTACGCCGAGTGCTACTTCAAGCTGCTGTACCAAGGGGGAAATCCCCAAATGATTTTCCATGTCGAAGAACACGCGCCCGCACTGCATTCTCACGCGTACACTTCTCACACTGTACATTTGTCCCCACTTCCACAGATACCTACTTCTGTTATTGTGAAGCTATTATCCAGGGATGTTACGGGTGAGAGAAGGGAACGAGAGTAGTGTGTACGAAGTACCCAGTTATGTATGACGAGATTCAAGGACAGGGGGTATTCATATATAGAAGCTTTCCCTTCGTCGTACTGCTCCCCTTTGCTGTGATGAAGCCATTCCATTTCCAGCCCCTTGTATTGTAGTCTCCACTCCCAAATTATGTGGGACCCCCATTTGAAATACTCGACAACAGCAAAGAATGCATGTAGTTGCTACATAACACAGATGTCTACTTTCTATTGCTTGCCCATCGCGCGTTTCACTGCCCTCTTCTCAGGAGCGAAATCGAAATCAATGCCCTTTCGAAAATCTTGAAGAAGAAAATTACGGTCTATGATGTAAATATGAAAATCTCATATGTAAGTACACGCGGGCTAAAGTGACTCGCAAAAAATAAAATAAAACTAGCACGTGTGTATATATACGTGCACCGTTATCGTGTCTGCCTCACTGCGGGATTGCCCCTTTTTTTTTTTTCCAGGGAGAGGAGTATGAAACTGAGCTGTTCATATGTTTCCACCATAAGCTGTATGCATTAGGTAAGCGCGTGGGGAAAAAAAAAAGAGATGCCCCCCTTTGAGCGCAAAAGGGGGAAGGGCCTATTCCAATTTCCATTAATCTCACATTGATATCATTTTACATTCCTACTTTCCATGTATGTGCCTTTTTGTGTCCCGTAGGAAAACACTATAATTCCGTCGTTGACATGTGAGCATGCGACGTACAAACCACACGAAGAGACGACTTTGCCAAGTACGTCTGCACCTGCGCAGTTGTGGAGAGAAGTGTAATTAGTACACCCCACACACTGCTCACCTTGATGATAATCTTCATTTGAATCGTTTCCTACCATTTTTTTTTTTTAAGAACACGAAAAAAGAGAAAGAAAAAAAACAGCTACGTGCAGACACGATATACGGGCACAGATAAGTAAAGTGGGGAAAGAGTGCCCCAAAATAAAACAGTTGTGTTTTAATTAAAACGTTTTGACAAATGTAAAGGAGAAATATCATATGGCAATTATTTCAACCAAAAAAAAAAAAAAAAAAAAAATATAGGAAACTTTAATGTCTTCATTTTTTTAAAAAAAATTACGTGCACATATGGGTACATATGTATATGTACATAATGTATGCATACACATATACGAGAAGGGCAAATTGGAAAAAAAAAAAAAAATGTCTATTGGGAAGGTGTACCTTTTTTACTTAATATACACAAATGTTGTTACAAATGGGGGTGGAGACAACCCGGTGGTAGGTCATTGGGGGAGGGGAGGAAACTGCAGAACGCAAAAAAAGGGGTACAGGAAGGGGTCGTGAACGTGCACTGCAACACGCTACGACGGTGCATGGACCTATTAGAACCATTTTTTACTCCCCTGGCAGGCATACAGATATTGATGCTGCACACGGGGAAGGTACGAATTTTAAAGCAAGGAAGGAGTAAAGAAATTGTATCGACTGAATCAATTTATTTATAATCCTCCCCATAGTATTCTTCATCGTCTTTGTCGTCTTCTTCATAATCTTCGTCCTCCTCTTCTTCTTCCTCATGTCCTTCTTGCTGCTCTTGTTCTTCATCATGTCCTTGTGCCTCTTCCTCTCTTTCGTCTAATTCCTCTTCCTCATCATCTTCATCGTCCTCCTCATCCTCGTCTTCTTCTTCCTCCTCCAGTTCCTTCTTCAATGCATTCCTTGTCCGTTCGTGTGGGTAGCTAGATTCTATTATATTGTTTTTATTTATTTCACAGTAGTACCTATTTTTTTCATTCATGTGGTAGTTGTACTTTTTCTCATCGAGGGAAATTTCGATGGAGCGCTTGATGTAGCTTTGGAGTAGTTCCGAGGAGGGGTACGGCGAATCTGCTCGTGGACGGGGGGCGAAGTGGTCAAAATAGAAACGCACCGCATACATGTGCAGGTCCAGTTAAGGCCACGGCACAGAATTGGCTTGTACCCTCTTGTTCCTATGACGCGACATTGTACCAGTTCGCGTAGTTACATCTTTATTTGCGTCCTTGCCTAGGTTTACCTGATATTTGACCGCGTTTATCCCGTGGCCTCCACTTGTTTTCGTATTTGCGAATGGGGGGATCGCATATTTCTTGGCATAGGAAGGGGGCATCAGGACAGGTGTGTGTCGGGATGAAAAAAAAAAGGAAATTATCGAGTGGCATATGCAAAATGGATAACGCCAAGTTGCCACTTTTTTTTTTGTGGCTTACCTAAAAAATTAAAGTCAGCGCTTTTTAGCAATTCTATGGCTTTTTTAGGGTTGTAATCTACGCGGTGTAAAATCTTGAAGGCATATTCAGGCGTAAATGGGTGCCAGCCAAGTTGACACTTCCAATTCTTTGCTAATTCTTTTATAAAAATGGCTAATTCGTAATCGTTTTTAATGACCAATTCGTACTGTCCCTCGCTGAGGTAACTCTCTTTCATTCGTTCCAGGAGGTAGGGTGAGTAAACGAGCTCCGATTTGTTGGCCTCTGCGAAGGGTTTTTAGGGGTGCAATTTGGACGACGGGTGATATTATATGAGTGGGAACGTGCCAATATAGCAGATGAGCCCATGTAGAAGTGTGCAGCACATGGACGTGCACCTCGACATACCATCGTATTTCTCTGAATGGCTATTTAAAAAAAAGGTGGAGACATTTGACACTTGGTAATTCTCGCCCACGTTAATCTGACCCGTGTATTTGCTTCCTTCGCTTTTCTGCTTCACCTTATCTTTTTTTTTCTCGAATGTACTGTGAATGTGTGGTAGTGGGGGTGAGAATGTGAGAAGTTGTACATTCGTAAAAAACAACAAAAAAAAAAGAAGTATAATAGGAGGGTGGGTCGGGGCATCTTGGTTTCCCCACTAGTGCCTAAGTGCGTGGTGTCCCTATTTCGACTTGCATGCTAACCTTATCGTTTTTAACTTTTTTCTCCTCTTCAAAGAAATATCAAAAGACACTCCTGTGAAAGGGAAATAAAAAAAGGACAAAAAAGGAGCAACATTAGACGTGCGAGTTTCAGTGCATGTTACCCTCGCGAAGTCTTCGTAAAATGGACGTACACGTGTGCTTTACCGTTTCGTCTGCAGAGGGGGCAATACCAGTAGTTGTAGTTTGGTTGGGGCTTTTCGGATTCTCCTATGCACTGTGATGGGAAGAGGGGAAAAGGGTGCAAGTTGACGTGGAAGTAGAAGCGGAGAGGCACGTGGATGAGGGGTATACACCGCGTGTACAATGCAGTAGACATGTTATAGGGGCATCGCAAATTTAACATGGGAGAGAGGGTCGTTGGAGTGCTCTCCCCTGATATGAGCACCCACGAACGGCACTTACATATATATGGTAGGACCTAACACAATTGTCACAGCAAATTAAGTTTCCCCCATGGTAGCATTCATAGCAGAAAGGGTCATTTTCGTTAGTTGCATTAATATTCTTAAATTCTGAGTTGTTTTTGGAGGACTTTGCATTTTTATTATTTATTTTCTTGTCGTTATATGCGGCATTTTTATGATTACGTATTCCGTAGTTGTCAATTAAATTCAGGTCTTTGTTTTTGGATTTTTCTATTTCTCTTCTTTTTATTTTGTTGTGCACAATAACAGACCCCTTTTCCATCGTCTTCTGAATGCAAATAGGGGAGGGGGGGAAAGAGCTGTGTGAGTGGGGCAATTGGTAGTGGGGCTAAGTCCCTTCAAGGAGAATGCTCCATTGGGTGTTTAAGGCAAATTGGACACAGAGAAGCCTTAAAATGGGAAAATTGCACAACGCGAAAAAATGAAATTCCCATGCTAGGTTTCGAGTGGGGGGAACAAACTTACTTACAACTATTGTGTTAAAAGTTGGGCGGGGGCAGGAACTGGTTGCATTGGGCCGTGTGACAACTTGGGTGTGAGTGGGCGAGGTTTACTAATGAGCCTTTTTTTATGTGTCCCCCCGGTTTTTTGGCACGGGAAAAATAATCACTGGCTACAATTGTGCTGTTCAAATGGGATGAAATCAAAGTGTACACATGGGCACGCGGATGCGTGTATGTTCATCTCACACTGTGTACATTTCTGAATGCGCAAGTGTCACACTGCATTCTCCTGTTTTCTAATAAATGTATTTTCAAATTAACAAATGAAGGGACGAAAGAAAAAAAATACAAAAAAAAAAGGTGCAGTTTTGCTTTTTTTGTTTTGTCTTACGAAAAAATATTTTTTTGCTCTCAAGAGCAAGATGTATTTTTTTTTTTTGGCTACTCTTTCTTAATCTGTAATATGTTGATACTCGAATATTTTACTTTAGTACATGAATGAAACTACTCTTTGAGCCTTTTCATTTTCACTTGAGGACTTGTTCTTTGTCTTTGCTTGTGTTTGTGGCGTGCTATACAACATTGTGTAACAGATTTAATTTACGGCGCGCGTATGTGTGGCTGCACATACGTGAGTACGTGCATGCACGTGGGGCCCCGACCGTGCGCGTATGTATATGTGAGTAATTCTCGTATGTATATATGTACATATATGTATTTAATTATTTATTTGTTCACTTATCCGATTGCTTACACGCATGTATGTGCACTTTTACAGCTTCACCGAGTGCGTGACCGTACATACATTTCTTTTTTAACAAACCGTAGTAGCAAGAATCGCGAGGTTATGTTTTTTTTTTTTTTTTTTTTTTTTTTTTTTTTTTTTCGCTTGAGCATTTCATCCTTTACAGAAAAAAATTACACTGTGCAAAATTCATCACTATGTATACATAACAATTAACATGGCGGAGCACTAGAACTGTGCTTTTCAAGGTCAGGGGCCAGGGGTCCGTGTCCAATTTTTCTAGCGCTACGCGTGGAAGCGCCACATAAACCCTCGTTTGCCTAAACGTATGTGTGCAGCCTAATGACCCATACGAACGCTTGCGCTTTTACTCCCTATACCAATGTGTAGACACGCAACGGTGGTTGCACATATACATGTGCGAACTTTTATGTAAATACGTTTTACACATCACGTGGGCACTTTGCCCATACAACAGCGCGCAGTAGCTGTATGCAGCAAAAGCGTATGCAACGTTGTGCAACTTTTTTTTTTTTTTTTAATTTTCGAGGCGGGATGTTACAATCGCATAGTATGTAAACAGGCACTTGGAAAAATTTTGCAAGTGGAAAAAATGGAAAAACAAGAGAAAACTGGAAAAGGTGGGCGGGGATGCAACACTGGGAAATTTTTACAACATGTACCAAAACGCCGCTATAAAAAAAGGAATGTAAAATGAAAATGCAAATTTGTTTATTTTGAACAGTACATACTAAAACACACAAAAAAAAACAAAAAAAAAAAAAATGTAGCCACAAAAAAAATTCAACTGGTTGCATCAACTTGTGCACACAGTCCGTAATTGACCACCACCACATGTTAAGTAGCTGCAATTTTTTACACAGATTTTCACATTCGGAAATATTCCCTGTTGTGGAAACTAATGAAAAAGATGCACATGTATATAACTGTGGAGAAAATGTTAACGTACACACCAGTCACAGTTGACACCTGTGTGTTCCTCGTTTTACAAGTTTCAGCACATGTGGGGGGAGGATGTACAGATAAAGGTGTGTACCAAAATGTACAGGCACACCATACACTTGCGCGAATGCGTATAATATATTTTTTCCTGTTTCCTTATATATATATATATATTTTTTTTTTATGTGTTTCGCGTTACACGAACATACAGGCGACGTCTTCAACGAGCACTCTGCATGACGAGCAAAATATTTCACAGTTTGGTGTTGCCCAAGAGGGACAGCAACACATAAACCAAGAAAGCATAAATATAGCACATTTCAATCGATTTGTTTGCGATTTCTAGCACACTTCCAGCGTCCATAGTGATCCAAGTCAATCCAGCATTATATGCCTACCGTCGACTAGCCCATACCTTGTTTTTAACCAACAGGGGGGCATGGCGAACAAAGGTAGACACTCTACAAACCTACATTGGCATAGATACCGTGAAAGCATTATTGCCCTACGACTACTACTCTTTAGCGATGTTGTGTGTTCATTAGGCAAATCAAAACCGTGATCCACCCCCCCTCTTTCCATTATTCATACGCATGACCACGCAGCACGCGCTGTTCTTCACCCTTTTTGATTGTTCACCATTTCTGATTCCTCGTCGTGACTTAACCAAACTTGTCGAACATGTCGAACGTGGACGACGGTTTTCTATCAACGTGCTGCTCAACGTGGCCATATTTTCACAGCTCCAAATTGAGTACATGATTATGTTTGCATACACGTAGGCACCAATGGCTGTACATGGATAACAAATAAGTGAGTTTTCTTTTTTCTGCTCAAACAGTGGAGCACAAATTCGGAGTTATTTCTTGCACGCGGCGGAAAAGAAAATGTATTCGCGCGAGTTCCCATGTAGGGGGGACACAACAACGTCATGCCGCTCTGGATGCTGCGCAATGTAGACTCAGTGCACGTGCACGAGAACAGGTAATTGGGCGGCGAACAGGGGAAAACTTCCCCGTCAAATTTAGCACAAGGGACAACAATATTCTCATGCAAGCGCAGAAATAGTCCAGACTTCTACTTGCATATGTGTGCACATTTACACCCCCGCACGAGGGCAGTGGCTAATCAGTTGTCGCACTCCCTCTTCTCCATGCACCGCTGAAGTTGCGCAATTTGCCTAACCTCTATCTCTGCCTCTCGCGGAATTCGAGTGGCCAAGTTAAACACTGCATTTCTGTGCGCGTCGAAGAAGTTGTCCTGGTACAAATCCTGCATTTTCGTTGTGTCTTGCTTGATCCACTTATTCTGCAAGTGAACCATCTCGAGGGGATGTCCCGGGTGGATGGGCAGTGTGTCCATAATATTTTCATTAGACGACTTGATGGTAGTTGCACCGTCTTGGGAAGAATTCAACTCTGACGTGGAAGAGCATGCCTCAAACGAATCCGAGTTGGAACATTCACATGTACGATCAGAGCAATTATCTTGTGTTTTTTTCAAGGCGTCCTTTTCCTCTTTCAGGTCAGCATTTACCCTCATCCACAATGCCAAATTGTCTGCTTCGTATAATTCTTCTGGATTTATTTTAGTTATTCCCTTTGGGTACTCTCTAACGGAAATTTTCGTATCAGTCGGCACAATTTTTACTATGTCGTGGTAGACCAGATATGGCTTCTCCACCACACAATCGACTTGGTAAACTTTATCTGTCCATGTAACCTTTGGTATGATCCTTTGTCGAACTGGCACGGGCACATACTTATCATTAAACTTAAAAACGGGAATGTCTACATCTACGATTTTCGGTTTAGGAACTATGTAAGGCACTGGTAAGTTAATCGGTATGTCAATTTTCTTTTTCACTTCGACGACTTTTTCCACCTTTGGTACGAACACATTTTCGAATATCTTATTTTCTGTTATGTTTACTTGCGGTCCGAATGGTTCCAGTAGAGCGGGCAATACACCATCTGAGGCGCCCCCTATACTGTTGCTGTTATCATTATGATTGTTGTTATGATACATACTATTGCGTCTGATGTCGTTATTTACGTAAGGGCATAACGCCGATGAGTCACACTCCCCTTGAGTCATCCCCCTTAGGGGTAAACCGGCCCTACTAAGCCATGTACTTCCCTGTTCATTTAAAATCCTGTCATTATCCTTATCAACGTAATTATAAACCTCCTCCCAAATTTCCTGGTCTTTAAAACTTATTTTCTCCTGAACATAGAGAACATCCACTTTTTTTTCTGACACGATGTTTTTTATTATTGGCTTTTCGATAATATTATATTTAGTAACTTGTTTTGGAACATACCTTAACTTCTCGATGACAAATGGGTCGTATTCAATTTTATCTATGAATCTCAATTCGGGGACCTCTATCACTTTAGTTTTGTTCTGAGGGATACACGTTTGGGTGGCTATTTCCTTTCCTGTGAAGTCGGTGCTTGCGTTATCTATCAGTTTTGTTTCTTTCGTCTGGCCATTTGCGTAGCTGCGATCTCTACTGAAAGGTTGAATACTCCTCTTCAGTGACAGGGCGGACTGCTCTTCGTCTGCGCCATTTTTTGTTGTCCAAGTTCGTTCCATTTCGCGGTGCTTTGATAAATTCGCCGTGCTGCTTTCACTGCTTAGGGCGCTGGTGCTTTTGCTTGTCGTGGTTTCCATATTGGCGACGTGCGGTGGGGGGTGCGCACAGTGTAAATAAATATATATATATATATAAGTATGAATGTGTACCTAAAGAGATAACCGCGTTATGGTGCAAAGGCTCGATAAATTGAGCGCACAAAAAAACAATTCGTTTAACAATGAAGCGTGGGATTAATAACATGCGAATCGCATTTGTAACGTGTCGAACATTACGTATCTACAAACATGGGGAAGACGCCTACATACACTCGTGGGACAAAAAATATTTAACTACAAACACGCTCATGTCCCTTAAGCCTCGACCAGTGTCCCACCCAAAACAACTTTTAAAACATAAACAACAAGGTGAAAATTGTAGCATGTCGCTATATTGTACCTTTCCAAACATCATTTCTTGAAAAGTGCAAAAAATGCAAAATGTGTGCGCATATGCAAGATGTAGAGCATTTATACACTTAAAAAAAAAAAAAAAAAAAAAAAAAAGCATTAAAAAAATATATGCCTGTAGAAAGTTGCTGACGAGCAACGATCTGTGTTCATATGTGTGCATTTAAATATGCACTATAACGTATTATTCATAATTGCCCGAAACAAAAAAAAAAAACACACAAAATGGTGACCTAACAGCTAGCTATTTTTCCTTTTACATGAACAGAAAAAAAAAAAAAATAGTTACCTAATTAATAAAATGGCGATAAATGTATGACCCGTTCATATTTTTGCAACGTTCATAAACACACAAAAAGGTATGCTAACAAATGGGCGTATCGTGTTTAGCAAAACCATTTGCAACCTTTTGGTGTGAAAAATGATCTGTAGAGAATGCTACCGAGAGAGATCCAACTCGTAGCTTTCGCGTCACGCGATTGATAGACTCATAGGAAACACGTGGTCATAGAACCTATGAGGTGTAAGAATGCGTAGCATTTTATCTGTGCACGCGTTATGCACATGATTATCCGCACTGCATGGGAGAACACTGTGTGAATGAGAAATGTGACCAGTGCGAAAGAATTCACCAAAAATTGAAGAACAACCAGGCACCACGGGGAAAACGGGAAAGGGAAGTGACAAATGCTCAGCGTAGGCACAACGTAGGTCAAATGAATCGCATACATGTCCCGAACAAGTGACCATTTGGGATGCACAACAACGTGACTTTTTAAACACAGCCCACGTTTACAATGGTCAGAAATGTACGTTTTGTGAAAAAAAGATGAATGAAGTAAAATGCATTTCAAGTTGCTTGAAAAACCTTGGAATCGCTCAACAACGTAATTTTTTTGTAGATAAAAGGATAGGCGCCATTTTGAGAAATTTCCACAGCCTCTCATCATGCAGCGAACATGTGTTAAAGAATAAAGAAATAAATCGAAATAAGAAAAAGCAATTATGGATGAAAAGAATACACGTAAAGAACTTGCCGCGTAAAAAGTTTGGAAATCAGCTGGGAACAGTAGCAAAAATGCTATACTTGAGGCATGTCCGTGGGGATGAAGCACAAGATCGTGTCCTCTACACAAACAAGCGTACTGTGGATTGTGGACAAAGTGCTCATTCGGATGCTTTCCTAAGTGGAGAAAATAATCCTGTTGCTGAATCAAGTGATACACAAATTAGTCCTAACTGTAAGGTCAATACCAGCACGCGCCATTCAAATGGGCATAGCTTATGCACCACTAAGGAGGAACTGCAACATAAATCGAAAGAACAAGGAATTATTCAACATAGGAGAAGTGAAAATGAAGTGACTTCAACCCGAAGTACAACAAATGTACGCAAAATGGGCAGCCCGAGTGAACACCACCGTGATAAACACCTATGGGACGACATTTGCGACGAACTGAAGCATCATTTGCCGTTCCTTCAGCCGTATAGTATAACGACGGCTTTGAATTATCTGTCCAAAGTGAACTATGAGGAATACAACATTTTCAAGCTAGTTGCAGAAAATATCGACGAAAGATGGATCAAAAATTTTAACATAAAAGATCTCTCCCAACTGCTCTTGTCTTATTCAAGACTTCAGACGAAATATGACTCATTCGTAAACTTAATTAGCAGAGAATTGTTATATAAAATATGCTTTGCAAATATGGAGGAGATCGCTTTAATAGCCTACTCGTACACAAAAATGAAAATATACGATTATGAGGTTTTTCTACATTTGTGTAATCAGACAAAACGAAGGTTGGAGAAGGAACTATCACAAAGTGTAAGAAACTGTGTTGATGCTACAGTTGATGGTTTACATAACACTGTACGGATTGCTGATAACGACAAAGGTGGACACCTGCATGGAAACTGCGATAATGGGGGAAGGATGTCCGGGGAAGAATATCCCTCTTACTCCTTGGAGGATACACACAGAGGGGGCATTTCCCAGATGACAGTAATTCAGCAAGAAATGAACAAAACGGAAATAAACGATGGTCAAGCACACCTAAATTGGGGACACCACACCATTGGGGAATCATGCCTCCAAGCGGATAATGCTTACAGTAAAATAAATCTACATAAGGGGTCAAGTTTTAGTGCCAGCTCCACTCAGTTAAGTAGAGGAAAAACTGCGCAACAGAATGGCGAAAATGGACCAAGCAAGAAATATTCCCACATTTGTCTGTTGACCTACTGCCTCGGGAAAAACAAACATCGGGATGATGCACTCCTTGGCTTAATTTCAAAATATATACATGTGGACAGGATTAATTACATAGATGTAAGCAATTTGTCTTACGCATTTTCTGTGTTCGATTTTTATGAAGATCGTTTTTTTGAGCAGTTGTGCGAAAAGAGTCTCCAAATTGTGCATTCTGCGGCGCCTTCTCAGAAGGTAGTTATCATGTCATACCTTTTAAAACACCCGAGGGCAGAAATGCTAAGGGTGTATGTGTTGTATGTTAAAAATATGGGCGAGGAAATGGGACAGAAGGATATATATAAAGAACCTCTCCTCCTGAACATGGGCATAAACAGCTTTTCGAGTGACGTATTTTTAGACTTCCTCCTTAATGTAGTAACTTGTCAAGGAAGGGATGGCAATGCGCTGGAACAAATAAATGAAGCCAGATTTTTGCTAAACTTTTTGGTTGACTACGCAACTTTTTTTATGAAAGAAAAGAAAATGTGTTCACGTGATTATCCGAAGATTTTGAATATGCTGTTAAAAATTTTTCCTATTATGGGTGAGAAGAATAGCGGCATTGCATCTCCATGTCAGACTGGGTCTCCCTGCAGGGTTACCCTCCTTATAGAAGACCTGCTGGATTTGATCATAACAGACATGCACACATTTCATGCCCTCGACTTGGCTCATATTAGGAATATTTTTTTTCGTATAAAGAAGGAAGGGGTGGATGCCCATTTTGGCAGAAGGGAAGAAGCAATTTTAAATTTTGTCAATAAGAATGTGGGTAAAGGGGGTGGATAATGAGCCATGTGCGACGAGTAATCAGAGTGGCATATAGTCCCTGCCCGGATTATTACCAAGCATGAACAAGATACATGTACTTCAAAATTCTTTTTACCATGTTGTGTGTTATTAAAAAACAAAAAATGGCGAGTTCAATTGGGGATGAAGAAAAAATATCCTCTCGTGTACATCTTTCAAAAGGTATAAAAAAAGTTAATTAAGAAAATGTGACACAGGGAGGCTGTTGCAAACAGTTAAGCAGATTCATGGTGGAATTAAATAGTTACATGTACAAGCACGTAGGAACGTACCTACGTTTTCACACTCATGCAGGCGCATGGCAGTTACATGTCCACAATAGTTCGCAGTGAATATATTTTTTATATTGCTTGCTCCTTCAGCTTGGTTGGTGAGGCGACCGCTTGGCGCGTTATACCTATTGGGTTGAACAGTGTACAGATTACACACTGGGGCATATCCATTGAACGAAGTTCTCACTTGTTTTGCCTACTGGTGTTCGTAACCCCGCTGTCCGTTACCTTTCCCTTCCCCCGTTTCATCTGATCGGCAACCTTGTGCTTGTCATCTTTGTTCACGTTTTTTTTAAAAATTTTTTTCGGTAGAGAACCTTCGACAGGTGCAGAACCCGGGGTAGTGGCAGCACCCATCGTTATCCCCTCCGCTAAATCAAAGGGCCTGTCTTTACTCACATCAACTTTGGGGGTTAGCTTATCCAAGGAGGACTTGTTCAACTTGATATAGTTATTTTCCTCACTGGGATCTTTGTCTCTGTCATTTTTCACTTTTATATTATCATAATTGTATGACTTGTTCAGGTGATTTCCATAAATGTTGGAATTACTGTTCGGAAAATTATTGTCATCATAGAGGACGCTATCTTGTTTGGCGTCTACTTGTTCAGGGAATGGACTGTTCATGTCATTCTCATACAGATGATTTGTATTACTTTGATTTGTGTTAATATATGTTTGGAAGAAATTTTTATCATCGTTATTGTTTGGATAATTTGGTGTATCTTCCTCATCGGGTGCGTAGTAACTGTTGTATTGTCCTTGTTCGTGTTGATAATTTTCTTCGTACCGTTCGTTGGCGTAGTGGACATCGTTGTTGGGGCTGTTATAAAAGGTTCCCCCTTCTGCATTTTTGTATCCCTGCTGCGACATGCGAAGTGTCGTCTGGTGTTGTGTTTCGATTTCCTGCTCATAGTGACCGCTGCTTAAATTGGCAAAAGCTTCGGTGTTGTTGCTGTTCCTTCGTGCGGTTGAGATCCGTTCTCCATTCTTTCTTCCATTTGTGGATGAATCTTGCGGGAAATGCGCGTGTTGGGTAAAAAACGAGGAGTCGAAGTTGTGTACATCGTGGTCACCTCTTCCGTTACTGCCGCTAATGCCCCCAATGTTATGATTATAGAGCCCGTAAATATCTTCGCCGTTTCCTACTTCTTCCCCATCGCTAGCATACTTAGTGCCTGCCTGCTCCTTGAAGCTACTTCGCCTCTTTTCTCTGTCCACGGCGTCATTGGAGTACATTAAATTTTTCTTCATAAATTTTTCTGTGTATGTCAAATTCAAATTTCCTGAGGAGCTACTTGGTCCTAGGTTGACGTCCATGTTAAGTAGGTTAAGCATATTTTGGTCTAAGCCTTTGTGAACGTAGCTGTTGCTACCAGGGAATCGCATTGTTTCGAACTGTTCCTCCTTCTTCAAGCTGTTGGAGTAGTTAATTGGGTCGTTTTGTTCACCGTGTACGTTATGGTCCTGTACTTTATGATCCGCTACTTTTTGTGGTGGATGCTTTTTTTCTACGTGTTGTATATGACGCTGATTCCTCGTTTCGTAGGCGTCATTTATATGGTAATTATCATCGCTGTGGTTATAAATGGAGCTGTCAACGTGGAAATCGTTATTATACTGCGAGGAGCTAACAGGACCGCCGTTATTTGTCGTCGTCCTAACGCCGTGCTGGATGTCCTCCTCTCCGTCACTTTGCACACTTCCGTTGGAGCTGCTGCTACCGTTCTGGGGGACCTTCTTCACATTTCCAGGTGTCCCATTTGTGGAGCCCATTATATCCTTCATTCTTTCCCTATGGTAGTGCGCATCCTGCTCGTTTGGGAAATTCACTTTGTGCGAGTTGGCATTCGCGCAGTTCCCTGAGCCGACATTTTGGGCATCCTCCCCTTCGGCGTACGCCTCCCTGGAATGCCTACTCTCTGCCGCGACACCCCCATCACCGGCACGACTTTCCAATTCGTAATCATAATTGTCCCCATGGGGAAAATCAAACGGGTCCCTTTCACTCATCGATTTTGCGAAATGGTGACTGCTGGTCATTGTCCCGTTATTTCCTACTTCATCTTCCTCTTCTTCTGCGTCTTCTTGAAACACCTCGCCTTCTCTCTTGCCGGCAAAACTGTCGTGCTCATTCCCATTTGGCTGTTGTTCAGTATTTTCATCGTAAAATGACCCCATTACATTGTTTAGGCCATTCCTCCGTTTGTTGCCCTTATTTGAGAAAAAAAAATTGTTTTCTTCTAATCTGTCACCAGTGAAGCTCTTTTCATATTCGCCCATGGAGTTGCTATCCCCAGGAAATCTGTTTGAGTGCCCAAATGGTTGGTTGGCTTGACTCGACTGATTAGCACTGACGCTGTCGAAGAAATTATTGCCGTCATTTTCCCCTTGATTATTCCCTTGGAATATATCAGCATCCTCGAAGACGTATGAAGTCTCCTTTCCCTCGTGATGGGCGTTCTCCTTTTCATCCCAAAATATGAAGTTTTCATGGTCGTTCTCTGCAGCCATTTTGTTTTTTTGGTTTTTTTTTCTGTCACCTCTATCTGTTTCGTCTTCCTCCCACTGTATATTGTTGTCCTTAAAATCTTCATTTTTTTTTTTTCGCCTATTTCTGTGACCGACATTGTCACCCCCTGCACAATCGTTGTTGCTTGCACTTGGGGTGTTTTTATTTTTTTGGCTGTCCTCGAAGTGTCCCCTGTCGTCATTGGAGAACAATTTCTTGGAGGCACCTTCGTGCAATTTTTCTTCCGCCGCTTCCTTCTGCGTGTTTTTTGCATGTTCCATTGGGTCTCCGTGTCGCTTACTGGAACTTTGCTCAGCGGATCCATCATCATACTCATCATTGTTACTACTATCCATGGAATGATCGCCTTCTTCGCCATGTTCATCACTTCCTTCGAGGTGTTGCTTATTTCGGTCCGTTGTCGCCTGTCCGCTATCCCCTTTGCTGTTTTGCGCATCTCGTAAGAATTCCGTATCATCGAAAAAGCGGTCATCCTTATTGGCGTTGCTTTTTTTTCTGGAGTTTTCCCATTTGACCTCTGGTTCGGATGCGCCCTTAGCAAACTTGGATGAATTTTTTTGAAGATATTCCTTTTCCTTTTCGTCTTGCCCTTGGGGATCAGCGGCATACTCTTCGCTTTTGGCAGTTCGAGCGTCATCTTTTTCACCTTCGCGGGGGATTTCCTGTGCGATAGCCTCTCCACTTCCATTTGCCTTGGCCCACTTAACCGATCGTTCCTCTGTTCTTCCCTTAATTATGCTGTCTAACACCTTCAGCTTCCTCTCTTTGTCCAATCGCACGCACAACGCCTTCTGTATCTCTTGCAAAATGCAGAGGCGGGCATTCATAATGACATTTGTCTTTTCCTTTATGCAGAGCTCCTGGTACTCTTTCTTAAGGTTGAGTTCCGTCTGTATGAGGTTGTTAATGGAATTTGAAATTTTGGTTTTAAAATTGGTGATATCATCATCGGAGAGCCCTTCGTATTCCTGTTTCAATTTTTTGTAAAAATTTTCATCCACTTTTTCGTTATTGAGGTTGGAGAGTTTTCCATCGAATAGGTTGAGGAAGGGATTTGCATTTTTGTTGCTATCCGATTCGTTGTTCAATCCTTTGTTAAAATTTTTTAGTTTCTCCTGAAATTTGTCAATGTCGTCTTTGTACGTGTGGTACAAGTTGTTCTTGGCATCGCTGGGAAAATTGGAAGTCTGCGCTGTTGAGTTAAATGTGCCTGTATTACTGTTAAGGGTCGCGTCCCCTGCATTGCCCCCTCGGTCATCCTTATGAGAGGTATTAGCACTGTCATTCGTGTTGCTTGCAGTGGTGGGAACGTTAGCATCTTTCTGCTGATATGGCTCGTTTACGCTATCACTTTGGGTGGCCGCGGTCTTTTGCCTGTTATGCGAGCCGGATCTGTTATTACCCTGTGGGCGGTTATTGATATCTTCGATAATTTGAGGATACACATAGTTGGTCTCTTTTTTCTTCTTCTCTTTGAGCCTTTCCGCCTCATTAAGGAGGAGTTGTTTGGCCTTAAACAGTCGCTTAAAATGATTGTTGTGTCTTCTTTTAATATCTGGACTACTGTTGATGCCAAGTTTGTCAGGGTGCCACTTCTTGCATAAGTTGGAGAAGGCTTGCTTGATTTCTGAGACGGAGCAATTCCTGTTGACATTTAAAATTTGAAAGGATGTGGCATTTATCTGTGACTTGAGTTTGTCTTCCTTATCATCCGGTTTGATGTTACATTTCATACACATATTTTTATACGTCAACAGGGCATTTTCATACTCAAGCAAATTTTCGTACGCATGTATTTGGGTGTCGAAAGCGTTAATATATTTGGGAATGTATTTCAGGCAGTTCATGCAATTTTCAATAACGTCGATCCATTTGTTCAGGTGCATTAATGTCCTAGCTCTGTTGTAGTAAAGCTTCCCTATATTTTCATTCATTGATTTACCCATTCTAACGGATTCTGAAAGTTTTATTTGTTTTTCCAGTGCTTCACTGTACAGATCGAAGGCTACGTCATACTTTGCGTTTTTATAATTATCTGCTCCTTTTCCTGCTATGTCTAGGATGTAGCCAGAAATGAGGTCGATTTTGATGTCTTCATTGTCTAGGTAGTCCAGTGGAGTTTTGTTTTCTGCATTTTTGTTAAATATATAATTGTAATTTTTGCCAGACAACTTCAACAACTTGAGCAGCTCAAAGTTCTTCTTCTGTAGAACATAGTGGTATATGTTGTCACCGTTTTGAGGGTTGATAGGGTCCTTTGCGAAGTTGAGGAACATGCTCGAGATAAGTCTCTTCACTGTTTCGTTGGAGCAGTAGAACATGGGGTGCTTGATATCGTACTGCACTTGATGGGAGTTGTCCACATGTAGGCTGTCTGCTGGGTCGACGAGTGCTTCTGCGTGCGGGACGTGCACTAATCGCACTTCGTTCACGTTCGGGATGCTGACGCTCCCTTTCACATTCGGGTCGATCAAACACAAGTCGAAAAACTTCAAAAACAGCGACTTTTTCATCAAACGTATCCACCGAAAATTATCGCACTTTAAACAAATTACGAACAGTCGATATAAATTATACATGTGCATATTTTTAAACAGAAGTGTTAGCATAATGGAATTGATGAGGGCCACCTTCTCTTTGTTTTTGTCTGAGTCTGGATTTTCGAGCTGCCGAATGACTTCTTTCTCCAGTTGTTTGACGGGAACATTGTCACACCTTTCCCTGCGTAGGCACAAATGTACATTCAGCAGTTTCGACTCCACTAGGCAATGCTCCTGCAAATGCTTCAATACCTTCTTGTGATTGCATATGTCCTTATTTTCTAAAATAAAGTTTGAGATGTAGCAGCCGTAAATCGTGGCCTTGGTGTCGTCATCATACCTTTCGATATTTTTCTCATACACGATTCTGATTGTTTTCATTTTTAATATTAAATCGTCAACCACGGATGCGTCAATTTCTTCGCTGGTACCATAGTAAACAGGGAATTCATACTCGGTGATTATTGGTTCTTTGAGGTTCTTCTCGAGGGGATTTTTTCCGGAGTCTCTTCCCTGTTCATTCTTGTCACTGCGCGCGGGTATTCTGTGACCGGTGATTTCTGCACTGGTGGAGTTAACAACCCCACTGGCCATTTTCACATTATTCAATGGACCATTTGTTGTACTTGTACTGCTGATTCCTGACGTGTGTACAGCAGAGGGCACTACTCCTGCCCCTCCCTGTATTACTGCATTTTCCCCACTTAGCTTCTTGGACATGTCATTCCAGGTTTCCATCTTCTTAATTTCGTGGTTTTTTTTTTCGATCTCCATTTTGAGTCTCTCGACTTCCTTCTTCAGCACATCGTTTTGCGTCTTGGTGTCGATCAAGTCTTTTGCAAAGTTTTTATCAAACTTGTTTATTAAACTGCTTAGCTCATTTTCGAATGTGGACAGGGTCAGTTTCATTTCTTCATTTTGATCCTTGAGCTTTGTTATGTCCTTTTCATAATTAGCCATTTTGCTTTTATTACTGTTGTTAAGTTCCTCCAGGTTTGCAATTTCTTGTTTGAGGGTCCTCGTTAGGCGTACATAGTCGTACAATTTTGACTCCAATTTAGATCCTTTCTTTTCTTCATTGTATATGGAATATTCCAATATTTCAACGATTTTTTTGAGCTTGTTCATTCGCTTTTTGGTTGGGTTTTTTAAAAATTTCATGTTTCCTTCTTTTTTCACGTCTGGCACTTTTCCCTCCTCTTGGGGGTCGTCCAGCTCAATGGAGCACGAGCTGTCCAGGCTGATGTTACTGGGGTTGCTCAGATTGCTTGCATCACTGGCGTTACTAACGTTGCTGACATTGCCGAGTCTGCCTTTCCGGTGTGGGGCACCACTCGTTGCACCCATGTGCAAATTGGCTCTATCCTTCACCGGGTTCGCGTCTTTGTCATACTGGGCGAACTTTCCATACTTGGTGTACTTGGTGTAAACAGAAGCGCTGCTCAGTTCGCTATTTTCCAGGTTGTCAAACAGACCGGGCTTTCTGCTTCTCCCCTTTGACTTTCTACCAATACTGGCGACGTCCTCCGCAGGGTGGTTGAATTTCTTCTTCACCTTTTCCTTGCTCGCGTTCGCACTTCCCCTGAGGTCTGAAAAGTCGTGGTTGCCGTAGATGTTCTCTGTGTCGTTTTTTGGATCGCCCATATACTTTTTAAATTCAATCACGTTTGGGTTCGCACTTGAGGAAACACTCGCAGCGGCGTTCGCGGGAGCAGAAATGGGGTTAGTACTGTGGTCCGTGTTCATGTGTGTACTCAAATTCTCCCTATCGTTCATACTGACATCTTCGCTGGTGCTTTTTTTTTTTTTTTTCTTTTTCAAAGGTACGAGTTTCTTGTTACTTTTGAGCATCGAGTCTTTGTTCGCTTCGCCCTTTTTCAAGTTATTTCGCTTCGCCCTCAGGGAGCCACTTCCAGCATAGAACTCATTGCGAAGGTCATTCATCGCGGCGGCGACATGAGTGCGGTCATTGTTATCATTGCTGTCTTTATTGTCCACATTGTCCTTACCGCCCCGGGGATTTCTGCCTTCACCATTATGGAAAACACTGTTACTCAAAAAGGCAGTGCTGACGTTACTGCCGAGTCTACCGTTTCCCCCGGCGCGGTTCGAGTTGCTATTATCTGCAGCGGGGAGGTTTGGAATGAGGGGGGAGGCGTTTCCCCTGTCCTCTTTAGTATAGGATTTATCAAAATGGTTTCTTTTTTTTTTCGGATGCATAATGGGCACGTGTTTTTCTTGCAGTTTTTTGCTCAAGTCCTCCCCGTAGTTATATTCCTTATTCTCATACTTCTGATCGAAATTGGAAAAAACGTCTTTAAAATATTTAAACTTTTTTTTTTCATTTTTATCTTCAGTAAAAATATCATAATAGGAGTATATGTTGGAGTAAATATCGTAGTAATCAGAGTTATAATTTTTTTGATTGACTTTATTTTTTATACTGGATGTTTCTATTCCCTCGTATAAGTTGTCATTTTTATGCAGGTTTTTTTCTTTTCTTTTTTTTTTTACAGAGAAATCGCTCATTTGGCTGCTGTTCGTTTCGTCTTCATCTTCATCATCATCATCGTCGTCTTCGTCGTCGTCCTCCTCATCATCATCATCGTTATCATCGTCATCATCATCATCATCCTCATCTTCATCTTCATCTTCATCGTCTTCGCCATCGGCGGAGGCGGTGGGGTCTTCTTCTTCCGACTCTTCCTCCTCTTCCGCATCGTCTTCATCTTCCTCGGATTCTTCATCCCCCACATGTTGCTGCCTTTGTTTGCTTCTTCTTTTGCTACTTACGCCGTAGGCTTTTCCATTCCGACTCGTGCTGGAGCTGTTGTCAGAATGCACTGCGTCCAATTTCTTGCCGTAGCCATTATACTTCAAATCGCTCATGAATTTGAAAACCTTCCCTCCGTTCGTCTTTCCGTAGGTGTTTTCCTTATAGGAATTATGTTTCCTTCCCAAATTAGGGTTCGTCGTTTGCCTGCCGACTTTGTTTAAATTGTTCTTTTTGGAGTTCATGTTTGGCTAAGCTGATAGCGGTTCGTTCGTCACTTAGGGACGGGGGGGAAGCGGTGCACAGATTGGAACGCGTTCAAATGAGTTGCGTTTTCTTCAGTGGCTTGCGGGTACGGGCACATATACTTCTGTATATATTGTACACTTTTCCACGCAGCGCACTTGGTGCATGCAACAGCGTACCCCTCTGTGGACTCTGCGTGCTCACTGCCCCCTGTTGAATTCTTTGGAACGAATGTAAGATATCATTCTTACATTAGTTGCATGTGCAGGCTTGATCGGCAAAAAAAAAAAAAAAAAAAAACACACATACAAATATATACATATACATATAAAAAGGTGTGTTCCCCTCTTTGTAACTTTCTCGGTGAGCAGACCGATGCTTGTGATGGCACAGCTGGAAGTATGCACAGTTCGCCGGCCCAGTTTAACGCACGCTTTATGCCTGTACGTAAAATGGGCACACTACGCTAAGCCAAACGTGACAGCTGGGGATAAGATGAACTCTCCACTGGGGTATGTGCATACGTGTATACGCGTACACGTATTTATATCCATTTGGAATGAGTCCAAAAAATTGACCACTCTGGATTTACCACTTTCCCTTTCCGTGGCACAGCAATTAATAACAGAAAGACACACAAATTGTACTCGCGCGGGGCAATACGCAACGTATGGGTCATAAGGCGTGCATGCAAAGTGTGTACATGTTCAATTGGCACTTGTGGAAAGCATAATCCGTCCTGCTCATGCATGTACGCATTTAAGCCAGTATACAAGTACGTGCTAACTCACGGGCGCGCTCAAGCACATACGCGTATATAATGATAATTACAAAAAAAAAAAAAATTCATTAATGTCGTGCACGCGCAAGGCGGGGAAAAAGGCAGGATGTATAAACGGCAATGAAGAAATACTTGGGGGGAGGAAAAAAACATAAAGTATACAAGAAAGTGACAGGTACATAAAAATGGAAAAAAAAAAAAAATGCGTGCCTATTTGGTTGTTCCTTACAAATGTAAAGATGGAAAAAAAAAAAATTCATACTAAAGGGATAAAGTTGGAGTACCCCTTTGGGGCATACGCATGTTCTCATGCGCCTTATTTACATACGATTGGGGACAGGCATGTAAAGCATACTGGCTGCAGGGCGTAATATATCTGTGGTATGTGTTACCTACGGGGAAAAACCCATAGGACATATAAGCCGTACATTACACAAAAAAATAAGGACAAAAATATGTCCCACGAAGCAGTGGTCTGTACCACTAAAATTGTATATCAATCTTTTGTATGCTTAAGATTGCCTAATTTGCATTTGGGACTTGCCGCGTTTTCTATTCCGGGGAACCAAAAAATGTTCGCAACATTTACTATATATGCTGAGTATTGGGGGTTAAGGCGTTTTTACGAAATTTATCGTAATGTTAAATTTTAATTAATATAAAACTTCCTGCGGTTTTATATTTAGCAGTGTGTTTCCTTCGGATGGCATGTCATGTATGCTCGACGCGCTCGGTTTTGCTTTTTTTACATAGGTTATAACGCGCAATACGTGCTTGGGGACGTACTGTCATATTTTGTATGCATGCAAAACAAAAAAAAAAAAAAAAAAGTTCTGGTACGCTGCGCGAAAATGTTGCCTGTAACTTTGACTAGGTACCCCAGTCAAATTCTTTTATCAACTATCAGTTTTTCCCTTGCGCTTTTTTCTTCCCTTTTGGAATGGTTAAAATAGCATAATAACGGATTTAGAGAATTGCAAAAAAAAAAAAAAAATATATGTTTTCTCTATAAAGCAAGCATATTTTGACGACCGTGGATGTTACATTTATATGTTACGCCCACATGGTGGTGCTCATTTTTATGCTGTTTGTTTAGGTTTTTTCAAGTTGATTGGCATATTCAAAAAAAGTATGAAGACCGCAGGTAAAAAAAAAAAAAAATGCTTACATACTTATGCAGTAGCGTATACTTATATATATGCATGCTATGTGCGTGGCTAAATGGCGAAGACAAGCGACACGTACAATATATGCTTATGCTGTTATGGGCAATTTTTCCTCTTGAGAAATGCTCTTGGGGAAAATAGGCCACCTTGGTTGTTGTCTTACGAACGCTTTTTGCATTCCCGCTAATATGGTGCTTTTCGAATAAGGTATAAAATTGATTCAGAGCAGATGTTGCGTCAAGTCCACTTTTGCTGCAAACCGAACTTTCCCTGAGTTGGCTAAATTGTACATGTACACATACATACTGCGTACTTGTGTGCATAAAACAGCATATAATTTAAAAAAAATATGGACTTTGTTTTTTTTTTCCACTCACTGTTCCGTGGCACTATTACGCGAAAGGTTCATGTATATGAATAGACATTGAGGGATGATTTAAAAAGGCGGCGATGTTCCTTGTGCGTTTCCATTGTTCCTTATAACATTAGTGCAGATCTTGTGGGGACGCAGACCTATGCATGTACATGGTTGCTCGTGCTTGCCTGATGTGAATGGACGCGCACATATTTGTTACGTATTCACGCATTTGCGTGACGGGCATGCGACAATGCTTCCCTTCTTTTGTATGCACTTATTGTGGGAACCCCCTACTTACTGCCTATGGCTTATCTCTGTTGTCCATGGTGCATGGCATTACCACAAAAGTACACCTCGTGTCACGCCCATAGATGCATACACATGATAAATATATATACGCGCACGCGCTTGAGTCCCCCAGCGGGTTAACTGAACAATCTTAGTAAGCACATGCTCGGTAACTTCTTAACAGACAAGTGATGCAACAGGCTTACAAAAATTATGCAGTTACATGTCCAGGCTGTTAAGCGTAACAGTATAGTTCGCTTCATCTGGTGGTACATTTCTGCCCGCCTGGAGTCAGCTCCCCAGGAGCGTCCTGCTCAATTTTTGTATTAATTGAGCCTCCATGTCTTGGAATATTTTTTTTTTCTCATGATCATGAACACTCTCCGCATGCGTAGAGTACGTGTTGACGATCCGAAGAATGTCTTTTTTTTGCACCGGAGGCAGAGTGCCATCATTTGTTGTAAAGCTGCAGCATGCGCAATGACATGGACCTATCTGGTTAATTGTTGGCAACTCCATTTCGTGACAAAAGTTTTTCTGCACCTGTGCTATTTCCTTATGTGAAAACGTGTACTTGTTAATAACTTCACACATATTTCTGTCCAGTAGGAGATAGTCTTCCTCAACGTGTTCGATAAAGTCCTTTCCAAAGTGGTTTATGAAATGAGTGCGTACATTTGATGTGTTGCTAATGTTTAATTTGTTGGCACAGTAAAGAATGTTCCTTATGCATTTCTTTAGCCTCTTTTTATTTTCACGCTCAGGAGTGTTTATCCCTGCCAGGGAAGTTGATTCGTTACATAGTGCAATCAGCTTATTATATAGGTAGCATACGTTTTCGTTTCGCAGCATCCGGCAGATGCTCTCGTGGGCAGCTTCCATTTGTCCATTTCTGTGCGCGTGTGAGGAACACGAGGAAAAAAAAAAAAAAAAAAAAAAAGGACAAATAAACATACGTACAACTTATGTGGGAATAACTGGGTGGGTTTCACCATGTACATGTGTCACCACTATCCACGAGTGCCAATGTGGGGACACGTATGCAAGCCTTACAGCAGGAAAAAGAGGATGTTCTTCTTTTGCACTGTGGTTTCAGTCCTGCTTTTTATTTGGAGCAGGTTGACTGCATGGTCGGGGGGGATGTGCATGTGCAGGTGAAGGTGCCATATAGAGAACGCTGCAAACGTATGGTTCACTTTGTAAACGTTGTTCGGTGCGGGGAACTTACCCGAGTGAGCAACATCTGCTCGTCTTACCTCTCGCCTTGAATAAATTCAAAAAAATACCAAACTTCTTAGAGTCTTCTTCTCCCATGGGCATCTTCACTACTCCTGCGCTCATGTTTTTGGTTGCGTTTCTTAGCTCTTCTTTCAGTAAGGGAATACCGCCTTTTTCTTTTTTTTTTTTTTATATATTTTGTCCCTACTGATATAATTGATGCAGGGAAAATATAATTGCAGCTTTTTTGGTATGACTTGTGAATAGGGGGAAATTTATAAACTCAGGTTCATTCCATATTGGGGGGGAATCCATCACATAAAAAAAAAACAGCAAAAGAAAAAAAAAAAAAAAAAAAAACAATTGGGGACAGGCGAAATAGGGACGCCTGACAGAACTGCGAAGGGAGATTTTGCGAGACTTTCACACATGCCCAAATGGTTATGCCGCAAAAAAGGGAAACGGCGTTATTCCCCCCATGCAACGGATCCTAAAAGCACCCCCTTTGCAATCCCAAGTGTGACAACCTCGAACGTCATACAGTTGTGGAAAGGTGAACCGCCGTCGCGTGTCTTCATCTGGGGCATTGCGCCTTTAAGTGCACATGTATCGCTAAGCAGCTGTTTGCGAACATGTCTCATATGTTACGGGGATAACTTGGACAAGCGGGGAATTCAAGTAACATGAGAAAGGTGTAATCAGATCGGGCGATAACAATTTGCATTTCCTACTGTGTATTTTTTTTTTTTTTTTTTCTGCCATTGTTCAATCGATGCAACTTCGAAAAGATGCTAATAAATGCTCCCCCCATGGGGTGGCCGAAGATGTTGTTTGATGATTCTGTACATGTTTTTATCAGGGGGTTTGTTAAGTCATTTTTACATCGTGTTATTTTTTGCTTTTTTAAAATTTCGAGCCATGTAATGGCTATCCTCTTTCTATGTGTCCAAGAATGCTGCCACGGTGGACACATCGTGATAGCATGACCTTTTGCAGGTTAAGGAGAAAATGTGCATGCATGGACTTATATAAAGAGAGAGCGCGCGGCAGGAGCTGGACAGTCTCCTTCGTACGCAGGTTTGCACATTAGCATGTCCTTTTATGCTTTTCCCCGTAGTGATTTCTCATCCCATTCGTGCACACGTCTTAACGCTTGTGTAAGCACTGTTCTTCTGGGCCCTGCGAAATGTGCCAACAGTATAGGCACGCGATTTTCCCGCAAAAAAAAACCTGTGATGGCCGTACGAGGTAGCACTCTTCTTTTTTGTGAGGAAATATGTACAAGCAAAAAAAAAAAAAAAAAAAAAAAAAAAAAACTCATTCCATTGCGCATTTGAAAAAGCGCATGATGTTAAAATTTAGGAGGAGCTTTTTTCTTCTTTAAAAATATTTCACACATTTTTACTCATTTTAAAGAATCTTGCCCACAAAAGTATGGAGTGATTTTATTCTCTTTTCTTTTTCGAAGGATGCAATAGTAATTTGAGTATATGTTGGGGAAGCATTTTCACAACTACTTCGTTTGGTCCCATCCGAGAGGGGTACCATCTTGTGGAAGAAAAAAATGAAAATATAGAAAGGAGGTTGGTTCATTTTCTGCTGGCCATTTTGCTAACTTTTTGCTGCCTGTTTACCGCCCATTCGCCGCCTTTTTTTTTGGTTTTGCTTTGCAAGCAATTTTTAGCTTTATGTTGTTTTTAATTGGCCGTGTTTTTGGCTTCTCGGCGTTGCCTCCCAATTCTTTCCGAAGGAATTTTTGTGACGTTTGGCGGGCCTTGACATCGAGTTTCATCCGACTGTGGTACTTAGCCAAGCAGTGAGGGAGAAAACAAGTCCTGGAGATTGCGCTTACACCTTTGCGCAACCACAGAAAAAAAGAGCTTCTGCTGCCCGAGGTAGCCCTTTTCCCCTCCGTTGAAACCCATCCGCACCGTCGCAACCATGTCAACATGGATAAACAAAAAGCTCATATCTATATCGGAGAAGGTCATCGAAAATGTAATAGATTCTTTGACGAATAAAAACACACCCATTGATAACATACAGAATATGCAAGGGGTAAGCATACCGAGTGTGTCTGTGTACTAGACTGTTCTCACCCTATCCGATTAAAATGCTCATTTGTGTGTTGTCCTCGTGGGTTCATGGTTTCATTTGATGGATTCATTCAATGCAATTGCATCCAACACCAACGCCAACATTTGGTTCATTCCCTTGCTGCTTCCCTCTTCTTCTCCCCTCCCTAAATACACACACTTCGCAGACCCAACTGGGAAAAATAATAAGCAAGGTAATTTCTTCCAAGTACTTTTTCAAAAATGACGACATCTGCTACAACTCAAGGAATCTGGACTTTAACTGGAATATGAAGAGCATATCGAAGAGGAGAAAAAAGAGAATAAGGAAAAATAAGGGGAAAAGGATCAAGCAAAGGACATCAGAGGGAAAAAGAAGAAACAGTCAGAGGGTTCATGGAAATAGTACACACGAAGAGAAAGATGCTGATTGCAAACAGGACTCATATAATAATATTTACATAAATTCGACAAGCCCTAATTATTTAAACATTGATGAGTCGTACATGGGTACTTGCCCTCTGTTGAATGCCAACAAGGCAGTTGAAGGGGAAGATCATGAGAAGGACACCTGGTTGAAAAAGGACATAATAACATGCAACTCCAGTGTGCAAAGCATCGTTAGCGAAGCTCCAGAGGGTGTCACGTCAGTAAATTCAATTTCCGCATCTAGTTACGATTCTTGTGCGGAGTACACAACAGACGGTTCGAGAGGTTCCTCAGGGAGGACTTCACACAGTACATCAGGTAGCAACTCTGGAGGGACATCTTCTCGTAGTTCCCACGGAAGCGCAAGGGAAAACTCAGAGGACGCATCGTTAAACCTGTCTACCAGCGCATCAATATCGAGTGATGCGAATAAGTCATGTTCTAGAGGATCGTCCAAAAGGATAACATCATCTTCAGAGGTGGCCCAAAGGGAAAGCTCCTTTAACTCGAATCAGTATGCCGAGGCTAGAGAAAACTACATGATGCAGAAACAGGCACATCTGTGCAAAGTAAACCTTTTTATTAAAGAGGCCAAGTTATTATTTTTTAACAAAAATGTGAATATCAGTGATATATCTATATTTGTTACCACCATTATAGAGGACAAGAAGTACGTTGGCAAATTGAGAAAGCTAAGTTCGAGGACTTTACCAATGAATAACTTAATAATCAACGAATGTATTAAACATAACGTAAAGGACATATACACCGACATTGTAATAAATATAAAGTATATTAATAGGAAAAAAAACAACGAAGAAATAATTCTGGGGAGGGTAATAATTCCGTTCTTTCTTCTTCTAAATACATACAGATATAAAATTAAGAAGATCAGGAATAGTGTAAAATATTGCACCAAGTGCTTCCTATGGCTACACATCTTTCCATGTAACAACAAATTATTTAACTATAAATTTTTTAAGCCAGTGGAAGGGTTCGAAGAATATGGAATGCTCAACCCTCTATACACATTAGGGTTTTTAAATATAAAAATGAAAATAATTTTTAAAAAGAATCCCCTTCTTTTGACTCTCTATAGTAACATGAGGAAACCTATATTTTACTATAAATTACCTGTACAATTTGAACCTCTTTATTGCCAGTACTATAGTGAAAACTTCTTTGTCTATGTTACTCAGTTACCTATATGGCTATATAAGTTTTTTTACCTGTTCAACCCCAGGAGGGTTGAAATAATTCCTTTAAACTGTTACGATTACGTATTTATATTTTCCTTTTGGTTGTTTTTTTTCCGTTTAATTGTTGTTTCCCCGTTTTTCCTTATCTTGGTTCATTTTTTTTTTTGTCTGATTTTCATTTCTCTTTCTTACAAGTTCGGCTACGTCGATTCCGGCCCCAGCAGTATGGCGTACACTTTTCGCCCCGTGCATATGAAGAAGAATCCTCCAAACATGAATCCCGGTCACGCGAAGAGCCCCCAGCCTCACCAAATTCTCCCCCCCGACAATAGGCGTAACGTGCGTTTTTTTGACAGCAAGTGCAGGGAGATACTGCTGTCGGCGAATGATATAGACTCGAATTATTGCGGCGGTGGGAGAGGCATGAATGCACAGCGGGGAATTGATAACCATGAACAAAATGGGGAAGGTAGCTGTGCTCAGCGCAGGAGGCAGCTGCTTATCCAAAGTAATGCACTCGTGGAGACACCCCATGGAGGATTAAACAGTTGCGACGTTCCCCAACTGGTAGTGACAAATGAGGAGATGAAGAGCATCCCACGAGAGCACGAACATTGTGGGGAAGAAGTCAAGAGTGGTACTTCCCAGAAGAATGACGAATTGAATGGAGAAGCAGCAAAGGGGATGAACAGCCAGAACGAATGCAGCAGTAATGGAAGCTTCTATGGAGGACGTTGTAACAGCCCTGAAAGTCCACATAAGGACGGAGGACACCATGTGGCCCATTTCCAAATTGAAGAAAATTGTTTTGTAAAGCAACCCAAGTTGGATCACGAAGACGAAGAGTCGAAGGGAAAAATGAAGGATGGACAAAATGAACACCCAGAGGAACAGAAGAGAAGAGGCCTAATCGACTTTATGCAAAATACACCTGATGAGTTAAACAATAAATTAACCAACGTGACAAAATTTGCAAAGAAAATTCAGAACATGATGTTCGACAGTAAGGATAAGAATCCGTTGGATTTTTTCAACGTGGGTTCACATGCAAATGGGCTAGCTGGGCTGTTTAATGGGATGAACGAGAAACGAGGGAAGGCAGAAGGGGAGGCTCCCAGGGGAGAAGACCAAACTGATAAAGTGGCAGATTTGCACCATTGGCTGGATACTCCAACAAAGGGGAAGAAAGAGAAGAACCCCCAAATGGATGATTCAGTTAGGGGGAGCAACCAATCAGGAGGGAGTAACAGACTGAGTGATAATGAACACAATCATTTGAGTACATCGAAGGATGGGAAGGAAAGTGTCCGCAGGACATATCGCGCAAAGGAAAATGGAATGGAACAGAGTATCCATGGAGAGGTGCACACAGATAATTCAGCGGTAAATTCTTCATCGTGTCAAAATGGGACTGAAGAATATTTAGCGCAGTACAAAACGGAAGTATATGTGGACGCAGTTTCTAACTCGAACACATTGGACCCCCCCAAAGTGGTAAAGCGTAGTAACGTGGCCACGAGCAGAGATGGCATGCCGTCGTTTGATCATATGGGGGGGGTGGAGGAGAGCCCCTGTTCCAACTCAAACACGTCTATAGAATCCAAATTTTTTAAAAAAAATTTTTTGTTTGATGCCATAAAGAATAATCTGGCATCCCCAAATGAAGAGAAAGCCGCCGAGTTCACGAAAAATGATGCTAGTGGGACCAACGAAAAGAAAGACATGTTTGCGTTTAAAAAAAAATATGCTTTTATGCCAATCGTGAAGTCTCCCTTCCATAACTTTTATTTATTTTTTAATTCGATTGAAGGTAAGAAGACATCGATCTTTTCAAATAACGTGGATGTACCAAATGTCCATTTGCTTCTCAAACGATTCATAATGCTTATAACTTTGACTCAGAATTTTACGGGAGCCTTTACAATGGTTTACGAAAAAGTAAACTATGCTTTCAATTGGGACTTCACATGTTACACTTTCGTAAATTTGGTCATTTTGTTTTTTTTATGTTACGGTTTTTCTTTCATTTTGTATGCCATGTCATTTGTTCCCCTTTTGTTTTATCGCCTTCTTTTGTTTTTGATCATTTCTGTGTTGCTGATAAGGAGCTACGAGTTGACGGAGGTCGGCCATAGGGCTAGCCTTCACTACGAAAGGATGCGCAAAAAGAAAACCTGCTGGTGGAGGTCTGCTTGGAGATTGCTCAGCAGGATGGGAACGAAAGTCGTCAAGGCGAAAAGGAAAAGGGATGCACAAGAAGAAATCGAGCATGACCGGGAAGTGCATGCACGGGGACAAGACCAAAGCGCCATACCCCATTTTTTGAGACGTCTCTTAAGATCGGTATATGGAGCAGTTCGCCGATGGGTGCGCCGATTTGTAAGAGACACCTTTTGCAGATTCTTCCAGATCACTTTCAAACAGGTGGACAAGATGTCACGCAAAGGGGTTGTCTATATTTACTTTTTAATTTTTTTTTTAAAAAACTGGGTGATAAGATTGTTGATACTAAAAGATATTGAGCACATGAAGATAGCGAAGATGCAGGGATTTAAAAATTTATTTTTTTTTATTCACAATCGAATGATGCGCAGAGACGCGGGAATGAAACTACTCCTGAGAAGCAACGAAACGTGTCCCAGCAGTGGGCACAACAAGGGCAGTGACCCCGTGGAGGGAGCTCCTAAACGGGTGGACAGCATGAAAGATGCCCCCAATGAAGACAAACATAATAAGAATTTAATTCACGCGCATATGTATGATAACTGCAAGAATACGGAGTCTTGTATATACTCCTCAAGTGATAAGGATGCTCTGAGTGTAAGAAATGGTGGCTACGACGCTGAGCGCTTTTCCCATGACGGCGAAAACGACGACCTGGAATCTCTTAGCCAGCTGACCGATAACGGCACGATGAACGTGAACGTGGATATATTTCTGCACTACTATTTCAAGCGGAAGAAATATGACAACTTCAACAACATTATAAATATCAACAGGAACCATCTCTGTAAGGGCGACAAGAAGCTGATGGACGCGCAGCGGTGTGAAGGGGGCAACGCGCATCGAGTGTGTGAAAGTTGGTTTAGATAGATATCCGCGTCTAAGTCAGCCCCGCTTATTGTTCACGTTCCCTCATTTTTTGTCCACCAGTCACATTCAATGTTTCCATTTTGTGTTCTCCATCTCTCTCCCTCTTCTTCAGACTCCTACAAGGACATAAATCTGCTTCACTCAAACGACGACCAAAATATCAGCCATCTCAATTACGCAGAATATCTCAACAGTGAGAATAACTACTCTAGTTCTTATGACAATAACAAGAAGAAGAGAAGTTGAGTTGGACGCGATTGTGCAGCTGTATGCACTGGCGCGCTTCATCCCCCGTCAGAAGGTGCGTGACCATTTGCAAGGGGGGTTCGGCATCGAGGGTCGTTTCTTGCGCACAAGGGTTCGTTTTTGTTTCCTTAAATGTTACTTTATTGGAGGGTTATTTTTTTTCACGTTATGTCACGTAAGGTCACGTTACTTCACTTAACTTTTCTTTGTTGTTCTTTTTTTCTGTTTTTTTTTTTTTTTTTTTTTT